CAGCCTTCGAGGAGCCAGCTATGCCAAAGGCCAGCAGCTTCTGCCCCTCAAAGCAGAAGCACACACTGGCTGTGCATTCAATGAGCTTGCTGACGCAGTAGCCAAATCTGCGGCACTTGGGGGTGCAACACCCGCGCTGAATTTCCTCCCAACAGTGTTTTGGCAAGGCATCTCCGAAGGCGTCATAGACTGGGCCTGGACCTGCCATGGTCAAGCCAATTCAGCACATGTGCCGCCTTTAGGCGCCGATGGCACTTGGTCCGCGGCCGCCTGCCAGACGCAACCCGTTACGCTCCCGCCCAGTCCATACTTTGCACCAGAGGCCGTGGCAGAAAGCATGGCACAGGAGCTGTATATGTCCCTGGTGCAATACAACTGCCTGTCGATCAAGGGCCAAGCTGCCAAGGAGATCATGGCAACGGCGCTTGACCAGATCGGCTGCGGCGTAGCGGGCTTGCAGGAGACCCGCACTGCAGATGACGGCATCAGTGCACCCGGATCCTACTGGGTACTCAGTTCGCCGGCCACCAGTGAAGGTGTTGGCGGGTGCCAGATATGGCTGCACAGAGAGAAGCCCATGGGATACTCTGCATCCTCGGGAGAGCCATTCTACTGGGAAAGGAGATCCTTCTCGATTCTACTTGCTGAGCCACAACTGCTTATCGTTTTGGCACATGCGGGAGGAGTCAGGTTCTGCCTTGTCAGTGGGCATGCCCCCACCGCGTTAGCAACAGAACGCATACGCACAGCATGGTGGCGCAAGCTGTCACAGGGCATACGTACAGCACCCAGAGGGTGTATTCCTCTTGTCTTCGTGGACGCCAATGCCCGATTCGAGGCGAACAGAGAAGCACCTGCCACAACTTGTTCGCCACCACGTTGCCACAATGCTCGCGCCATGCTAGCCCTCGCCAAGGAGTTTAACCTAGAGGCAACGCACCAGTTTTCCCACACTGGGAAGCGACTCTTTTCCTGGAAGAGCCCACAGGGACGACTTGGGTTGATAGATTACATTCTGTTCGACGCGTGCTTTGCCACGGCACTTCGGACAGATGATACTCCTGACCTGCAGGATCTGCACTCTGGGGTCGACCACTACCCGGTTGCAGCCACACTTAGAGTGCGCGTAGATGGCACCAAGCGAGAACATGGCCCTCGGATCTGCAACCGGGCCATTAAAACCCAATATGGGCAATCAGTCCTACGCAGAGCATTGCTCACGGCCCCTGTGCCCGGCTGGGAGGTCGACGCAACGAGCCATGTCGAGGCGATCCACGTGCACCTGCGCACCTTCGTGGCGCAACACCTTCCCCCTGCGCCTGCGACCCCGCGACATCCTGCCCTTACAGCCGCTACACTGGAGGAGGTACGCCGGCGGCGCTTGCAGCGCCAACGGCTGCGCGCCTTAAGCAACCAAGAGCGCAAGGCCTTTCTCCTCTGTGTGTTCCGTGCTTGGCGGAATCAGAGGCCGCCCCTCAATCAGTTCCTGCGCATCTCAGCTCAAGTGGCAGACAATGTGGTCGAGCTGCACCGGCTTAACAAGAAGGTCACGGCTTGCTTCCAGGCTGACAAAGCCCAATTTCTGCGGGAACAGACTGCACAGGCGCGAGCTTCCGGACCTGCAGCTTTTGCACACATGGTAAGGGCTGTCACGCGGCAAGGGCGCCGCTTTAAAACGCCGCATGTTGTGCCCATGCTACACACCACTGAAGGCCCTGCCATAGGTGCTACGCAGGTTATGCAGCAGCTCGGCAAGCATTTTGCAAAGCCAGAAAGGGCCCGGCCTGTCTCCGAGCACACCTTGCGCCAGTCTGCAACGACCGTTGAGCCCCTAGAGACGGTTGTCGACGCGCATGCGTGCCCCACTCTTGCGGACTTAGTGCGAGGCTTCAAATCCTTACAGAGCGGCAGAGCCAGTGGACGTTCTGGTCTCCCTGCAGAAGTGTACCAGGCTGACCCATTCCGCGCTGGTGCACTTTTCCTGCCAGTCGCAATGAAAATTGCGGCGAGGGGCATGAATCCGCTGCAGTGGTGCGGGGGAAATGTGCATTCCATCCCCAAGCCCAACAAAGACTCATCGACTCTAGGAGGCTGGAGGTCCATCCTCCTTCTTGAGTCGGACGCAAAGGCCTACCAAAAGGCCCAAACTCATCGACCGCCTGGAGCCCACGCGCACTGTTGGGCAAGTTGGGGGCCTTCCCAAACACACGCTCTCGCAGCCATCAGCGCTAGTGAGGGGGCACCTCCTGTGGCTGCGAGCCAAAGGGCACAGCGGCGGTGTCCTTTTCCTAGACTGCAAGGACGCCTACTACTCCGTGGTGCGCGACCTCTTGGTTAGGGGATCTGCTTGCCAATGGAGCCCAGAGCAGCTACAGGAGCGAGCCAGGCTCCTCTTTGTGCACCGGCAGGACCAGCTGGCCTTCATTGAAGACATGAAGGCAGGCAAATGGACGAGGGCCCTTGCACTGCCGCCTGAGCTGCAACGTTTACTCGCAGCCCACCTTCGCCACACATGGTTCGCTGATGGTAACCCGGGGACCACGCTGTATGAGACAGCATCAGGCTCGGCACCGGGGGCACCGGTGGCCGACACCATCTTCGCATTCCTTTTCAGTCGCTTCCTCCGCGACCTTCAGGATGCAATGCGCGCCCAAGGCCTCTCACCACATTGCGTGCAGAACCTCCCACGAGAGTGCTGTGCCGAGGCACCGACATGGGCCGACGATGTGGCCATCCTGTTCTGGGCCAACTGTGCAGAACAAGCTGCCCAAGCCCTCTCCCGCATCGGCAGACTGGCTATCTTCGGCCTATCTGCATTGGGGTTGGAGGCAAACCTAGCACCAGGCAAGACCGAGGCGATCATCTCTCTCAGAGGGTCGGGCTCCAAGTCGGCCAAGCAGGCTGTGTTATGCCACGCTGCTCCATCGGTGCAGGTTGACTTGCCTGGCAACAACAAGGGTGCATTGCGAGTTGTGCGAGATTACACGCATCTAGGCAGCATCATGGAGGCAGACTGCAGCGAAATGGCCAACCTCAGGCACCGGGAGGGGCTACTCCTACAGTCCTTCCAAATCTACCGCACGCGCATCTTGCACAACCCCTTCCTCACTTTTGCCGAGAAACGCGAGCTTGTGATGTCGAGGCTGGTACCCCGCTTTTTGCATGGGGCCGGCCTGTGGCGGCTAGCCACCACGCAGGAGGCAGCTAAGGCACACGCCCCCCTTATGGGTGTCTTTAGGGGATGCATCCGGCCTTTCTTCCAAAGGAGCTCGGAGCGGATGACCAATGATGAGGTCCTTGCCGCGCTCTGCATGGCCAGTCCTGCCGAACTTCTGCATGCCGCCAGAGTTCGGGCCCTGGGAGAGGTGACAGACGAGGGAATGGAAGCAGCATGGCCGGGGCTTGAAGCCGACGGAGTCTGGCTCAACCAGGCGGTGCACTCCTTGAGCGTCGTTGGCCAGATCTACGCGCCCTTACAACGAGAGCTCAAGGACCAGCCTATGCTGAAACTGAAGGACCTGGCGCAGCTTCTTCGAGGACAACGCCCGCTCCTGCGCAACGCCTGCCGCTTCTTCCTCAAACACTGCAGCAGGAACCGGCCTCCGGTTTCTTGGGACGACATCGATGCGCGTGTCGGCACTGAGGCTTCTGTACAGATTGTCGGCGCCAATGCAGCAACACTTACCTTCGTATGTGGACAATGCCAGAAGCGCTTCTTGTCCAAACGGAGGCTCGCTGTGCATAAGGCCAGCGTACATAAAATCTCATCGGCTGGCCGAAGTGTCACCTTTGGGACGTGTTGCGAGGTATGCCGCACGGAATTTTGGTCGGGGGCTCGCCTGGCTGAGCACCTCCGCAGACAAGGGGGCTGTAGAGCAACGTATGCGGCATCGGACCTGACGCCCGAAGCAGTTGGCCGGGTAGACACAGCTTGGCGTCCAGCCGCAGCAGCCATTGGCCCGAGGCCGTGGTGGGCTACCCTCTCCCCCCCACTTGAAGAGACGGGCTAAGGCGTGTGTATAGAAGACGCTACCCAGTCTCAATCAGCAGCCTTTAGGCTTCTCAGACCCAACTTGCATTCGAATTTATCGCGCGCTGACTTGCTCGAGCCTGTCCGCCAAAAACCCCAAACCCTAATTAGAGCCGGAAAGGGAGAACAAAATCTTTGCTCCACGACAAAGGGTGAAAACCACAGGAAAGTTGAAGAGGTGTCTCTGCGGGCGCCTGCATCGTCTGTCCCCCCAACTTGTCCATGGCTTGCGAGGTCAACGCCGAGAAGGCAGCGCTGCTGACTCCCACGGCCTTCTTTGGTTTCGGGTTTATGGATGGTTTATGGTTTCGGGTGTAGGCTTTAGGGGCAAGCCTGACATCAGTATCGTGTCGGGCATTGGTGGACTTCGAGGCTCATACATGGTGCAACTTGAGGCCACTGGCCAAGCGATGTCGAAATCTCCTTTTGCGGTTTGCCGGCAGAGGGTTTTGTGGAACCCCAAAACGTTCTTTGCGCTGTAGCCCGAAGACCGAACCGAGGCCATGATGCGATGGTCCCAGCGTTCTGCTGTCAATTCTGCTGTCATTTCAGTCTTCTTAGACTCTAGGCCCAGTGGAAAGCTCCCCGAAAGTCGAGGACGTCAAACCTTAAGACAGCGAGCAACGGAGGAGATTGAAGGCTGGACGGGGGGCCCAGCTTTCCCCAGAAAACAGGAAAACGACTCTGAGACTCTGAGAGTACTCTTCTGCGCAAGCAAAGCACGAGCAAACCCTGCCTTGGCCAGGCTCAGAGGCTCTGAAGGCGAAGGCATCTTCACATGCCGCCCTGTGCAGAGACGCACTCTACTGAACTCCCTTAACTTAAACATCCCTAAGCTCCCTGGATCCCGAAACCCTCTGAAGCCCCTTCCCTTTCTGCCAGGGGCCTCCAGACTGGCTCGATTTGGGTGTGTCGCTGCCAAAGGCAAAGGTCTCCACCATGCCACCCCCCACGACCTCAGCGAACATGTCTACGAGACTGCGCGAGCCTGGTGGGGGGGTGATCCCAGGTTTTGCAGTTCAGGGTGGATGGGATTGAGGGCCAAGGTCTTGGCCAACTTTAGAGATGGAATGTCGGAGCTGTGGAGCCAATGCTTGCCTTCTTCTTCAAACTTCAGCTGGCCTTCCAGTCCTGAGAGCGCGAGCAAAAGGAAGAATTTCTTGCCAGGGCTGTGGAATCAGCGAGCCGCCGGGGTAGAAAGGGCTGCCCGTGAAGTCTGGAGACATCTGCAATGACCTCGGGCTTTGCCGACCTTTCACCGAAATTGGTCCATGGCTGAGTTCTCCTGAGTACTGGGCACGACCGTGTTGTCTGCAGACTCGTGCCCCAAAGGTGCAAGGAGCACCCCAAGCCTCAACAGCGATAGCAGACCACAAGCTCTTAAGCTCTTGAAAGGCGAACGGGCAAGAGCAGAACGCCGCGGCCAGGTAGCATGACGTAGGCACGAGGTCGGTTTGGGGATGGAACGATGAAGTCCTGGCCCCAACCCAGCACATGAGTTGTGCAACAGCAAATGCATGGAAGACGGGGCACATTAAACACAACAACCGACGGCTGGCATGAGCATCCTCGCGCTGCAAATGAGGATTATCGTGCACGATTCGCTGCACTGTACTTTCATCAGGAGCCATGTACCTCTTTGCGATCGTGATGAACTTTCCGTCAGCTGCCCTGCAAGCCTCTTCTGTGAACCCTGAAGGCCACCGGCAACCATTCTGAAACATGCCGCTGGATAGCAAGCATCCGTGGCAGTGCTGGCTTATGCCGCTTGTAGCAGCTAGCGGAGGGCACTTGCTCATGTTGCCCAGGCCAATGGGCTTCAAGAGGATCTGAGCTAGACGGAGCATGCAGCAGAGAAGCGCAAGATTCGATTTGCAGACGGCAGCCTCGGACAATATCAAGAAAGCAGGAGTGTAACGGTACACCCGGAGTAGCCTCATTGAAAGCATTCACCCAAATCGAATGCGGGTCGTCGTTGTTCAGGAATGCAGACTTCAGCAGGTCTCAGCATGGAGAGCCCGAAAGCTTGCCGAAGAGATACCAGGTACGAATTCCTACCAACACAATTCAATTCCGAGACATGCGAGGCTGCGGCTATAGATGTCGTGTGTGGCCGCATCCTAAGTTTCTTTCTTGGAGCTTGCAAGCAGCTTGCTGGCTTGCAAGGCTACACGGTGCTTCGACCCCGAGGCACAAGCTCCAATCAGCGACGGCCGCTTTGTCAGCTCCTGCATCCCGTCAGCACCATGAGTCTACATGAACGTGGAAGCATCGGATCCTCATCTTCGCAGTGCACCAAGCCGCGCAGCGCGCCTCCAGAGAGAGCTCTGCCGGCCGCGTAGGAGAACCCAAAAGCTGGCCCTTATCCATGTGTGAGAACCTGGGCTCTTGAATAGTACTCTGGTTCGCAGGATGGCTGCAACGACTGTTGCAAATTCTGATCGCATCTGCATCCATCAGCGCACTTGCAGCAAGGACGCATGAAGGGTCCCGAGGCCCAAGTTCCGCCCGACACGGAGACCAGCAGCTCCGTGCGGCTAAGTAGATCCAGGTACTCGAGGCCTCGCAGAGCTCCAAGCGCCGCCACCATGGCTCTGGTGCCACCACCGCTGAGGCAGACGGCCGTCTGCAGGTTCACCTTGAGTGCGACACATCAGCATGTGTTCAGCGGTTTAGGCAGACATCAACAGATACAGCACACTGACAGCACAGTCTAAGAATCAATTTTTTATGGGCTTGAGACTTGAAAGGTCGAAGGTACCCTCAACAACAAGTCGACGCTTCTTATCCAACACTGTCACGCAACAAGCTTCTTGTGCCCAGCCTGTCTGGGTGGAAACTCCTTCTTCTCCTCGTTGATTGGCACAATGTCTGCGTAAACATCAGGCATCTTCTTGTGACATCTGCCATCGTCGTCGGAGCAGTAGCCTCAGAGCAGTAGTGCAACTCCCCCCCCATCATTGCGAGAGCCAATGTAAACTAACAATTTTGCGCATCGTGAACATGGTTGACGGAACGTACTGTCGAGGAGAGCTGGTTTGCTGCGCAGCTTGGCAGCAATTTGCTACCCAGGGTGCCGCCATGCCTTCAAGCTTAAAAAGGGACCTTTGATCGCAACCCATATGGTTGTTCCCAAAATAGGGTTACCCCTGTTTGTACCTTCCAAGAAGCCTGGCTTGCACATGCACTCGCCTTGCACGCATCGAGTAGGGCCACGATACTTCCAGCAGTATCCAAACCAGCTGCAAGTGCCACCCGTTCGCTGGGGACACTGCAGGAAGTTGTGGGAAGGGTCGTTGGGGACACAGCGCCCCCCCACCGAACAATGGCCAGGTTGACACCGGCACTGCCCTTCAACACACTGAGTTTGTCCTCGCGAGGACCCGCAGCTGAAATACTTGCAGGTGCCTCCTGTGTGGGTGTCGCAGAAGCCTGCACTGGAGTTCGCAGTGCTCATGGATCTGATGGAGCTGGAATCAGATGAATGGCTTGCCGAAAACTCTTCCCCCATTGCCAGCTCATGGGCGTCAGCCGGAGGGTTGTCTCGGACTCGATGGGCACGCCGCTGTAACCAAGACGCAGAACATTCGCTGGCGTTGCTCTTGTGGCACGCATCATCAGACTCGAAAACGTCCCCCAGCACCGCGTGCCAAAAGCACAGCGCGAGAAGAGCCCGGCGGATCATCAGTCAGATGGGCGGCTAGGCTGCTGGTACTGAGTTGGACGGACTGGAGCTGTTGACAGGTTCCGTCCTGCACTGCAGTTGCATGCGGGCTAGGAAGTGGCTAGGCACTGAATACACAGAACGCCTCCTCGGAAGTGCAGTGATTCGGCAGGTTTCCGGTTTAGAGTCAAGCGCTTTTGGCGTGAGTTGGAGCTGAACCACGGGTGCCAATCAAGGGAGTCCAATATGCAAAAGCTGTAACAAAAGTAGCAGAATGACAGACGGCGCATGACAACAAGCAGGTCAGGCAGCGCAAGCCGACTGCTTTTGCAACTTTGTTAGCGCAGCTTCTTCTCGCTGAAATATGACCTGAGCAGACTCAAGCTTGAACCTTAATCGTAGCCGGAGTGTTTCCGGAGTCGAGTCCGGCTTCCAGAACCACATTGCGAGGCACACAGACCCACACAGCAGGAAGTGCATTGCCTGTTCTCGATTTCTTTAACTGCCCTCCGAATTGCATGTGCACTTGATGCAACAAGCTCCTTAAGCTACTCCGCGACAGCAAGCTCACGTAAGCTCCAAGCGTTGTCAGGAGTGAAAGAACCGCATGAACATGTCCTTGTTGGAACCTCTTGGGCTGCAATTGGGCGCATTGACATGCGATGTGCTCGTGTGGGGCTTAAAGCGGCTTAGGGCATCGGCGGATCATGTACTCTCCCAGCGCGGACAAAAGATTTACCTGGCTGAGGAAGGGCTTTCAGCCCTTCGGGTTTCAGGGTGGTTGCGCCGAGGTGTCTCAGACTGCCTGCTCCGGCGTGTAAGACGTGAACTTCCCAGAATTTTGGGATGACCTTAGTTGGGAAGAGAAGCTAGCCTGCTTTCGACCTCCTGGACTTTAAGCTCGGGAAGGGACGTCTTGAAATGTGGCCAATTTGCAAAGCTGCCCCAGCCTCATCCATGCGTGCGTTGCGCAGAAGTGCACGGTGCAAAACTGTGAAAGGTCAAGGTCATGTCACCACCAAGGATGGCACTGCCCTTCTGCACCTCCTGCGTTCGAAGTATCGTACTGCAGTGTTGCTGCGGGCTGATACATGCAAAGAGCATCTCAACTAACCCCCCCTCCCCCCCGCACTCCTCCAGTGTCTCCGGTGGGAGATTGACATCGAATCGCTTGCAACTGTTCAGATACACAAAGATCACGGACCTTGGGTTAGCGGCGTATCATTCTAAATTTGGGCGACTTGGGTTGAGATTGCGTTGACAGCAGGTGCAGCGGCTAAGTCTGCCAAGTGGCACCCTCCAGTTGCCCTGAATGCCCCACTTCTTGTTCTCCATGACCTGGCAACACAACCGAACAGGCAAAACACGCACCTCACCAAAGGCTTCGTATTACGCACAGACTTAGAATAACGGCGGCATCATTAAACCGACAGCGAGAAACACCTGCAGCTCTCGCTGCGCGACCAAAGCATCTCCAGATTTCCGCTTCTTCCTGTTTGGACGGGAAGAGGCATGGGGACCGGATCTTGCCTGCGCACTCGACATCACTACATTCTGCCGAGAGGCTGGAACTCACAAAGAAGCGACTGCAGCTCACCGCGATCGAAGACCTTTGAAAACGCGCTGTGCACTGGTCAGTATGCCACGGCACCGATTCTCAACGATGATCTGGCCTGGTTGTGAACCAAATACTCGCCTGCATTCTCAGCAACATAGCCGAACTTGTCCAGCAAGTCATTCGAGACCTGCACTCCAAGACTCACCCGGTGCTCTCCACAGGAATGGCTGAAGGGCCTTCCCTTTGAGCTCCAGATGTGTGATGTCAAACAAGCAAAAGTCAAGCTCCTGCAACAGCTTTGAGAACACCCCGGACTTCTAATCGAACGCCGTGCGTGCAAGAAACAGGTCGCTTAGGCGAACATAAATCTCCTCCGAGAGCTCCACGTTGGTGTTGTGGACGACCACGACCTTGGGAACCTTTCGCTGCAGAAGCGCCAGCCTTGGGCCGGAACATGCACGTTGTGCCACCCAAGAAGGGAGAGGTCGGCTTTCGGACACATTGCTCAGAGCATCTTAGGGAGCGATTTAGGCTTTTTTTTGCGGGTTTCGGCTTAGGGCTCAGGGATGTGAGACTCTTGGGCCGGGCAGCATGCCCGTGTTGTCAGTCTCAGCACCATCCTGGGGCTCAAACCGAGACCGTGCTTACCTCTCAAAAATGCAAAGCTTTGAGCCCAGGGATGCCAGGGGCCGAGCCCCGAGGGCATATTTCATGGCAGACCTCGCAGCCAGCTCTGAGTGAATAGAAACCACCACAGAAGAGAGCGAACCAGGAAAAGGTGAAGGTCTGTGTGTGTGTGTTCTGGAAAATTGGGTGCGTCAAAACACACAAACAAAAATGCACCCCGGTCAGACCCACCTCCACTTCTTGAACTGGGGAGACGTCACCGGCCAGTAGTCTTTGACCGGCAGGTACTCTCCCACCTCCCAAGGCACATCCCGCACTTTCCCTGATTAGCATCGTCCCGACGACGTAAACCCTAAACACCCTAGACCCTGAAAGAAACACTTCAAAACCCTGAACCTTAAGAACCCTCAAGCCTTTAGCAGGCAATAACCCCCAAACCGGAAACCCCAAACGCAAAAAACCCGAAATCCTAAAAATCTAAACCCTAAAAATCCCTACAAGAAACAACTGAAACCCAACACCCCAAGAACCCTGAAGCCCTGAACCCTAGAAACAATGAAGCCTGAAAACCCTTCACCTTAAAAGAAACAGCCGAAAACCCCGAACTCTAGAAACCCTTAAGCCCGAATGCCACACCTGAAAGCCCTAAACCCGAGAAATCCCTGAAGCCCTAAACTCGACTTGATCAAAAAACAACTAAAAACCCTGAGCCCAAAAATCCGAATCCAGGGGACCCTAAAACCCTGACCTTGAGGCTGTACGGGGTTCATGCATACATGCATACATGCATAGTCATGCATACATGCATAGTCATGCATACATGCGCATACATACGTGCATACATACATACATACATACATACATACATACATACATACATACATACATACATACAGCACCTGCAAGTTTCGCCAAGACATGCGGAGGTGCCTGAATTGTCGGGTTTCTGACTTGGCAGCCCGGGTGCTTGAATTCTGGTTCCTGAGTATCAACGCATGGTTCCTGAATGTTCGAACGGGGTTCCCGAATCCCGTGCCTGAATTCCTATTCTTATAGCAGACTCCTCGGCCTTGGTACCAAAAATTTGGGAGGTCAGCCAACCAGACGCCTCAGCCACAGGTGTCTTGACACTTGAGGGCAAGGTTCACTCAGCAGCAGTTTGAGCGGCCAGGTCGCGCTCACCAGCACTGACGCAAAAGCGGCGCTGCTGATTCCCACAGCATCGGCAAGGCTGAACGGGGATGGTGGTGCCTAGCAAAAAAAACATCTGAAAGATAAGTTGCTTTTTGGCTACAATGAGTACTAATCATTACTAATCTGCATCACACCCGCGGCATGCGGACACGGCCTCCATGTCCACCTGGCTTCCTCCCATCTGCCCTTGTGCCTGGGTGGCGACAAGCTCTGCCATCTGGGCATTTCCAAAAACAGGGGTACCCTGAATTTTCCCCAAAATAGTATAATCCTGATTATCGGAACTGCCAGAAAGGGTACGAGTACCCCAATTTTCGGAAACCTCCATCCCTTCATGCTCAGCTTGCGGCAGTGATCGGTGCCGAGCCGCCAAATGCAAAGCTTTCCTCGGACACCAACACACTTCCAAAAACGTCTTCGAAGGTTCTTAGCCCGAGGTTGGCACCACCAAGCCACCCCCCACGAGAAAGTCCCGGGTATCCGAGCCATCGTACTGAACGAGCTCGTCCTCTGCCGATTTGTCTGCTTCCCAGCCGCAGCTGCTCTGCATGTGTCGGCCAAGCTCGCGAAACATTCTAGTTCGGGCTTCGACGACGAGTCTTTCCGGGAAGTGAAGTCGACAAAGCTTTGCTTTTCAAGGATTGAGGCCGGCGATTGTTCACGCTTGGGCAGTTGATTGGCTTGGGGCTTTGCAGCAGACGTACTCTATCTGCCTCTGGATAGAACGGAGAGCCAGTATAGTCTGGAGACATTTGCAGAGACCTTACATACTCAAGAGTCAGTCTCTCATGTGTTGCTGGCATTGGTGAGTACTTTCAGCGAAACACTGGAACCTCGGCCGCCAACACAGCACTCTTCTCCGTGGCTTCCAAGCCCACTGGAGCGAGAACTGTGCCGCCCATGATGTACCTCAAAGCTCCGAAAGCTCCTAAAGATCAACCCAGCGAAGTCGGAGGACAATGCTTGGACACTACTCCCGCGGCCGTAAGTCCCGAACGTCTTGGGCCTCAGCGGGTTGGGCACCTTTGTTGTAAAGCACATTGTGACATGGGGAACGCAGCAAACAATCAGAGTGTTACACACACAGAAACAGCACGTTCACAATCCTTCGCTACACTGCGGCGAGGGAACCAAAAACTGCTCCCGCTGAAGGAAGGGGTTTTCCGTGAGGATTCGCTGAAGGCTGGCCTCATTCGCCGCCATGAACTGGCTCCTCCAACGTTCAAGGTCCCGGGATGCAGCATGTTGCAATCACTACACAGCGCCCAAGGCCTGTTTGCGAGTCCAAAGGGCTCGAGGACGGCTTTCGCATAGACATCAATCCACAAATCATGGGGGTTCGAGTAGGAGTGTGCCTCGCAAGATTCGCAGCACATGCGGCACATGATCTGGGCAGCTTCGAGCTGAGGGAAGGGACAAAATTGCTCCAGAGCATGGAGATGATGTTGGTGGTCGCCACATCCTGAGCAGAAGAAGCATGCTGCATAAAGCAACAAGCTGAAAGAAGCTGAAAGAAGCTGAAACAATGAAGAACTGTAAGCTAACAAACGTTCTGGTCCGAGGTACACCTAGGCGCGGAGGCTGGCGCTTCAGCCGCTCCAGGGTCAAATCGTTTGGAACCGTGTCCTCGCCAAGCAATTCCTGCGGAGACCCCTCTGCGCAGTCGCAGCTTTTGCAACATCCCGCAACTCTTTGAGAATTCGCAGGGCAAGAACCCACCGAAGTGATCATAATTCTAAGCCGCTTTACCCAGACGTCCTTTACCGAGACGTCCTTTGCAAACATGTAGATCGATGATGCCCAAGTTCCACCCGAGACGCTTGAGATAGCGTCAACGAGAGGAATGAGCTCCAAACTCTCCAAAGCACGCAGCACACCGAGGGTCACGGAGAGAGCGCGCGAGCCCCCACCACTGAAGCAAACTCCAGTTCGGATATGAGCCTTGAAATCAGTGTCATTGCAAAAAAGTTGCAACAGCTTTCAAAAACTTCTCCGAAATCGGGAAGTTTCATGCTGGGTGCGGGCAAGATTCCTGGGCATCCGGAAAGACCGGATTTCTGGAGTTCACGGCTGTCACGCGGGCTTTGATCGGCATCATGGGCTTGTGGCAGCTGCCGTCGTCCGCGCTACAATACCCCGGTTTACAAACACACTGGTGGTCCACGCAGTCCACAGGCCCACGGTAAGAATAGCAGTCAAACATTCCGCAGGTTCCCCCCGTTTGTCTGCCACAGGTGTCCACAGCGTGGGCTGTGCGCTCCTTGCAAACTCCGTTGACGGCACAGTAGCCAGGCTTGCAGCGGCACTCGGAGGCTGTGCAGCTCGTGGGACCCCGGGATGCCGAGCAGCTCCAGAAGCGACAGCTGCCGCCTTTCAACAAGGAAAATGTAACAACCTCCGCAAGAAGCTCCACGCATCTTCTTGCGCTTTTGCGCATGCACACGAGGGCATTCTCGCCTTCTGAGAGGGTCGGGAGAGGGCGGGGGGGGGGGGGGGGGGGGTTGGTTTCTGTTTGCTGCAAGATTCGGCTGAGGCACCCGTGTGTGAGTCGCAGTACTGCTTGTCCTCCTGGGCCGATGCATTCTGAAGAGCCTCCGCTCTATGTCGCTCTGCCTCCTGGCAGGACTTGTGCAGACCGTCGGCATCTCAGTTACAAGGCGGGTACCGCAGCTGGTCTAAGAGTCCAAGCTCCCTTCCTGGAGGCTCTTGCGCTTGGCGCTGCGCTGCAGCCATGAGGCTTCGCCGGCGTCGCCCGCGTCCAGGCAGCTCTCCTTCTCGAACTCCTGAGCCCATATGCGATATACAGAACTCATATGCACCCGGGGCTTCCGTGCGTTCCCAAGGCTTAAGTCAGAGAGGGAATCCTAGAATCGAAAAGCCGGCTGACCTCGAGCACGGCCGTATCAAGGTCTGCTTCTGGCACGCTCGTCTCCGCGTTTTTAGCGGAGAACCATAGCAGCACCAGAGCTCTCTGCATGAACCCCATTATGCAAAGTAGCCAGAGTGCTAGGGCCCTGCCAAGAATGCAGCCCATTCCTGCAACATCGTTGCGAACCATGCGGATGGCTCTTTTTTGTGTAAACCTCTCCCCAGCCTCATACTATCTACGGAAGTCTGCTGTTAGCTGTTGTAGTTTATGATCAAAACGTGGATTCTGAGCAGCGGCGCGGGCGACTTGCTGCTGCAAAGAGTACTCAAGGCTTGCATGGACTGATGGAGGCATGGAGGCTTCTCTGCTGGAGGGACTCTGGCTTTCTTCTCCTCAAACCGTATGGGGATGCCTTGGTGCCGCAGCATCCTGTGGTAGATTCTGGATCTGCACCGGCATGGCCTTCAAACAGCCGAGTTCTTGCGACAGGCTTCTTAGCCCCAGTGCCACTTGGAGATTGAGTCGGACTCCTTGCGTGTCTGCATCCAGCTCCTCGGCACGCTCTGGGTCACCAGGGACCAACACGGGCAGCGTGGTATCGCCGGGCATTAGGCCTCGCATCCGTGCCAAATATGCACTCAGCTTTCCTTGAAACTCGCCGTTTGGCAGAAGCTTTGCTGGGTCGATGCACATGAAGCAATGCCCGTAATCCACCGGCCGACCCCGATCCACTCTCCAGGGAGGAACATCAGGGCCAACATCTTTGCAGCCACTCAGAACACCACACAAAATTTCGACCATCATGTTCAAACCGTACCCTTTGTAGCCAGCGGTTTCCTCAAGTCCTCCCACTGGAGTCAAACCTCCACCCGCAAGCACCTCTGTTGGGCTCTTTGTTGGAGATCCGGTTTTGTCGACACCCCAACCAGATGGAATCTCCTGACCTTTGCGATGGCAGACTTCAATCTTTCCCACTGGCACAGTCGATGTCGCCATGTCGAGCTGGAAGCTGTCACCTGTGCCGGGACAGTAGCAGGAAATTGGATTTGTACCTCCCGCACGCTTGCAAGCACGGGTAGGCACCAAGAACGGGCTTGTGTTCGTAAAGGCAAAGCCAATCAGGCCTTCCTTCAAAGCAAGCTCAGACCAGTAACCCGCAATGCCGAAGTGGTTGCTGTTGTGACACACAACAAGGCCTATGCCTGAAGTCTTGGCTTTGCTGATGCACAGTTGCATGGCAAATTCTGAGACAACCGCCCCCAATCCATTCTGCCCATCCACGTTGGCAGCACTGGCAGTCTCAGCAAAGACGCGAGGCATCGCGGACGGATTGATGAGTCCTGCCCTCAGCTCTCCACAGTACATCTCCGTGCGATTGACCCCATGCGATGGGATGCCGCGGCAGTCTGCGGCCACCAGGACTCGAGCGACCAGGCTGGCTTTAGTGCTCGGAGCGCCCGTGGCCTCCAAGCAGGCTGCCACGGCTGACTCCAGTTCTACGCGGTCCACACGCAGATCCTCGCCAGAGTTGACAACGTCACGCGAGGATTGCGAGGATTTGTTGCGGCTTCTTATGCGGGAACGCTCCAGCAAAATTCCGATGGCGATGCCAGCCAAGCCCGCAATTGCTGGACTCAGCGTGGTCAGCCATCGCGGCCCCATTGCGGCACTGCAGATCGTTGCGTGGCTCGCTGCTTGCTTTGAAAAGCTAACTTTCTGGATGCTGCTAACTTGGCCTGGCTGCTCGGTCGAAGAGACAAGACTTAGTAAGCTTGGTGAGGCCGTGTGATGGGACAGGACCGGACTCATTGCAACTCATCTTCCTTGCACGTGGATCGCTGCTGCAAGATAAAGTTCGTGAATGAGCACCCCCCATGCCCTCTCTTGTCAGAAACCGCAAACCCCATGTTTGATGGATGAGCCATGTAAATGATTGAGCTTGCGAGCACGTGCACGGATTCACGGCTCGCGCGCTTCGTTCACCTGTGTCCTGCTTGTAGCCCGCGAGAGTACTTCTTTCTTCTTGTTCGCGAGCACATGGAAGTTCATATGAAGCGAAGCGAGACTAGCGTGAACAGTGAACAGTGAACAAAGAGAACAATCAGCGACACAAACCTCTTCCCGGCTCGTGAATGCGATGCGTGGTGCTTTTCGCTTTGCTCATTGCATTGCACCGGTTCGAGACGATGACTACGCCAAGCGGGCACAGTGCTTTTCTGGTCCATCTGGTGGATGCGCCGACACAAAAGATACCATGTCATAGATTGAGTGTAACGAAACTGTCCAAAGCATCTACTGCAGCAAACGCTTGTTTGGTCACAACTAGCCTGGTGACGCCTCGGGCGTCCTCTCCGGATCCCACCAAGACAGGAAGCGTCAGACTTTGGACTTTTGGATGACTTTGGCAAATTTTGGCACTTGGCCCTTCAGAAGCCCTGGCCCTGCTCGCTCAGCGAGGAGCCAAGGAAAGCTGCCAGAAGCTGACATAAATCCCAACAGCCCTAACAGACCCCTCGGATCTTTCAATGGTTGCTTCATGGTGCTCCCTGCTTCCATGGCCAAGCAAAACCCGTGGCAACTATCTTCCTTTGAGCGCAACCAGCGCACAAAGGCTATGAGAATTTCAGATTCTTTCAGACTCTGAGAAAAGCCATTAGCGATTGCAGATCCCTAAGGAAAGCCGCTCCCCCCTGTTGGGGACAAAACTTGCATCGTGAGAAAAAGCGACATATGATATGTGAGCTCTTCGCAATTGGTATGCGAAGAGCTGAGAAGTTTCTGTACTGATCTGGCATCTGTGCACTGGCGACGGCAGGTGTTTGCCCAGTGCCCTTTGCCCAGCTGTACATTAGAACGGCCCTTCGAGCCACACTCATCAAAGTGCTGAAGCATCTGTGCTACTGTTTAGCAGCGACTCTTTCATTCACTTGCAGTGCTACGACGACGTCCTCCAGGAGCTCAACTGCATGTAGCTACAAGGAAGCAGGGGTCAGCTAGATGACTGTTCGATGGTGACGTGTCAGTACGTGTCCTAGCTCCTTTTGCTGCGGCTGCTCGGCGTGAATGATGCTTCGCCCCTTGGACCACCACACGGAGTCTTCTCTACCGAGCCCATGATCCTTTGCCAACTCTCTGTCTGTCCCATTAGAGTGCCGAAAAGTGTCACAGCGTGGAAGGGCACAATCGGAACAATTGACCTTGCCGAGGCCCACCGAGGCCAAACATCAGATTTTGAACGGCTCGGAACCCCAGTGACATGAGTGGCAAGCCGATCGCGCCGCCAGTATCACCCAGGCCATCAGAATGTAAAAGAAGGACCAACCCAGGAGCCAGCCTCGGTCACAAATTGCATACTCGCCACGTTCGCCATCGTCCATATCCCCTCATCCTGAACCCAGACCTGAGGGCCCTGGGATGCCCTGGGGGACTTGCCCACTTCCTCACCGACCGGGTTGTCCTGGATACCCAGGTCGATCATCCACGCCTGCCCGTGACAGCCCGCAGGATCGACCCCTTTCGAACCAACAAAAAGAGCTGCGCAAAATTTTTACAGAGCCACACAAGGTGTCGCAGCGCCTCCCCCGTCCTGCTGCCCAGCGTGGTCTCCACACCCTCGGGGTCAAACCTGGTCAGGGAGCGAAATACCCCCCCCCCCCCCCATTTTTCAGTTTTCAAGGAAAAGCAGGCAATGAGACCATGACACGAAATCGAGCCCTCGGAGCTCGTTGGCAGCCACCATATTGAACGATGCCCTGAAAATCGAGATGTTGCGAAGGACCTCCGCTGCCGGCTGCGTGCTGCCGGTCGACTCTGAGGGATCCCAAGACGACTGAGGGATCCGGCATCTTCGCCAGAGGCAAGCAAGGGTCCACCAAACTGGCCGGAACAGAATGCGAAACTGCTATCAAGTTGCCAGGCACCCAAGGCGCCTACTCAGAATCATTTTCTTGGCAACTTGGGCTCTGCTAGCCCTGCTGACCCCGACTCACTCTTCAAAGCGTGGCAGGGAATCCAACAAGAAGAGCAGGATTAGCAGCACTGCCAAGGGCAATACCTGTCTCATTCTGAGGGAGATACTCGGTTTAGGGCTTAGGGCAGTTTAGGGTTGAATGTTGAGGGGTTGAGGGTTGAAGGTCAAGTTCCTCTGCAGTTCCTCTCAGCCCTCGCAAAACGCGTGGCCGTCGCACCACTCCCGACCTTGGAGCTATAGCTCCCAATGCGAGGCCTCCGCTCGCAGCAACTTGTGCTCTATGCCGCTGGGAAGATTTGCAACAAAAGAGGAGTAAGCAGAGTGGGACAGGGAGAGAAAGAGAAACAGAGAGAGAGAGAGAGAGAGAGAGCAAGAAAGAAAGAAAGACAGAAAGAAAGAAAGAGCAAAAACAGAGGGCAAAACAAAGAAACCGACTGTCCCTTTGTGATCTGAGGCCGCGGGCAGAAAGTCGATGCGACCTTGGCGTGGGCTGGCTACCAAGACACTCAAGACACTCACAAGGTGGTAAGAGCTAACATGCAATGCACATGCTACATGGGGGCAACATGCACTGAGGTTGACACGAAGGAGGCAAGGCAAAAACCCAAACAGCAAACGGCCTGTGCACAGGTGGCACACACGGCTGCCCTACAGGGCGTCGCACCCTGTCACCATCCCTCAACGCGCCTCCCTCCCTGGATGCATACTGGCCAAGAGATAGACGATGAAACCTTGGCGACGCTGCGGCTTCCCTGTGTTTTTTTCCGGGGACCTTGAGAAAGGCCCTCCCGTTTTCTGAGCTGCTGGACACATGAGAGCAGGAGGCCCCACCTCGGGAGTGCATCAGTGTCTGAGTGTCTAAACTTCTGGGAACTTCCGGGCTTCTGAACTGCTCTGTCTGTTGTTCCCTCTACAGCTGGGAGAGCGGCTCGCAGGAGGATGGCATCAACGATGACCTGAGTACAGATACCAGATTCTTGGCGCCTTGAGACTCGCAGGAGATGCTGGAGGCCCTGAAGACTTAAGAGCTGTGCTTTCGCTATGACATAGCTGCCCGTGTAGTAGTATCCTGGCTGTTTGCCACGATCTCTTGGCGCATTGAAAGCTTCACGACCGAATATGATAGATCCGATGATCCGTTTCACGGTGTCCTGCCGCACGTTCCCGTCTGTAGCTTGTGTAGCCATCGCGCCAAGCCAGGAGGCCCTGCAGAGCCTCAAGGAAGCGAAAAGAAATGCTAAAGTTGCTAAAGAGTGCTCACAGACAGCGGAGGACTTGGTTGCCTTAAGCTAGATTTCGCTAGAGCCCATGTGGCAGCGCAATATACAAGTGTGCCATCACATCCATCGGCCTGCATTCCCAAGGTGCAGTGCGCGGCAAAGATGAGGCCCAGTCGACTGGCAAACCGGGGAAGAGCAAGAGAAGGGGGGAGAGAAGCAGAAAGCGATGCCACACCTTATGACACCGGCCAGGCGCAAGGACATCTGGAAATAGGTCGCACCAAGCAATGCGCCAGCAATGGTTGCCTCGCAGGCTTAGGCTACTGGAGCTCGTGGCTGAAGAGCAAAGATATAACGAAGTGACCGGAGACCAAAACGAAGCAACGCAAGGCCTCAAAGTAGGTGTATGCAGCTAGGCTCCTCGGCCGCCCCATGGCATGTCATTGCGTCGTCAATCTGCTATTCTTGAATCATTGCATGTGTCCTGCTAATCTGAAGTTCACGTAGCAGCAGCTGCTTCCTGCAAGCAAAGTGGCCATCAATTCTGCCTCACCACTCAGCTCTTCATATTCCAAGCTCATCTGAGAGCCGAGCAGTTGCACCCAAACAGGAGGCATTGCTGCAGACTTGACCTGTACAGGGCGCTTGGAGACGAGTCTCAGCTGGCAGGGCCAGCCCGAACTGAACCCACTTTTGCCAACCTCCATGTCGCTCTCCGAGGCCATCACGAGCACCTTCGTCTCAACTTCAACTTCAGCTCTACACCGGCTACAGCAGAATGCAGCGCAGTGTCGAGATTCAAGGGCCCGGCTGACTGAATGTCGTCGTGTAGGTCAGAGGCGTGCTTTGTCCTTTTCGTAGCGTGGTTCACAGTGTGAGCACTGACATGACGCTTTGGACCCAGGAATGGCCAAACAAGGGCACGGGCTGGCGGAACCCGTCGAATGCCTGGTCTTGATGAGGACCTCGCTGGACTCTTGTTGGTCCCTCCAGCCCAAGACTCTCAAGGACTTCCTGAAGACCAGCCGAGAAGCCAGAGATGACATCCAGGAGCAGGTCCTCTTGTGACATTGGGAGCCGGCCCCTCATCTTCTCTCAGGGGCTTGCAAGACAGTTGCTAGAATCAAGTGAAGCAGCCGGTCCGATGCACTGCTCACCCCGGGATTCAGCTTGCCTTGGGAGGCAATGCAACTTGACGAGAGAGCGATGGCGGAGCGGCTCGCAGTTTGCTGCTTGAACAAGTGTTGGGTGTACCCAGGGTGTAACCGAGCTCCTCACGCAATGGTGAGACGTACGTTGGCAGCTGGTCGGAGGGCCCGAAGTAGGCCACCTCAATGCTATACCACGAGGCGGCATGATGTGGCATGTTTGCATTCCATGCATTCCAGCATGCTTTTTGGCGGCTGTAGCAAGAAAGCCGGGTTCGTGCACCCTGCCGTGGGAGCCCAGGACCAGGGTGAAGCTGAAGTGGGCCTGAGCACGGGTGAGGGTGCAGAGTAAAACGCGAGCCTTCAACGGCCACGACAGAGGATGACAAAAGCCAAGAGTTGGGCCAGCAGTTCGGGCGAAGGCTGGTGCATGGAGGCAAGCAGGATGCAGCCTACAGCAGTGACGGGCGAAGGGGTCCGCAGGCGTTCTGCTGGATTCTGTGTCGTCTGTGTTCAAACCATTATGCGGCACGCAGTGTTGCCATGATGCAGGCTTAGCAGCCATGGCTTCTGGCGTGAAGCAAGAGCCATGTGCGACCAGCACCAACTCACTGCAGAAGATCTTCCCTGACAGTGAGTATCTATCTGGTCACACCTTCATGCCCACCTCCGAAGGGGCGCGTGCACGTGTGAAAGAACCGACCAAGCCAAAACCACGCCGCTCGTTGCTGCAAAGCTTCAAAAATATCAAGAATCAAGAATGCATCACCCCGAGACTTCGCACGCACCGCCCGCGCCAGCTGTGCACCACGGAGCCCTGTGCCTTCCGACGCCAGTTCGGCCAGCAAACTTCCCAATGCCAGTGCTGTGCTGCTGTCCAACCCTGGCCAAGGTGCTACAGGTGCTTCAGAAGCCAGACTCTTCGGAACGCTCTGGAACACTGTTGGGTGCATGACCGCTTGTGGGCTCATCTAGCGCGAGAACGCCCCGCGCGACAGCCAGCTCGACCTTGCGCCAGTGCTGGTGAAAGGGCGGCTGCGGCGATTGCATGAGATCATGCTATCAATGCACTCACAGTTTCTTGCAACATTGACGATAAGAAGAATCATACTCACAATAAACGTCATATGAGTAGCCAGACTAGTACCCTAACCCCATAACCCCATAATCCACAATGATCACGTGCTGCGCAGGCAGCTTGGTAGGCTCCCTGCCCCAACGGCCGTGCGCCGCCTCTCGCCGCCCGAGATGCCACGGAACTTGTGGCCACCGACTTTCGAGTTGGCCACCGCCTTGCAAGGGAATCCCCAGCTCTTGGAGAGCGTTCAGGGTTTTAGGGGTGTGAGGGGGTGTTATGGGGTGTTAGGGGGTGTTAGGGGGTTCTAGGGGGTGTTAGGGGGTTCTAGGGGGTTTTAGGGGGTTTTAGGGGGTTTTTAGGGGGTTTTAGGAGGTTTTGGGGGGTTCAGGAGGTTTCAGGGGCTTCTACGGGGTGCTTTTCGGGTCTAGGGTTTAGGGCTTTCAGGTTTTAGGTAGGGTGTGGGCTCGGATAGAAAGCTCATGGATGCGCGCAGACTTCGGAAAGCGTCGCAGGCCTCCAACCCCAGGCGGCTAAGCGTCCAAGTGACACGCCTTGGCAGGGAGATCTTTACTCAGACTCTACCAACCTCAACATGTTGGGCGTTTAGATAGATACAGACATACATACATACAAATATTCTCATATATCATATATGCAAACATGTAGATACAGATATAGATATAGGCTTAGATTTAGATTTAAGTGTATATATGTATATACATGTAGATATTACCTTCGATAGATCGATATATGTCCATATGCTATCACGCACTGCTCCCAACCAATCTCCATCTATTTCTGCGTCGTGATATGTTGCACTTAAGCACCTTAAGCACCTTGCTTGTAGGTTGATTCCGGAGGTGGACGCCTTACTTTATGGATCCTGAGAAATTCGAAAATTCCAAACCAATGCATTGGAAGTGAGGGGGTCGACAATTCCAACAGAACAGATACTGAGAGAAGTCCAGTTTTCAAAACAGTCAAACAATGAAAGGTCTCCCAACAGAATCCGAACAGTCCAACAATCAGAAATCAGAAATCTAACACCCCCCCCCCCCCCCCCCCCCCCCCACCCCCCACACCGCCCATCCAGCACACCCGCTCTCTTCCAACGTTGTTTTTCAAGAAGGTTCAGGTGAGATAGGTGGCGCCCTTGAATTGGTAACACCTGAATGCAAGTTGGGTGTATACTTCATATGATACAGGTGTTGGAGTCCTTTCCGGTTCGTTTTATGCGGAACTTGTGCGGTCCTAAGCAACCTCGACTTTGCTGAGATCAGGCTCGTTCACCTACATGCTGCTAAGGGTGCGGCTCATGCCTCGTTCTCCGACTGGCTTTTGGCATTCGGAGAGCGACTGCCTCACGTCCGACACGCTCACATGGCATCGCCGCAGTCCGTCATCATCGGAGTGTGCTCACAGACTCAGACAGGCACGAAAGAGATCACCTGCACTGAGACAGACTGAGACATCAATGCCACACAGACACTGAGATGATGTGAAGGGATTGTAGGGTATGTAAAGGTCCGAACCTCCCGGACTGTCAGTTCTGGATGGAGGGCATCGTCCTGTCGCACATACCCGACCTTAGCACATGCCAGCACATGCACAAGCCCCTGCGGTCCATACAATCCCTTTCAACCCCCGCACAAAAAACTAAAGCTTCTGAAGGGAAGGGGCAGTTCTTCGAAGCTTTCGTTTGGCGATCTTCTGACTGAGCAGCGGCGAGCAGCGCTTCATGGATGCACAGACCGTAGCCCGGCCCTGGTCCCTCATTCTTGGGGGGACAAGGATCAAAAGGTGGCCTGTTGAGATAAATCGACCCAGTCCACTTTGTGCTCGTGACCTGGCGGCCATGCTTCCAATGCCCTGTTGAACAACAGGCATGCTATAAACTTGGGCACCACGCAGGCCTCCCCAGCAAGACAGGACAAGAGTGTCGTTTTGCCACAACCGGAGGGTCCGAGCACAGCTAACGGCCTCCGGTGCACACCCAAGTGATCAGAACACGCTTTGACCCATGTTTTGGGAGGATATTCTGGAGGTCAGCCTGCCAGTGCGCACGAGCCCGCTCATCCTGCCAAGGAGGTGTCATTGAATGACCCAGTAACTAGGCAGCCAAAAGTGTCGAAACACCATGGCTGGAGACTGCAACAGCTGGCGCACCCTTCGTAAAGCCCGGCTCCATTGGGAAGAGTGGCATGGAGATCCTCGGGGCCACTTCGAGAAACCAGGAAAACCATGCAAAAGCTTCAAAAGACAGGATATCGCCTGCCAAACCAAAGCAGCCGAGCCCTGTCAAGGACTGAAGTGGCCATGCTCAAGCATCACGGAGCCATTTGTGCAGGTATGCCTGCTGCCGGGTGCTCACCCACGATGGGGGTTCCAAGGCCTGAACGAACCCAGAACCCGAGTAGAATCACGCTGCTAGCCGATACCATCCCTTTAACCATCCGTTCTGCGATTCGTTGCCATGCCGACCTAGGGCTCAAACATCGCTGGGGCCCGACTCTCGCATAATCGGCCGGAAGCAGCGGTGGTATGTCTTTACACGGTACCTGCCCCATGCCGCAGCATCATGCCGCAAGTTCTCATAGGAAACAGAACATGCAATGATGACACGTCGTGACACGCTATGCGGCGCGGCACCATCGAAGCCACAGCGGAATGAAGGCCAGCACCCAGATGCTGCCCGCGACAAAGCCCAACATCTGGAGGTTGTGCTCCAATTGTGTGGGGTCCACGTTGAACTGCTGTGGCCAGATCTGAGTCGGGACTTACTCAGACTTACTCAGACGTACTCTGAATCTGGACATCGTGATACCGTATTCCACAGTACTCCGTCACTGCGCAGGGGCTCCGGCACTCCCCTCCACCGTCACAGCTGCATGACCTTTACATGCTTTGTCCCTTCAATGTACTGTGCGTCTCATCTGTCGGAACGAGTGTTTCGAGCTACGAGTGTTTCGAGCGCCGCTGGGCTATGCTGGGCTCCAAGACCCGTGGCTTCAACAGTCGTCTCCAGGCCCACGAACTCGCTGGAGATCATCGCAGCAAACGCGTGCGCAAAAGGCGACACGTCGTTCAGCCACCTGCTCTCGCCGTCACTGGCAACTAGCTCCGCCCAATTTGGGATGAGGCTTCACAACTCATGCGTTCCCTCTCTGTTTTCTACTTCAAATCTCTTCCATTTGCGAAGATGCTGTGGTCGGGCATACGGTTGCGGTCTCAGTCGCCTTTGCTTGGCATCTTTCCTGCCTTCGTTCCTGTCTGTGGCTCCATGTCTCCTGTTTGTTTAGCCTCTGCAGCTTCAAATCTGCGTTTGCCACATGAACGAAACTCTGCCCAAAAACTTTTTCGGGAGGCAGTCCCGGCAGCTTCACCCGTTCAGCCACACCTACGACGAACATGCCATCGATTGCCTTCAAGCTCCCTTCATGAATGACGCAAGAACTGGTTCTCACGACGGGCAGGGACGGGTTCAGCTCAGACATCGGAGCGGCCATAGGAAGCCATATGGACCCATGGAGTGAAGTTCAGCAAACGTAAGAGCGTAGGCGCGGGTGTATTGCAAAAATACCCCTGGTTACAACCGAGGCAATAGGGAAACTCAATCAAAGGACACAGGCAGACTCAGCAGAAAGATGGGTCAAGAACCGTCAAACGTCAAACCCGAGACAGTCAAAACAGTCAAGGAATAGAAAGAGCCAGCTTCAAAACAAGACAAACGCCAGCGCACAGAAACGACCTCGATGGAATGCGGGACCCCACCCCCATTCTCGAACAAAGAGCCTGCAAGAATGATTTATCGAAACTGGTACCTGCCAAGAAGGCCTCTGGCTGGGGGCAAACTCGCACTACATTTTCCACTACCTGTATGTCTTGTTTATCTCACCAGCCTTGACTTTAAAGCTTCGAGCTCGGTGGTGGAAGACGTACCGACATTTTGCATGTGCGTTTCAACCAACTCTCCTAGCTGGAGGCCTACTTGGAAGGTGAAAAAAGCCTGAGCTGAGAATGCAGAGGGTTGCAGCTGCAACCATGCGTCCCTCGAGGCTAGCGGCTAACTTACCATGGGCACAGGCTGTACATGCTACCTTCACCCACTCTGAAAGGAGATCTCGACGAAAACATCATTCTCATGAGTATTGAGCCGAATATTGTTAGTTTCGCGTGGAAGCGCTGTCATGAAGGAATCAAGCTAGTCTGAGTGCTTGTGCGCGAATCTAGCAGCATCAATGTACAAGCTCCCAGACAAATTTCAGCACCCTCGGAATCCATGCCGGATCCGGATGGGCAATGCAGCCTCAACGGTCCTTCCTTCATGTGCCTCTTCAACTTAGCGATTCTCCGTCCGCTGATCCCCGATGCTCTACGCAGGAAACTGGGAAATGATGTTAGCCTCGTAGAGTTCGTTTAGAGGCTTTTTAGTTGCTTCGTGGGGTGATGCTGATTGGGCTTAGGAGCTCTATATCAAATTGGAAGAGGCCAAGCAGCAACCGGGAGGGATTGCACTACCGATATTGCCTGAAAGTCCAGGGAATCGCATCCCGCCGCTGGAGGAAGCCTGCATACATCTGCAGCACCTGTGCGACAGCCAACCAAAACAAGCAAAACAGGGCCCTCGTTTTTGTGTGCGCTCTCGTGTTGCTGAGGCGGTTGCTGTCAGAAAAATTGCGGCCAGCGAGATGCCATTGGCGAATGAGCTCGTGAGCGAGAGGCACAGCAGACCTGGCTCGGGACAGCTCTGCCACTGTTAGGTTCTAGATGTCAGGCGTGTGAAGATAAGATTGTTGTGGATTCTTTCGATTCTTGTTCACATCAGCCCTTAACCTTCAACTTCCAAAGGGGCCCTCGTGCTGACCAGGGCCCAAACTCACTCCGCTTGCAGCAGCGGTGGTGCCAGCCGTGCACAAGTAGAAGGTCACGATCTTTGAGATGCTGCCCTTCAGCATTCTCCCGCTATTGAAGGTTTTAGGGTATATGGCTTCTGCTGGCCTGCGATAGGGTTTAGCGCTTTTTTAAGCTTAGCATGAGCAAGCAGCCTATGAGTCTACTAGGTTACTAGGTCACCCATCCTGAAAGCCGATGAGATAGTACACGATGCCAGCCTGGATCCGACTTGTCACGAGAACAAAGACCAAAAGACCAACATCTGAAGCTGCGCTTGCTGGACTTTTGAGGCTGCCGCATACATGGCAGGCACAAGAAGGCAGTACCTGCAGCAATGCTGTGGCCGCCTTCGACGCACTATGTCGCTGTCACTAGATCTAATTCTTACTTCATGACGATTTCGGCTGCCGCAAGGGTAAGGGCTCTGCCACCACAGGTACGCCGATCCTTTCGCAAGGAAGTACGACAGCACCTTGGAAGGGGACTTCAGCGCAAAGGCTCAGTCGACACCACCGAGGCCCCAGACATTGTACAGCTTCGAGGCTCTCTCACGATCAAGTCGATCCCGGTCAACATACCACAAAGTGCAGGCCTGCATGGGCAGAACAGAAATTCAAAACAGCCGCTCTAACGAGTCGTACCTAGCGGACAAGTACCTAACGTGCCTGCAACCCAAAGAAGCTGAAGAAGAGCTGCGTGAAGAAAATGGAGCCAAATCGGTTCTGGACTCCGGCAATGCCTTCAAGCCACTGACTAGTCACGAAGGTTCTGCCCAATCGTTTGTGCAGCTGCTTGCAGGTGTCTCAACGGACTGCGCTGTGACGTGCTGAGTTGAGGCATGCTGCCCATGTCCAGGTTTCTGAAGGTGAAGCCAACCTCGCAGCAAAAATCTTGTATGGAGGCTCAGATTGGCCTACTTGGTACAAACTCATCCCCTCAGGCCGCTGCCAGGAATGCGATGCTCAGGACGACAATAGCGGCTACAAGGCCCGCATAATTGCCACGGGTGGCCTTCGCCATGTGCAGCTGTGTGTACTTCCAGGGCCATATGCCAGCAAACAGCTGCCTCGCGAAGGCTACGCTGGTACAGGAGGAAGACCTCCCGAACATGATCGAGAAACAGCCGCTCTTTGTAACGATTGCTTGCAACAAGGCAAAATCTGCGGATGCAGCTAACTAAAGCAGTTTCGAGACAACGCTGACGAGGCCATACATATGCATCCACGGTCATCTACGAGAAGGCCACCAAAGGCCACGAAGGGCCACGCTAATGCCACGCCTGCAATGCCAGGCTCGCCTGGGCAGCGCCAGCCGTGGCGCGGGAGGCAATCGCCTCAGAGTTCAGAGGTCTGCTTCAAAAGCCGGGAGCTCCGCCGGCACCCAGGGTCGTCGCTGACCGCCGGCTGAGCTTGCGACCAGAGCATCGGAGAGGTCGTCGTCAAAGCCGACAAAGCAGCTGCGTCTTTGGGCAAGCGACTGCCTCATCTTACAGGTTGTTGGCTGATGCTACGATGTCATTCGGCCAGTACCTTGACACAAATCAACCATTTGTTTGAGGCCCGTGCTTGCTGACAACCTTCTTGATTTCTGCCACAAGCACAGGGTCCACGTTCCAAGCGCCTTCATTTTGGCCCGGACCAGGCCTGCGTCCGGGGCCAGGAGGCTTCCAGATTTCAGGGGGCAAGAAGATCAAGAGAAAAGCACATGGACAATGGGAACCTCTCGTTGGGTATCAACCTGTCTGGGCTCCAGTCCTCCTGCTCCTCCTGCCAAACGTCAGCACAGTGTCGCCAGGCATTCTGAGGGGAGCTTCAGCACTGTCTCCTTATGTAGCCACGGGTCTGTGGTCTTGGTCAGCTGGTCTCCGTACTGCCCCAAGTCGAGCCTCAAAAAGCAAACAAATACACTTAAAGCCAAACACTCCGAACCAAGGCCTCCTGGAAAAGAACTGGGGGAGGGGCCTAGCATTGAAGAGTTGGAGGAGCTCTGCCCGCGGCTGATGCATGCTGCAGATGAGCAGACGCCCTCCCTGCAAAACGCGAGGATTCACCAAAAAGGGACATTGGAGCCAAATGGGAGACGTCGGAGAGATCCTTCTTTGGATCACCCTGGCCTCGGCGAGTTGGGCCATGACCCGCCCAAGCATCAAGGCGCAGCTGGCGTCAAGTCCAGTTGTGGGCTCCTTAGCTCTTCAGAGGATGGTTTTGGCGGTAGCAAAGCATGGCCACACTCGAGGCAGGCCAGTCCCAGTTGCATCCAGCACCATGATCGGAGGCGATACTACCAACTCCACACCTGTTATTTCTGTTCAAAGTAACTCGAAAGATGTCTCTTCAAGGAGGTCCAAGCGCCACTCAGGCCTATAGCCACACGCCGGCGTTCTCCTCCGGAGATGCCTCGTCTGTGGCTGTCCCCGATCCGGGAGTTGGCCACTTCCTGGCAAGACGCCATTTTCTGGCGAAGCAAATGCAGAGCATGTGAGACGACGGGCGACGGGCCTCCAGCTTGAGCATTTTCAGGGCCCAAGAGACTCGCCCAGCTCTTTTCGCAGCCTACAGTACGCGAAGCCAGTGCGAAGTGAAGCCAATTGTTCACAAGACTTCTACTTGGGGAGTGGGCACTAAGCGACCGCAACCGCAGCGCCGCAGAGAACTCCAGGGCCTCCAAGTAGGCTGAGTGGGCACTTTATTTAGACATGAGGGATCATCAGGGCATTAGGGGGTGAGCAACGACAAGCAGGGCGAGCCTCTCGAACGGTGAGCGTGGCCCCGAGGATCTCATCCTGCTCCGACCACGCATGGTCCGAAGGTCTTGTCATGCTTTTCATCCAACCTGGTAGACGAAGGAGACATGGCGGCGTCGGCTTCTTGCCGACATCTCCTCAAGCATGCGCAAGTTCCGAGGCGAACCACACAAGCATGCTTCAGATTCACTTTGAGTGAGTCAATATCTGTCCTTGCCATTGATGCGGACCTGTGCAGTGTCCCCTGGCTGCATCCTACCAGCCAGCGCCTGCGAAATCGCGGATGAATCGACGCCGAATGGGGCAGTCTTTGCGAGCAACCTTCAACAAACATCTGCGCAGCCGACCTCGAGGAGTGTTGTCTTCCCACTTCCGGAAGGCCCCAGAAGGGCTACCAGCGCACCCCGGCCCGAGGAGAGGGACTGCCAAGGCTTTCTTCTAAAAAAGGGGACACTCTTCTTGAAAGACCTGTACAAGGAGCTCCGTGGAGCAGCTACTGGCCTCCACTGAGCCAGACACATCCTTCAGGACCTGCCAGACGCATCTTGCAGAATCCGAGGACTAGAAGGGGAGCCGAGGGTACCGGTTGTGCAGGGTGTACAATGGTGCGCACCTGCTTGTCCTTGCGGGCGCAGTTCACGCCCTGCCAGCTGAACACAAGCGTCGCACCTGCACGATGCACGATCATTCTCAGTCACTAGCCACAAGTCAAGACCAGCCAACACGAGCCCGACAGTCCAGGCCTGGCGGTGTGCTGCCGAAGCCTGCACAGGTTCAATGGAGAAATCAAGATCAGTCGTTGAAAGGCTTTGTTATCACCGTTATCCAAAGAATGGCTCGCTCTCTTCCTCGCTGTTCAACTACTTTGGGGCGTTCTGAAGAAGAGCGAGGAAGCGAGCCCCATAAGCAGGTAGAAGGAAACCACGACGAATACGCACAGATAAGATTTGATTGTATGGGGTTGGTTTGTGAGACTTTCTTTCCTGCTCATGCCATGTACGAAAACCAATCCACAGGTTGTCAAGCAGGTCGTCTTGTCTTGCTTGAAAGTAGCACAACTGCGCGTGTGACTACTGGTTATCTTGGTTCATGCGTGCCTGATCGTGGCTCGTGGCTCGTAAGGTTTTCACATCAACCATTTGTCAACTTGAAGATTCGTACTACCACTTTTTTTCAAAAAAGGGCCGAATTCCATGTTTCTTCCTCCACAGACTGGAAATTAACCCTCCAGGCAGAGACTACAGGAGGCAGAGCCTAACACCATGGGAAGAAGATTTCAACTCTGGCCATGGAGAATACATGGCCATTTAGGAAACAGACGCCAAACTCATACACGCCTGCTGCAGGCGATAGCTAGCGAAGTCAGAGTCCTGATCCCGACATAGCTGATGGTTGTGGCACATCATCGACTCGATCACAACTGGGCAGAGGAGGAAGACACAAAATAAGGCGGATGACATCGCAACCTGACTTGACTCTGAGCGGCGAAGGCAATCGTGACGTTCATCGTGTAAGCTAGGACGCTCAAAGAGCATGGCACTCAAACGGCAAGGATGTGCGACGCAATCATTGACACGACAAATCATGCTGTATAGGCTGCGACTCATCGAAGCGCGTACAATTGCTTGTGGCATCGTGTGCCATTGGTAACTTGTCTTTGCTTGTTGCGCTAAAGCAGCGTCCATTGTGGGAACTATCCACAATAGGAAAGGGAGGAAGCAAAGTGATGAGGCAGGGTGGGGTGTGGGACTGGTGTGTGATGTGTGCAAGTGGTTCCACACCAGTTAGTTTTTTGAGGACTCAAACATAGAGAGAGAGAGAGAGAGAGAGAGAGAGAGAGAGAGAGAGGCAGAGCCACACTGAAGCGAAGTGATACTCTTGAGGTGCTCAGCGTCTCTTTGCCTTGATTCCTGTTCGAGCTGTGGCTGGATTTAAGCAGCGACGAACCACTCGAGAACAGGGAAAAAGTAACAAGGGGTGCCGGGGACCATCACGTCCAACATGCTCGTAGCTCGTTTCCTGCATGGACCTGTGGGACCTGGCTGCGCTATCTCTTGAGCTCCTCCGGTCTCCAACTTCCATCTCCTATTCAAGGCTTTCGGCCTGCCTGTGCAAATTATCTTTCCCCTGAGGACCGTGGATGTTGAAGCTCTCCGCCTTTTGTGGGCAAAGCCTAGGCGGTTTCTTCGTCAATTGTTATGCTGCCTTGCTCCGCACCAGGTTCGCCTCAGTGCCTCTGTCCAGTGCCTCTGTGAGTGCTCAACTTGGGCTCTACCGCTTCATCCACGCCTCCGAGCCCGGAGGCATTAAGCATCTGCTTCCCCAGCTTCACGACGGAAGCCGGATCTGATGTCACCACGGCACCACGCAGAAATATCGGCTGCTACAGTCTGATCAAGGTTCCGCAATGCGAACTGTCTGGTAGCCATGCCTTCTCATGCTAGCACCCGCATTGAGCACTACTTCAGGACGGTTTCCTATCCGAACCAGGGAATTGCAAGGCTTGAACGAATTTATACAAGTAACGTCGGATGGAACTTCGTGCAGCCGTGCGGAAGCAAAATGCAAGAGAGGGGTCGAGATGCTGTGGTCGAGATGTTGCAGAGACAGACTCCGGAATGTCTTTCCCATGGAATGGATCCTTAAAGTTGCGGACCACATCAGGGCCCGGTTTCCGAACATGAAGGGATAAAATAAGCAAAAACAAATACCTGGTTGGGCCTCCGAGGGCTGCCTGTGCTGCAGCGATGGCAGGCAAAGGTGCGCCCGGCATGTCCAGCAAGGCCCCGTTCGCCAACCTGCACGGCCACAGGTGAGGGGCGGTGCTCTACCCTGAACAATAAACCCTAAACCCTAAACCCTAAACCCTAAACCCTAAACCCTAAACCCTAAACCCTAAACCCTAAACCCTAAACCCTAAACCCTAAACCCTAACCCTAAACCCTAAACCCTAAACCCTAAACCCTAAACCTGGAAAGCCATGGGTCTGCGGAGACCTGGAAAGCCCTGTGATGTGCCTCTTCGTCCGCAGGCAGTCCAGGACCACACAGATCAGAACGAACCTCAACTCTTCCGACGATGCGCACGGGCTTCTACCGCATGCAAAAATGTCATCTGTAAGTGCTCGACAATGAAAGCACCACGAGGAGGGCTAGGGCCAGTATGGCCACTGTTGTCCATTGCCCGAAGAGGTCAATCGATGTTCGGGCAAGGACAACCTGAACATATTGGAACGGACGATGACTGTCTCGGCCACTGGTGGGCAGCGTGAGACTGTTGGATTAACCAACAGCCGAAGGGATCTATTGAACTGCCTAGTTTCATCTTGCATAAACTTAACTTGAACGTCATCATATTAGGTTCGGAGATTCGGCAGATCAAACGCACAAGTGCAAACGACACACGCGCTGCCTCATCTGTAGAGTTGTCTGGGACACACATGCCCGTCTGGCAGTCAAAGGAAAATGGTGTTGGCAGGTCCTTGCTCGACTTTTGGTTGCAAGCACAGCCGCAACAAGCCCCGTAGGTTGTGGCCAACTTGCCAATCTCAGGCGGTTGCATCCAGAGTGGTACGACACATCCCCGTGGCATTCAACCCATCCTGTCAGGCAGCCACCGGCATGCCGAATCATGTTGAAGCCTTCCCTGCCAAACTCCGCCTCACAACCCATCACCACACCGTTGCGGATGCCATCCACGAGGATCCTCGCCGACGAGTTGCCCATGGATTCTTTATGACTGTGCGTTGTGGGCATGATCTGTATTTAATGAACTGCTAGCCTGACTGCCAAGTGGACATTGAGTTCTAGGTTTCGCATGCTCCACCAAGCAAAGCCAGAGTCGGTCGAGTATTCTAGCACGCAGGTTGGAACGAAAGTCCTTGTAATGGAGGATAACCAAGAATCGTCCGGATACGTACACCTGCAACAGCAGACGAGGCAGCTGAGTGGAAACCACATTGGCGTCAACCGGAAGAATGCTCATGATGATGTGCGTCGTAGCCATCTGCTGACAACTTTCTTGAACGCTCTAGTTTCAATGCACCAGTGATATGAGGCTGCTGCTCGCAGAACTCGCAGCGTGCACAGGGGCTGGGCACATTCTTGTCAGTGCAGGCCTTGCTGCTTCTTGCTTCATGCGACACATCTGAAGCAGTCTGAAGCAATCTGAAGCTCGTAGAACTATCTCTCTTCATCTTCCTCATCTTGAGCTCCACACCCCGCTCTGCTCACCGGTAAGCCCATCAATCTCGTCGTACAGGGAGCGGCACTCTGTGCACCCGCACCTCCAGGATATCATCTCACCCTTCTTCAGCCCGGCATCACTCGAATGCGCCCCAACATCCCAACATCTCAGGCAGCAGCTGCATGAGGATGGGCTGGCGGTGGCTGCACATGGTGTTGATGATGTCCTGGGCAGCTGCTCGCTTCTCTCAAGTCCTTTCAGGAACCTGCGGCCAAGATGCCAAGCGCGCGATGCCCTCCGAAGGGAAATACTGCGCAAAGAACTGCGGGCTGGCCCAGCCACCAGACCTGGCAAGTTTGTGTTCTTTTGGGCGTCCAACTCCATTGAGGGGTCCCGCTGCTCTCATTTGAGTTCAAGACCAGAACAAGCGATATAGTGAAGAGCGCTCGAACTCTTCGGAGAAGCTGCATGAGAACTGCCTGTGGCACAGACTCTGAGCACAGGCCAATCGAAGAAAAAAAGAACCGAGGCCGCTGCTTGTCATGGAAATTGTCCAGCACCATGGACCTGCTGGCAACATTCACAGACTGGTGCAGCAGAGAATCTAACTGGTTTGAACGGGCGGCTTCAAGCATAACTTTTGATGCCTGCCTCAAACACCGGCCATCCTCTCCACAACCTTCGTCGGTTGCCTATACACAGGCATGGTGGCATGCTCATGTTCCTGCAAGATCTAGCTAAATACAAAGGCAAGACATGCTCACCATAGCCGTATGTCTATATAAGGACCTGACGCAATTCACGCATTGAAAACCGCCCATTCCCGCAGGGCACGGGCACTGCCTCAGTAAGTCTTTTGTTGTTTTCTCACCCCCTCGTACCTCTCTTGCTTTCTCGCTTGCTGCTGGCATGAGGGCCGGGTCAACTTGCTCACACGTACCCACGTGTTCCAGTTGCGTCCTCCCGAGGCCTGGCCCACCTCGCGGGTTCTCTCAGATATTCCTTTCTTGCATCTTCTCCGCAGCTCTAGCTCCAGAAGAAGGGGCCATGTTTAACAGCTGCAAGGAACCCAAAGTGCTGTCCAGAGGGCTCCGAGTGCTGTCCCCCGGAATTCAAAGAGCTGGGGGACCCTCTCAGATGATGGCTGCTGTCCAAGGTGTCCAAGGCGGTCGTGGCTTGACAGCGCTTTTGCCGAGCAAATGATGCTCATTCTCGCAACCGTCGATTCCTCTTTATTGCTACTCTTTAAGTTCCGTGTGGCATCTTTGCCAGCCACCTGCGGTCGCAAGCTTCAACAAGCAGGAGTTTGTTCTTGACTCGCATGCTTTCTTCTGTGCTAGATCTCCCGGCTGCCGGATCTCTTCCGTTTTCGTGCGATATCTCGTCTGTCACTGTCCGCCATGCTTTGGACTTTGCGCTGGAGCTCTCTTTTTGGTTATTGTGAAAGGGTATCCGGCTCGAACGTGCACCTCGTGACCCAACTGCCTGCACTCGTTGTGATTTGTGCGTGCGTCACTCAGGGTATTGCGGTTCTGACTTGAAGGAGTCAGGGTTTGGGTCAGGGTTTCAGTTTCTGTGCTTAGAGGGACTGCAAGCAGGGCTTTGGCTTGGCTAAACTGTGTGACGCACGTGCGAGCGAAGCTCTTTCAGCTCCCAACTCACAGGACCCTCAATCACCCCTCATTATAGTTCCTTGTCTTGTCCTCTTCGGCTCATGCATTAAATTATGCCCAGCGCTATCCCCTTCAAACCCCAATGTTCCCCCCCCAATTTGGATCGTTTGCCCGGCGAGGCGTCCATAACTCTCCCACTGCGGAAAGGCGCCAAGCCTCATGCACAACCTGGTAGATGATCTTCTCACTGGCGAGGTGGACTCTCTCTCTCTCTCTCTCTCTAACTGTATCTCTTTCTGCGCCGGGACAGATGAACCATGTCACAGACTTGCTTGGGAGCCAGCTCGCACTCGCATTTCAGGAGCTCAGCAGTGTCGTCTCCCGGTGGCAAAGGGCACCAGAAGGAGCCCGATCCTTGGGCGAAGACAAGCACAGGGGGCAATCTTCCGAAATGAGCACCTGAGCCTCCCGACCAAGGTTGCCCTTGTACTCACAGCTATCCGTAGCGCAGTATTGCAGGCCGTTGTCGGACCAGCGCCAGTCCTTCTTGCTTTGATATGCTTCGGCTTTATGAGGGCCGAGCCCCAACCACACTTGACGCCCTAGACTTGCAGCTGAAGGTCGCTGCCGGAGGTGGGTGAATGTATCTCAGTACCTCGGTCATGCCCTCTGTGCCCTCTGTGCCCTCTGGAGTCTGCCATTTGTGGAAGCCCAGGATGATAAGACCGTGGGCGTGGCCATGCGGTGCGGCGCGCACTGAACCAGGTACAGTTCCAGCCTGACTGAGCGCGCCTTTTCATCACTTGCACGGTCTAAGTCTAAGTGAGAGAAAACAAGGCCGAAATTCCCATGAGCTTCCAGAATGCAGTCGAAGATCTCCACATGTGCCATCCTCCCAACAAAATGTCTACAAAACGCTATGCCCTCTACGGTTCCCCAGAGAACACACTTGGTCCTTGCTCAAGCGCACTCTGGAATCCGAAAAGAGCGGGTCAGAGGCGTTGAGAATGATCAGCTGTGTGGTATTGTTGTAAGCCGAGGCAAACCTTTCACGCGACATGGAGGCGACTCCAAGCCGCGGTGGGAACGTACGACGTCATGCGGTCACACATACTGACCGCCTGCCTTAGGCTCAGATGGGCAAAAGCTACCCATGCTAGTTTGCCGGAACCTGAGCTCACATGGTCACATGGGGGCTCTGATTTCAACCTCCGGACATCTCTCAAGCACAAGACCAGAGAGGCCACAGGATGCGCAAAGCTCCCGACAACTTCGGTAAGTCATTCCGACAGCATGGCACATGAAAAGAGGGGCGACCAGTGTTCTACACAGAATTGGGATGCTGCGTTGGCTAGTTGCACTGTTTGCAGGATGGCTCTGCCCGAAAGGAACCAGCAGATGTCTTGCGCTTCTGGCAGCCGGTTGGTGCGATGTATTGCTCGGAAGTCTCACGTGGCTTGCACTTGGTCCGAGGGTGCATGAGGCATGCTTCGGTATGCAATGTTTCGAGTACGAGAAGGAAACTCATGTTCGCCAGAGCATGACCGGTTGAAGCACAACTATAAGGACAGGAATCCCATGCATTGAGCCGTCAATAATGCATCTGGGGAAAGGCTGCAGTGCCGTTTCAACAACACACGCATGCTACCAGCAGCTGTTTTCAAGGCAAGAAATGTCCAGCATCAGCGCCGCTCCTGCAAAACGAAGCTGCACATCGCCAGATCACAAATCATATGAACACCTGACACTGCCACTGTAAGACGCTGCTCCCTCCTCCACATAAACCATCTGGAAGCAACCCGGTCGCTCCAGGAAGGCCGGCGAACAGGCACCTTTGGTTTGTAGTTGGCTGATTTCTTGGCTTGAGGGTTGAGGGTCGAGGGTCGAGGGTCGAGGGTCGAGGGTTGAGGGTTGAGGGTTTAGGGTGCGTTGGGCTTCTCTCTCTTCTTACGTGAGCTCGCCTCGGGGCGTGGTCAAGGCCACTGCTTCCAATCTGGGATCCGCCTTTCCTTTGGTCACCCAGCCGGGGTCTCCTCCCCTCTTGGCGTCCGGAGCTTCGGAGTGCTCCTGCGGGCAAACTCACCAACAGCCACAATAAGAGATTTTGCACAAATGTGCTATGATAGGCTCTGAAGTCGCATTGGCTTTTTTGGTCTCCCTTTCTTCAGCAGAGGCTGAGCTGATCCGACTTCAAGTTCGCAAGATGGGGAAACAGGTGAAACGAAGTGACACGGCATGTCAGAGCCCCTGCCAAAAGTGATAGTCCCAGCAAGGAAGGGCTTCTCCCTGCACAAGTGCCAAGGCCTTACATCAGCTTAGAGTGCAGCTCAAGAAGCTTGGCCGGCTTTTGCATTTTTTTGCATGGATACCATCAAAGCACCATCGCCAAAGCAGCTGAGAAACCGATTGCAGAAGCATCGCCAGCTTCGGCAAAAATACCAGAACCTGCCACTACTCCAGGCAAAAGGGCACCCCCGGGCTGACCCGCAGGTTTAGCAAAAAAAAGTATGGGCGCCGGCATTGTCGCCGTGGTTGTATGCATCCTCCTCTGTCATGTCGCCGATCGTGGACAATCGTGCCTGTCACTGAGCCATTAGCGCCCTCAGCCCTCAGCCGGCAGGAAGTGAGAGAGCATGAGAGAGCAGTACACTCAGCAATTCATGGCTCGAGCACCCTCAGTCCGCGCGGCAAAGTTTGCTAACCCCCCCCCTTGCTTCAAGAAATGGCTGGAATTCTAGATTTCTTTAGCTTCGAAAACGAAGGTGCTGGAAACTCTTGCTTCACGGGGTTGGAGAAATCAGAGTTTTGAAGCACTCGTTCCTAAACTTCAGAAACTTAACTGGACGAAGCAATCGAGAATACCCTCACATTGTGGAGCTACAGCTTTCGAAAATAAATTGGTTGCATAATTCAGAAGCCAGCGTCGAAACGCTAAGGAGCGGAGCAATGCCCCGCCATGTTCCTTTCCTCCCGCTTTGGTAGGCCGACCGGGTCCCCGCTATCTCCAGCGAACTCTGGCTACACGGAAAGTCACGTCTTCGCACGGAAAGTCACGTCTTCACGTCTTGTGGCATTTTCGTGTCTCCGCCCCAACAAGTACGCAGCCCTGGGACTGATAAGCACTCTGTAACCTCGCAGGCCCTTGGGCCCATCGGAAGGCCGTGGAAGGCCACCTCACTCGAAAGCGGGGTCCATGGTAGAGGGTTCACCCAAGGGTGGGGGTGGGAAACAAGGCACTTAACTCGCCGTTATGGCTCAACTGACCCTGGTCCCAGGCCAGCACCCTCGAAACGAAACCGTGTGTACCCAAGCTTGGGTCAAAGAGTCAAGGCTGTCATATGTGGCCTGCGTGACGGTTCCTTCAAGGTCGTGAGGCCGAGCGCAGATGTGATGAACAGCAACCTCAGGGTAAGTTGAAGGCCAAGACCGAAACCTGACGAAACCTACTCAGCTGCTCTACAATACTTTTACGATGTTCAAAATCTGAGCACGAAGCCAGTCGAGCCAATCCACCAAAAATTTGGCTGCCGTCGGCATTCCAGACCTCGGAGCCTGGCGCTGAGATTCTGGAAAAATTGGACCAAGATCGTCAAGGCCAAGGCAGTCGCAACGCATGATCACAGCTGAGCTGCAGCGCAGCCACACCGGCGAGCTCCGGCTCCTGGCGCATATTTGCTCGAGACGTGCAGATCTCGTATGGCGTTACATGTCATGGCATGGCCTGAGCTCGATGACCGCACCACCAGCGCGCATGGCCCAAAGCCATGCCATTCCGGCGCCGTGTGCTGCCACGAGGATATCCTGAGACACGTGTAAGATATTGAGTCGAAAGACTTTCATACATGCTGCAGTATGTACAGTGCTTGCGACTCTACTGCCCATTCGATGCCCATTCGTGATGGGCAGGCCGAGCCACTACTCCCGTGAACATGCGAAACTGCTCCACCCACGGGACACCGTGCACAAGATTGTTGATGACCTTGACCTTCAGCTCTGCGAAGTTGCTTCGGACGAACTGCAGTACCTCCAGGCAACTTAAAGGGTCACTGGCCTCACTTGCTATGGCTTAGCTGCCTTGTTCCCTCTCGGTCTGCGGCCTCATCAAAGTTCTCAATTTGTCTGCCGTCCGCAGCAGGCCTGAATACTCCAGCGATGCAAGCAAAGGGACCAGCAGCCTCTGGGACTCTACACCTTGCAGCCGTGCCTTTGCAGCAGGGCCAGCTGCAAGCCTGGAAAGGGAGCTTCCCGGGACTTCGAGGCAAAGATTTTCTCAACTGCAGGGCCTGGCTGCTCAGTTGCACCCGAGTCTGAGGACCAGGAAGACTGCACCCATCGCTTCACCGCGGAGATCTGGTGGCAGGTCAGCTGGGGAGTTTGCAGGAAGAATCGCATCGAAGGGAGACCCAGGACGACGTTGCTGTAGCTCTCACCGTGGAACTCTTGCAGAGGACGCGCTGGCTGCGATGAGAGCCACCTGAGGACTCCCGTATGGAGGCCCCCAGCAGCAAAGTGCCTTACATTCTTTGCGAGCTTCGGCCACTTCGTCTCCAAGAGGGACCACTGATCGGGCTCCGTGTGGCCACGGAAGTTGGCATCCAAGATGCGGCCCTTGGCTGTGGATTTGGCCCAGTCGATGTCCTCGTGGGGAAAGACCAAGGCCACCTCCAGCTGCGAAGCATCGATCCGCTTCGTGAGCTTGTAAAACCACAAGGCGGGAAGCCACCAATGCAGATGGTGCCAGGGATTTGCCTCCCACGCCATCGTGATGGGAAGAATCGCCAAGACGCGCTGAGTCTGAAGGTTCTGAACCGCCTCAGGGTCCTTCAAGATCTCGGCCTGCAGCCAGAATCGCCCCAGCTCGGTGCAGAGAGGCCCATACGGTCCATGCTGGAAGCTGCGACCCAATGGTCTTACGATGGCACCGCCGATGGTGGAAGCTCCAAGTTCATGTGGGCCACACTGATTCCATGAGTGTGGCTCTGGGTTCGGGAGCCGGGGAGCCCGATTCAGTGACGCCTTCCTCCAGGCCATGTGCTTCAGTAGGGTATGGTGGAGCACAACCGTCCTGGGCCGGCCCGCTCCAACCTCCCAAACCAGCCTGGCATAGTGGAGGATGGCATCACGCGCAGTGAATCCCCAGTAGGCTGCGTCAACACAATCCCCAGCGAAGGTCGCGAGCTGGAAGATTCCCGCGCTCAGCATAAACGCTTTGCGCATGTCTTGCTCCAGTATGCAGGAGTGAAGCAAGATGATAAGGGTTGCAAGATTGCCAGGTACACACTGCGAGGAGGCAGCCATCAGCTGGATTGCTCTCGGATGCACCATGTCGTCATCGTTCCTTTCACAGCCTTGTAGACTGAGAGCATTATGTTGCCAGGAGGTGCCATTCAGAAAGGCCTGCAGAAAGTGGGACTGACCTATGCCGAGTTCCAGAAACTGCGAATTGGCTCGGGCAAAGAACTCGCCAGCCTCCACACAACGGCAGAAGTCTCTGTGACCCCAGGCCGCCGTGTAAACCCCCCGAAAACCTGACCAAAGGTGCGTCTCCCGGTTCACGAGGGCAAATAGAATAGCGGAACTCAGCCTCTTTCGCAGCCCATGGAAGACCACAAAGTACACCATGAAAGCTCGATACGCCGCGCTCATGTCTGGCAGCTCTGCAAGCCGGCCGCCAAAACCGTTTAGCCGGCTGGTATTCCTTAGAGACTCCAACTCATCCCGGGCTCCTCTGAGCAACGCGGCCGTCATGGCAGCAGCCCTGCCACGGCTTACGCGGCGGCGAAGCAGACCACGGAGTTGTGCAGCAAGGTGCTTCGGAAGGCCTTCGAGCCCCGGGAAGCCCAGGTGCCCGTAGTTGAGGCTTCGGTAAGCGCAGCAAACCTCCTGCTCCTCAGTGGACAGAAAGCAACCCCCCGCGCCAGCGCCGGCGCCGTAGCAGCAGTGGGACCGCGCGCGGCCCTCCTTCCAGCAGCTCGACCTCTCCGGCTCCTGGAGCAAGTCCCTCCCCTGGACCAAGCCCAGGAAGCCCAGGAGGATGGTCTCCCGCATGGCTCTTCATCCTGCTAATTTTCACGGCCCCGGAGGGCGAGTGGAGAAATTGAAAAATCCTCTTTCACTCTTCCATTTGATCTGAATCGCTGCACAACGGCGAAGCTGATTTCTCTGCCACACAGCCCTGCAACAATGCTGCTTGCACGAGCCGCAAGTTGGCACTGCCTATAACTTTATGAAAAGACTATGTTGGCGCGCTTCTCAGAATTGAGCTACTGGAAGGCTCTACCGGACTCTACCACATGCCCTTGACTCGTGGCTGACCCGCAGTCCTGGATCAGCGCAAGGAATCGGTCCAGGTCTGCGCTGAGCAGGAAGCCTCCCCGACCCATGCCACTGCCAGCCGCCATCTCCTGCAACAACGCTTCAAGAGCTGGCGTTGGCTGACATGCGTTGGCACTTCAGAGGCTGGTCAAGCGCCTGGTAGCACCGTAGAATCTTCTCTTCTGTGCTAACCTCCCACAGTGAGGATTCTTGTTCCCCCTAACCCTATGTCCACCAACCTGTCTGGGAGGAGAGGATGTACATTGGGCTTTAACAGCGCAGGGCTAGCAGTAGTGCCGTGAGATCAGCACGATTAGAGCCAAGGCATGAACGTGAGATTCGTCCAACAGCCGAGAGACCAAGCGTGAGATGGAAAGGGCAAGGTGTAAGCCAGATGTCTCTGGGCACTGTAGAAATCCTATCACCCGGAAACCTTCCCGAAACCTTACAACTATGGGCTATGCAGGTGTTGCTCTTTGAGCTCAAACCCTTTTTTCACGTGGGAGATGGCCATCTCTGCAACACCGTGCCTGGAGTCTCCGAATCTTTGCTTGGCCGTTTGGCGGCGCCTGAAAAAGGTGACGCTGCAGACTTACACGAAGCTCTGCAATTCTGCAATCCTATAAGCCTAAGCAGCCCTGCAACAGATAGCCAGACACCTTGAGCGCTTTAGGCAAGCTCTCCTTGTAGCACGAAAATGCTCCAACCTGTCACTTGGGCTTGACGGATTGAAGGGTTTGGCCGGTGCCGACGCCGACCAGTGAACTCACTTTTCTGTCTGCCTGGGACTCACTCAACATGGCTTCTCCACGTCTCCGAGCACGCTCCCAAACGTCTTTGTTGAACCTGTCGGCTACTTCTTAGGACTTGCAGTGCGAATCTCCCAGAGCCTCTCAACATGCCGGCAGGGCATCGAAAAATCGATTCGCGCATCTCCTCAGGATGCTCAGCTGCCATATGCTGCAGAGGCAAGACATGGACAACTCTTTGCCGTCCTTCCCGTATTCGTGGGGCGCTGGCAGCAGCCTCCATACCTCTTCAAGCACTGTCAGCCCCAAGAATGGACACAGCTCCACGCAGACCTTCGTCTGAGATTGGCAACTCTGATCTCTGCTTGGTAACCTGACACAGACGCACACAGAGCCAAGCAAACACGCTGATTGATGACTCGTTGCCTGTGCTATGTTTAGCACCAGTATACTTCGAATTTCCAGCTCGTCTCTGTCAGCTTTCCAGCCTGCACGGCTTGAAAAGCCTTTGCCGCGGCGCTTTGCCTTCTTGGCACCTGCTCCGTCTCCAGTGCTGGGCTCCTCGAGCTCGCGTTCGTCAGATCTCTGCAGCAACCAAGGGTGACCATACAAGAGAAGGCTGCTGAGGCCTTTGCAGACAGAAAGCAGCATCTTTGGCTGACCTTGCTGCACGTTTGCTGCGCAGACCCTGTTCTAAACCAAGGCCAGCGAAGGGCAAGATATGGCAAATAACAGTGGATTTTTAAGTGCAAAGCTGGGGATGGGCATCGCCACCATCGCTTGTTGCTGAGGCTTGAGAGGAGGTTCCATGCGAAATCTCTGTCTGGGCTGAATCAACAGAATCAACCAGATAGTTGGGAGAGCTGGCAGAAACGCTCTGCCTGGGCTGCGAGCTCTCGCAGCAAGCACCCGGCCTTTGCGGGTTGCTCGCACTTGTCACCTTGCACGCCCACTTGGTGGCGTCTACGCCTTGAAAGAGCGCGGCAGCTTGGCTTTCGATCGCCTTGCTGGCGGCCAAAGCCTCCAGCAAAGCCGCCTCCGCTGTCTCTGCCGCTTGCGCAGTATCGCACTCGCCTGACCCACCGTCCCCAGTAGCCCTCAGGGCCTTCACAGCTTTGACTGCCTCGAGGCCCTTTCGACTTGCAGAGATCTGCCGGTCCCAAGCCCCCAGAACCAACTCCAGCGAAGACAGCAAGCTTTGTACTTGTGGAAGCACACCATCACAAGCCATCACTCAAGCCATCACCATGCGAAGGCTCCGAGACAAGCGGTCGGGGGGAAGAGTATGGAAGGATATGGGGGGCCTCTCAAGGGTGGAGTTAAGCCTCAAGCTAAGTGGAGGAATTGCCGCTCTCAAATTCCTCAAGGTCATGACGAGCTGATTATGGCCAGAGTGCCGCGTCAGAATCGCAGCTCGCACAAGAGAGCAGCAGTGCAAAATGCCATGATCAGCTTCCAAGGCATGTCCAAGCTTTTCACTCTGCGCTGCCACGGATGCCCCTTTTGGGGCCCGCTCGACCTGCACGCGCGGGTCTTGGTGCTGAGCTCGGTGCATGCAGCAATTGTACCCGTGCAGAAGTCTGCGTTCGTGCTATGTGCCAGCCTTCACTCAAGACATCGCATTACAGAAGAAGGCTAGCTCAACTATGCCCAACTGCCCTGTTGAACATGTCTTGCGTCAGGCAAGGAAACTTGCCGGGCCTTCAGGCTTGAAAGGCCAGCTCGTGCTAACTCTGATTCAACCTTCACGCAGTGCATTCAGCGCATTCTGTGCGCTGAGGTGACACTCAACAAACTGTCGAGCTCCCTGCCGCATCTTCAATGGCTGTGCGCCTGGGCTGATAGTCAAAGGCCGTCGTAATCTCGGCTGGGGGAGTACTGGGGGCAAGACAGCGACGCCACGGAGCGGGAACTTCTCTTTGACCTGGCTTTTGGGAACTCTCGTAAAGTTCCGCTTAAGACCGCTAGCTCAAACTTCTTGAGTGTCATTGAGAGGGCGTGTCCCGTCGCCTCGCCTCTCCGAGGTCGTTCTCGCCTGTCAACGTCGAAGCAGCTCAACACTGCCTGCGGACCCACGGAACACTCGTTCCCCTGCCTCGCTGGCTGCACTTCGTGCTCGAGATGGTACACCTGCAGACAAGGAAGCGCCGAAGTGTGCACCGGCCTGTCCATGCTGAGGTAGCCACTCACACCCGATACAGGGCGGCTCCCAGATCCCTGCAGACATAAGCTGCTACAAGCTGCCACAAGCTGCCACACAGCCTTCATTTATGGCCAGAGCCTCCAACGTGGCGTCAGCCTTGACAATGACAGCGATCGCATTGCTTTGAACTGGCAATACTGAAAGAGTTTAGCAACTCTTGCAAAGCTGAGTTGGCAGCTCCATCGGCTAGGACCTGTCGGAAGAAAAGGGTGGCGTGGCGCATGTTGAACTACCGTACGTTGTGATGCTTCGGTGCCCCTTTCGCATTGTGCCGGCCTCCTGTGCAGAACGCCCAGTGTTGCGAAACCTGTCCCAGGACCTGTGTGGACACCACACGGAGGTTGCTCCGAGTTAGGTCGCCGTCGCGGTCATGTAATAGGGTCCGGGATGGTCCAGGATTCCTGATAAATAGGTGAGCCGCAACATTGAATAACCCTCACATCCCGATTCAACCTCTCAAAATCTCCAAAACTGAGCTCTCAACCGGTGGCCGGCTATTTCTGGAATGGCCACTGCCCGCTGAGTGCTGATTGCAGAGACCTGCAGCAGCGGCTTGGGCACTCAGGATTCTGAGCTTAGGGTGCACAGCCTTGTCGTTGTTGTAGGGATCGTAAACTCCTGTGTCGCCATCCCTCGGAATCGCACCTGTGCCAGGGCTTTGGCCCACAGATGGTGCTAAGGCCGAGACCCCTTTGCGCAACTCCGAAAATCCTTGCCGGCGGAACCCGATCCAAATCGGCCCAGGTAGTAGTTCCTGAGCTACACAGGGAACAGAACGCTGGCTTTGGCAAAGACGGTGCAAGACTGGGCTTCTTTGAGAGGCGGCCTGCGGCAGCGATTCTCTTTGAGGATGGCATCCTTGCAGCGAAGAACCCACGAAATGGACAGGACTGGTCTTTGAGTGGGGGAGCACGAGACGCAAAGGCACTTCACTCTCCAGGCAGCTGGAAGCTGGGGCAAGCGACCCGCCACACCAGGGTCGATGTCACCTCTCAGCACCCGCTTCATTCAGCATTGCTGGGCTGCACTCCATGAATCCAAGGGACACCGGACATTGCGCCGACCCGTAGCAGCGTCGGCTGCCGGCGGAGGCGTGGGAAATGTACGAAATGTACTCGTGTATTTGGCCGATGATACCCTTTCTTGCGAGCTGTCGGTGCTAAAGGCTGTTGGCGCTCCCTATGCATCTGGACATCGAACCTCTCAACAGCTGTCGACGTATCCCAATCAAGCCATCACCAAGTATAGCTGCCTTGAAGCTTACAAATCAGCATCACAAACATGAGCCCAGCAGCTGCTCTCTTTTTTTCCTGGAGCAGGCTCTGATCTGCGGCTAGGCCGTAATCCAGAGACGTAATAGGGAGCTCTTGCAGGCTGACTGCAGACCTGAAATCTTAGTCCTCCATCTGGGATTCTGGGCTGCTGCATGAGACTCCTTGCGTTAACAAGCAGCGCAGCAAACTTTGGCTAGCATGGCTCAGGATTGATTCAGATTCCTGGGGTTAAACCTGGTCAGGCAACGCCGGGAACGTCTTGCCACAAGATTGCAAGACCAGAAACTGAACGATGGCACAGATGTCATCTTGCCTCACCCAGGAGCTTCCGAGCTCCAGTGACTTGGAGGCCCGACGCCTGGCGCTGTGCAAAAAAACATGGCTCCCTCCCGTGAAATCTGCGCACCTCGGCTGCCGACACGGCCTTCTCGATGGCCGCCTTCTGTGCCCTGCAAGGGGCACGCTGCTAGGCAGGTGAGCTCTACCCTGCTTGACACTGCTTGCATCATACCTCTGGGCCATCTGGGCCTGACGGCCGTGAGAATCGAGCCCTTCAGAGCATCGCTGCCTTCCATTCAATGGTTCAGGTCGGGCTGTGGGAGGAGCATTCGGCCCTTCAACTCTTCAACTCAAACCTGGATCTGAGCCCGAGGCTCTTCAGCATGGCGAGTAGCAGGAAGGAACAGCGGCTGCACGCCGCCGCTGCCAGGTGTGACCTTGGGGGGATTTGGGGATTTTTGGGGCCCCCAGCCTGGCTCCTCTGGCTCCGATGGCTCCTACGGCTCCTATGGCTCCGGCTGCAGGCATCGTTCCCAAAGGGGATGCGCCAGCTTCGCCCCCTCAGCACTTGACTGGTTGGGATCTGATTCGCAGGATCACAGCTCACGCGCTCAAGGTGCCTGGTCAGGATCCAGCTTCATCAGAACGAGGAAGGTGTTGACTACCGTGCCGTCGTTCATCAATCCCAAGTTCTCACCGGCGGCCTGGCGATTGGCCCGAGACACACGCTGCTCCGCAGCATGCGGCACCAGGGTGACTGGGCCTCCTTTTGCGCGGACGCCAAGAGCGCCTCCACTAGCTGGGCATCCCAGTCCGCTGCCAGGTATGCTGCGAGGAGGTCCTGTCGCATGGTTGGGTGGACATGAGGCGGCGATTCCAGAAATCACAGGATCCGACTCGCCGCGCTGTGCCTTCGCGTGCTTGTCTCCCGCGGCCTTCAGGGGCTCCTTGATCAGCGCGCTGCGAATCGCCGGCCTGAAGTGAAGTACGATGAAGTGGCATGAGATGCAGAGGGCCAAAGGTCGAAAGGGCACTCTCGATGGGACGCCTTCCATTTCGGCGTGGCAAGGGGTTCATAAGGGCCCGGCTTCAGGGTGCGAAGAAGCTCCTGGCGCCGTGCCTCCGGGGCCTCTTGAACACAACACTCCAGCTGCTTTTGGTTTCTTGCAGGTTCTGCACGCCTTCAATGAAGTTGGAGATGGCAGAGTCGCACACTGACGCCTCATTTGTGACATTCGCCCACATTCCGCGCAGGGATATATCAGTCTATGTACTGGGTTCCATCTGGGATCGGAACTCGTACGGGGAGAAGAAGTGCTTGTCATTGGGCCTCGATGTCTCGGTGTCGCAGCATGAAAAGCATCAAAGAGCAGCATGAGGGCAGCAGCTATATACGTGAAGGTGCATGATACAGTGAAAGAAGCTAAGTGACGCCGTGAGACGTGAACACAAAAACGAGCGCAAAGAACGAAAGCCAGGCGACATGCACCCCAAGAAGCAACCGAGACAGGGGAGTGTTTAGACGCACGTGTTTTTCTTGCTCCTGGACTCATTCGGCGGAATCTTCAACATCGCAGATTGAATCGGCAGATATACTAACTTAATGCACATGTTGACTCCGCTGGTTCCTTGCATTCGCTCGCAGACAACGGTTGATTCAACACACTGAAGCATCAATGCTTTGCACTGGGTCTGTAGTACAACATGCCTGGATACCTGGCCATTGACATGCACTATAGTCTGCTTCATGGCCTTCAGTCGTATTTAGTTTCGCAGTGTCCCTGATACTTGAGACTGATGCTGCATGGTAGTATTCTCCTTGCTCAAGACAAGAAGCGTCATGATTCTAGCTGAATAGAGACACAACAGGGCAGCGATACGCATGCTGCAATACAATCAAGCTCGCTCGCTCATTCCTGAATATAACAGGTAACCTGGGCTACGAAGTGGACCCTGCTGATCCGAATTCAGATGCCCCTTATGAGCCACAGTTCCTTGAAAGGCCTGAATCATAGGGCTCTCTTCAGGGGGGGTGTCCTACGGGAGTGCGGTAAGTATCCCAGCGTTCCTTCAAACTCCTTGGCCAAGTCACTGCAGAATCCAGGCCAGGACTTTGTGACCATACTTGTCAAAGCACAGCTCGGCCATCTCCTGTCAGCGGCAGGAGCGGGCTCCAACACGGAGTAGGGCGTCGGTCGGGCGGGACTCCCGTACTAGCACAGGATTTCTTTTCCATCCTTGATCCACTCAGCCAGCATCGTCTTCGAAAGCATCACCGTGTCATCGATCGTGGTGGCCAATCGAATCATGACCTGAAAGCCCACGCCTTCCAACACCTTCCACGCCTTCCATGCCTGCGTCCCGTGGTTTCATGGCATGCCTAGGCCCCCGAGCCACATAGTCCACTGCATTCATAGCCAAGGCGGCGAACTTGCCCTTCAAATCCTTGCAGAACGCCTCCGATGCGCGAAAGGCAAGACCAGGGCGGACGATCTCATCCAACGCTGCCGGCCTTTCTTTGCTTGGCATTCGCCACACCCAGAAGTCTAAGCAAAGCCTGGTACGGACCATGCAGAGCATCGAATGCAACAAAGCGAGGCATGGAGGCAGACGCCTCTGCACCAGGCTTCGAGGACAGCAAGTAGGCTGCCCCATCCTGGTATGCAGAAGTAGGAAAAGGGTCTGGAGCAGGGGGCGGGCTCCCTGCATGGTAGTCAATCGCTGGCTCTGTTCTTGATTCTTGAATGCTTAAACAAGAGCTGGAGGGAGAAAAACATGTAACATGAAATAGTCGTAGTTGACTCAGGGGATTTTTTTGCGAGTGGAGACACGCGGCACTGCTCTCCGCTATATCTCGATTTAAGTTTCCACACATGTGTGGCCTCACTGCGGCTCAAGCTTGTCAAACTGCTTGCTGTGTTCCACATGACCACGTGAGTCACATAAGCGATATGAAGCAGTCAGAAGACAACCAACCCCCACCAGCCCCACCCGCCCATGAGCTGCCGTGGTGGTCTTCAACCACAGTTGACCCAAAACCCTAAAACCCCAAACCCAAAACCCAAAACCCTAAACCCTAGCACCAGGATCATAAGCCTTTAAGACTTATGGATTTTTCTCGGGGGGTTTAAACAATAAACCCTTAAACCCTCAAACTTCAAACCCGCAAACCCTAGAACCCTAAAAACCTTAAACCATAAAATCCTAACCCCTAGCACATCCGAGATCATGAGATTTCTCTTTTCATATTTTCGACTTGGGTGCGAGGCATTTCTGGCTCACAGCTTTCTTGCCTTCGACTCAGGTGAGGTGACTAAGATGTTCATGCGTAATACTCGTATTTACTGTACTCTTACTCTGGTTGTTATTGTTAGTATTTGATTTCTGTTCTTCTTCGCATTTTGATTCTTATTGGTCGCATTTTTTTCGAACAAATCTTATGTTTTTTCTTATTCCGAAAGTCACAGACCCCGTTCGACTGCATGAGCCCCTCCAAACTGGACCTGGTGGCTGCTCTCGCTGCCTCGCTTTCTCTCTCTCTCTCTCTCTCTCTCCTTCCCTCTCTCTCTCATTCATATGACTTCTTGCATGAAGCCGGCCATGCTCTGCTCTGCCAGCTGCGTCAGCTGTGCGTCGGAGGCGACTTCACACACTGCCTTGCGAGGGCAGCTTGGAGGCAACTTGGAGCGGCTCACATTCGGGGAACCTGAAAAAGCAGGTGTACGATGTCGTGGCCCAGGAGCTCCTGCACTCTGCTCTGCCGCCTAGCCGCCTAGCCTACTCAAAAAAAACGCCACTGCGGATTGCGGAGGTCCTTCTCGATGGCCTTCTCCACCGCTTCTTCTAGATGCTGGGCAATGTCCCTCCTCTGCTGCTCTGTGAGGTCCTCTGGTGCCCCGATTGCAGCAGGTCACGTCACGGCGCGGGTATCTCTGAGGCTTGCGTTGCGCCTCTGCGTGGAGCAGCTGCCGCAGCGGCTTGCTGCTGGGCAGCTCGGGACGCAGCAGAGCCACCGCCTGCGGAGCGAAGGTACTCTGATCGCTGTTCCGGGTAGCTTACTGAGTTTGCTGGTTGTTTGCAGGGCTGTGTTCTTTGGAGCTGCCTGGGGAACAGCGATGCTGTGAAGAATCCTCCGTTTGTCAGCAGCTCTGACCTGAGGAGCTGCAATGTCCGGCACAGCCAAAGACACGCAAAGCATGCCGAGCGCTGGACGGCTGTGGAGAAGTAGATGCCTCGGGCGCACGGAAGGCATCCGCCCGTCACATTTGACGGCTCCAACCAGTTGACAACAGCATTGTCTGCAAGGACTGGGCCGTTAATGACTTTGCAGCCGAAGCGATGATAGAAGGTGGCATGCAAGTTCTTGCCTCAGGCTGCCGGCTGTTGAGCTCAGAAGCGAATGGATGGAGTTAAGCAATCTACGTCTCTATAATAGTTTCTATAGGCATCAGCTGATGCTGCAGGTAGTTGCTACCTGGCGACCGGAGAACTGATCCAGAATCTCTCGCAGATTCTTCAGTTGGGCCTGTGCCACAGGGACAGTTCCGGTTCGCTTGCGGCCAACATGCTAGACTCGTAAGGGGGGCCTTTCTTTCTTCTTCCGTGGGCTTCCTCGATGTGGAGGTCTTGGAGGAGTACAGAAGCAACTTCAGCACCACCTGGACTCTGAGAAAAAGAGACCGTCGCCTGAGAAACCGTCGCCTGAGATGTGCAGATCGAAGAAGTGGCCTGGTGCCCGTATCGATCCTGCGCCATCTTTGGTAGGCTCTCCTTGAAGTGCGTCAGCAGCTCTCGCCTGATAAGCCAGTGGCTATCGCGGCTATGCGTTCCGGTGGACTTACAGCCAGGAGCTGCCTTTGCTCTTTGGTTCCCCACTTGAGGCAAGCCTGACAGCGTGGCAAGATGCCTCTGCACAGTTCTACACAACAGCTAAGCAGCTAAGCTGTGCAGGAGGGCTTCTCGCGGCCTCTATGACACGGGCACCAACGTTCGTGGAGCAGTACTCGGCCAGCTTATTCGAAGTGCCTGGACGATGAGAGGTGCAGCCATCTGTGTCCGGGATTTCCTTTGAGGAACGCGCGTTTTCGGAGCTTCTCGAGAATGTCATTGACGATGATCTCAGCATTTCGCGTCCTGAGCATGGGAGCTTCCAGATTCAGAAGTGCAATTGAAACACAGGCATCATCAAAGAGGACTGCTCTGTCCTCCCCGGATTGATCAACTCGCCTGCACGCAGCAGAAGATGCGTAAGGGGCTGTCATTCTGTGACTGTCGTGGGATTCCCCACACACAAAGGTCACCGGGAGCTGCGCCATAAAGCTTCGTGATCTCCAGCTTCCGCTTCCGCTTCGGAGTTAGTGCCTTCTTGCCCTGAGATCAAGCGATTCTTATCTGTCGCCCGGGGGGGGAGCTGGGGGGCCGCCTTGTGCTCCTCCTCCTCCTCCTCCTCTTTCGGTTCAACTTTTCGTTTCACTCCCTTCTTTTCTGCCTGCCGAGTTCGTAGGAACGGTTGTAGCAAGAAGGTGCTGAAGGTTTCTGTACGCACTCAGGTCCTTCTCTCCTTTCCCGGCTTTTGCTTTGCCCTTCCCAGCTCCCTTGGCAGTCTTGGGACTCCTCGCAAGGTACACCGAATCATGAGAAATAGGACATGTATCACAATACCCTATCTCACTATAGCAACTGTATATACTTATGTATGATTGCATGAAAATGAACAAACACATCACAGAACATCATGAAGCGGGCTCGCTTGGGCCAGCCTGGTCTTTCCGGGCCTCCCTTCGCGAGCCTTCTGCTTGGCCTTGGATGCCTTGCCTTGAACACAAGGAAGGTACACGGCAGCATCGTGACATCTCAGGTTCTTCGGGCCTGCACGGCCTCGCTTCGCAGCGCCGCCCTCACAGCAGGAGAAAGCCCGAGAAGAATGTGAAGAACGTGGGAAAAGCGTGAAAATCTTGGGAGCGGGGAGCGCCTGCTTGCCCTTTTTGCCACGGCCGCCTCCCTTCTTGGCCATCCAAACTTAATGGAACGCTTGGGCACGAAGGCGATTTTGACTGGGAACAGGCTCGTCGCTGTGATGGCTGCAAGGAGATGTGCACCCTCCTATGCCGCATGCTCTTTTGGGCCCTTCTGCTTCTGTGTCTCCCTGAAACCTGTGCCTGTTGATGTCTGTTGATGCGTCATGCACCGCTTGAGCCGCAGGAGACACAGCTGCTTTCCATCTGCCGACAACGCGTAGCCCACTGGTCTCGAAGTAACCTCTAAGCAGGATGTTTCGTGTCCCTCGTGTTGCGACTCATGTATCTTCCTTTTTCGTTTAATGTGAGCTCAAGTCCGGGAAGCCGATAGCGAGATCCGCTTGAAAACCGGCGCAGGGCCGCGGAGCGCTGGAGGGAGACGATTGCCGTGGGAAGCATCCTGCGCCCCTGGTCTTGGGCCAACACCAACATGCACTTCAAAGGTGGGCGTACAGGTGTTTAGTACACCTTCAGACCTTGTGCGGCCATCTCCTGCACCAATTGCACACACGCAACTGCACAAGTACTGCATGGCAGAAGACGCGTGGGTGAGATAACAGCCGACGCGTGGCAAAGCAATGCTGTTCCAATGCAGCTGTGTCCTCCTGCTTCTTCTTCAGCTCCTCGTTTGCCTGAAGCTCGCTACAAGCTCGCTACAAGCTCGCTACAAGCTCGCTTGGGAAGTTCCAAGCATCATCTCTTGAGTCCGCAGCCTTCACCTGTTCCATTCCTTGCTCACCGTAGACATCAGCGGCCATACCGAACTTCTCCTGGAACCTTGAGGAGCACAAAAGAGGGCCAGAGGACAACAGATGGCCCCTCAGAAAGCCACAAAACAGAACGAGACCCGGGCTTCGTAAGCGCAGAGTTGTCCAGCAGAACCTGGCTGCTTATGCGTCATGTGAGGCATGCATCCCATGGTATTCAGGCCACGCCCTTAACATGGCCAGAAGCTCCTTGCCCTTCTGGCCCTTCCAAGCTGGGTGGGCACCACTCCAGATATCAACCTCACAGCTAGATGCGCACTTCTCACGTTGTTGCGAGCCCCTACGCCATGCACCAGCCACCTTGTATTCGGACACAGTGCCATTGAGCACCGCGACCTGGCAAAGGCATGCAGAAGAGGAGCACTTGGCAAGATGGCCTCCCAGTGTGTTCGCAGCCTGCTCTCCCTTGTAGTAGACAGGACCTTCACGGAAGCAGTGGGAGCAGAGCACCCTATGAGCTCATGAACTCTCTCTGTGGCTCAAACTGCAACAAAGCCCCCTTGAGCTGGCGGCTGGACTCAAAGCGCTTGGGTCGCTCCACAACGGCCTTCTTCTTATCACCTCAGCACGTCCGGGGTTGGTTCTGCATCATGGTACAGGTGCCCCTCTGCTTTCCGTCTTTTCACTGAAAATCCCTGAAGGGTTCCCAAGGGCCCATAAATAGGGGCCCACAGATAGGGGCCTACACTTCTAACCTTAGGGGGACTTCGATTTCGGGAACCCCTCTTTCAAGAATCGGTTCACATTCACCAGCTCTTCAGATGAAAGTCCCTTCGACGCAACATCCAAGCTCTTGGCCCTTCATTGCATCCTTCTTGCTCTTGCGCGCTTGCGCTTGTGCCGCTGCTGCCCTGAGGTTCGTGGTAACAGTGCACATGACTAACAACGAACAAATGCACTCAAAAACGCCTCTCAAGAACAACGACACCGCCCTATCTGTGCTGGCAAACGCTACACATAATTCAGGGAATCCCTGCTTGAAATCAATCTTCTTCATGACATTGCCCGTGTTCCAGTCACGACCTCAACGGCTCCAAGACTCTTTGCACACCATTGGCAAGCATCATCAGACCACTTCTCAGGACAGATTTTCCATCACGCTGAGGGCCTCACCACCCTCACGCGCCACGAGGTTACGAGTGGTCGATGTACTTCGAATTCCCCCAGCTACGAATGTGATGGCACCTTGCAGAGTTCCAGGGAGAAAAAGCGCTCTTGGCCTTGCCTGGAAAAAGAAAAACTGCTCCGTGAAAAGATGCGAAAAACAACTGAAGATGAGCAGCTGCTGGCTGCCCACAGGGTCGCGACTAGCAGAGTGGCGAGGACGCCCTGGTGGCAACACGAAGTGCTGAAAGGGAAGATGTTGTGGGATGTTGTGGGATATTGTGGCATGCTAGTGAGACCCGAGGGAGGCTCACCAGGGAGAATGGTGAGGAATGGTGGGGAAACGCGCTCGATGAGAGACCCGGGCCTTGGCGCACTGACCACGTTCTCTGCCGCGCGCCGCAGGAGCCATCTTTTTTTCGGGAAACCTGCCCGCACGCCATGCAAATCCACACACAAAACGCAAAGAAAAAAGGCAAAAACAAGACTCCTCGCCTCGCGAATGTACTGGCGGCTGCGATGATCGCGGGCTGCCAGTTTGGAAAGCCGAAACTAAATTGCGAGGAATTCGGTCCTGACTAATCGCTTCATGTTGATCCACGTTGACCCATTGTGCCCGCGCTGAAAAGAAACTCACACCTGCAGTTCCATCCATGCCCTGCAGCTGCCACGATTTTTGATGGCTGCATTGCAAGCTCGCAAAGCGGTGAGACAAGGAAGCAACTGTTCATGCTAGAAGCAATAGGACTCAAAGATGGTTAGGGCAGAACTTCGGCAGAACTCTACAGCTGCTACACGCCAACCTGCAAGACCATCGCTACGCTTTTCTGCATCTCACAGCCGCGCAGCCTTGGTGCCAGACGGGTTTATGTCTCAAACTCCCACGTAACGGGTGCCTGCAGCCTCTGGCCAGCACGTAGGGTTTAGGGTTTAGGGTTTGGGGTTTGGGGTTTGGGGTTTGGGGTTTGGGGTTTGGGGTTTGGGGTTTGGGGTTTGGGGTTTGGGGTTTGGGGGTTGGGGTTTGGGGTTTGGGGGTTGGGGTTTGGGGTTTGGGGCTTAGGGTTTTCCATTACTCATATTCGCTCGCACACAGCTGCGAGGTGAAATCTGGTGCCTTTTTCACTCCGTATCGGCATCGCTGTGCTCGCGGTCTACCACTTTCAAGAAGCTTTCCAAGTTTTGCAGCGGAGACAAGGACTCATCGCTGTCCGGTGCGACGGGGCCTGACTCGGGGAATTGACCACTTCGTCAATTCGTCCCTACGTCTAAGTGCGACATACCGCGCAAGTTCTGCAAGAAAGGAGAGTTGCGACACATGCTGGAGCAGAGCTTCTCCCGGTTTCGATGAACATGTTATGCAACAACCCTGCTTAACAATCTCGAAATCAACGGGCAAAACCTGATCTCTAAGCCTTCTTCGCCGTCTTAGCCCTGCCTTGGCCCTCGTTCTCGCGGCGCGCCCGCAGCTCGGCGCGCCGAGCCTCGACGATGGCATCCTCCCACCGAGGTTTCAAGGCTCTGACAATGGAGCTGGGCTGAACAAGCTTTGACCCATCGAGTGATCTGGGACCTGCTTCCAAAATTTCCAAAAGCGCAAAGCAGTTCTCTTGCCAGGAGAACCTTCAATTAGCCCTCATCCACCCCTGACAACCTGCAGTCTCAGCCCGCATGAAGCCCCTACCCTACCGTGGCCCTGGCAACGTCTGCCGAGCCTGTTCGAGGACGTCTTTCAAATGCTGACGTCGAAGCTCCATGATCACATCCATGGAAAAGCTGCGTAACCACAAGCCGTGCATCGTGTTCAGCAGGTCATCCTCTGGGCATGTCGGGCTGCGCAGTATCTCGTAGACTTTCGCCATGCTTCGGACATCGAGTAAACAAGATTCCAAGAGCCGGAGGATGGAGAGGGCGGTTCGAAAGAGAACCTTGGAGCCCTCGTGTAACAGGCAGTCAAGCACCCGGTGCAGGCTTGGACTCGGCAGCGTGTTGACGTACAAGCATAAGAACCAGCCCATGGTGAATGGGGCAAGGTCAACTTCATGTTCAACCAGATGCGCGTGGAGTGTTGGCAGGTAGCTCTTGACAAGAGAATTCAGCACAAGCATGTCGACACGAACGCCGATCATGTTCCGTGTGTAGTAATTCTCTGGGAGCATGTCCTCGACTAGGCTGCAGAAAATCCAGAAGGCACTCTCCTCGTCACAATGCTCGAGCAGGGCCGCTACGATGAAGTTCATGGACTGGCAGTAGCCAATTTGCGGGTTCTTGAAAGCAAAGGCCAGCAAGACGCGTCGTAATGGTTCCAGAAGGGCCTCAGCGCATCCAGTACGTGGGACATCAACGTCGATGACGAGCGAGGCTTCGTTCTGCAAGCTCGAGCCCTGTGATGCGAAGGACGGATACAATGAGTCGGGCATTTCACCCAGCTCAGAGGCAACTTGGCTCTTCTTTCCGATGGCACCACTGCAGGTGCTCCAAACTGCACAGCGCAAGGCCGGCGGGATCCCGGCACGCACCGCTTTGCTCACTCTCTCCCAATCCCGATGCTGCGAAGACTCAGCTCGGGCGAGTCTGGACCAAAGACCCTTGCTTGCACTCGGCGAGCGCCGCCACATCTCCAGTGCATTGGACATGGCACTTCGTTCACCTTCTCGGAAGCCATTGGCACTGACGGACTCCCAGAGGTCTTGCCACAGCGCTTCGGGATCCTGATGATGCTGCAACATACAATGGAACATCTCTGAGCCTATGAGAGGCTTGACTGCAGAAGAATTACACTTGGCATGCGCAGTCCTGCGATGTCGGCGACGCTGGCGGAGAGCAGGGTTGTGCAGAGACGGGGGAGGCCGGCAGGGAGGGCAGGGAGGGCAGGGAGGCCGGCAGGGGGGCCGGCCTTGCTTCAGCTTCAGGCTCTGTCGGGCCACCGGATTTCGGCGGCTCCGATTTCACCGTGACCCACATGTACAGGGTGGCCAGGTGCTCGCGGAGACGTTGCCTCAACAGCCACGGGGCTAACAATGTTAAAACTCCTTCTCAGACAAGTCTTAGATTTTGGGGCAATGGCCTGCGAGACCTCCTGGACCCTGCAAGGGGAATCTGCTCGCTCTCGGAAGCATCGCCGGCGGGCCGGCTCCCTTCCATCGCCGGGCGAAAAGAAGGTGGATGCGTTTGCGTATCTTGCCTGCAGATTATCTGTACTGGTGGTAGCTTGTCTGTTTGGTGTTATTTCCCGAGTCGCGGCTGCTGCTGTTGCTGCTTTGGTCCTTATTGGGGCTTGTTGGAGCACTGTGTGACGCCGATGCATTGCGGATAATCTTGGAGAAGCATGGGAAACTTCGAGGGTTTGGTCTTCTGTGGGAACGTTGCCAAGCCAGTGAGTTGCCCCCCCCCTTCAGAGGCATGCATCAGCCAAATGTCGCAGATAGCTGGACATCCGCAGCATGGGATGGTTCGAGTTGTTGCAGGGCACAGGTTGCTGAAAGGATGGTCTCCCCGGTGAGGCTCTGCTTCTGGCTGCGCTGTCACGCAACAAAGGCCGTCACTCGTGCACAAGCGAGCTCAAGCTTGCACAAGTAACGCACACCGTTCGTTCCCACGACCATGGCCATTTAACGAACACGAGCGCAAAGAGTGAGTCCATGTGAGTCCACCTTCAGCGGCTTTCCGGTCGCTTGCACCATGACTCGAAAACTAGGGGGCTCTCTGCCCGAAAATGGCGGAAAATGACCGAAAACAGAATACAAACAGCGAGGCGTCGCGAGGCTGGGTGTGAGCACCCCATCTTCGCAGCTGTACAATAGGCGGAGGGACCTCTAGCTGCGGCGCTTGCGGAGGACGAAGAGGGACGGGGTGTCCATGACGCGAAAGCCTGCATCCACAAAGCGCTGCTTCCAGGTTCCAGCACCTGCGGGGCTACGCAGGGCCACGCACCCAAACATGGGAGGTTGTCAGATGTTGTCAGGGCATCCGCCTTTGGTAGCTTTGCGGAAGAGCTCGATACCCAAGAAAGAGAACACGGTCTCCTTGAAAGTCACCCTGCAATCGAGGGTGGGAGCACACGAGCTGGGTACCCATGTGTGTCAAAGGTGGCTGTGCTGATAGGCCCCACCTGATCTCGGTGTCATTGAGCACTTCTCGCTCTGCCTCGCAGTCAAGACCCACAAACCGCAAGGATCGCAATGCTAACGGGGATCCAACTCGGCAAGAGCATACTTATAATGGAGCCTACAGCCCCTGCTTTTTGCTTCGCCTCTCTCAAGTTTAGCATGGTCATCCATGCCTGCAAGGCAACCTTGATTGGTCCGATCTCCACCGCGTTCACAAATCGGACATCGTCAACGAACGTCTGCCTTCAAGACATCCCCTGAATCCACGGAGCCCTGCAAAGTCACGAAGACTGCAAAGCATCTGCCGAGGCACGTCACGTCACCCACGAAGGGTCCGACTTTGCCGTTGGAGCTCCCTTCCGCCGTGCCTCGGTAATCTTCAGGCCAGCATGAAGCTGCTGAAGCAAGACCCCGTGACCTATCGACCGTACCACTGCAGCCTGGAGGCAATACTGCAGATCCTTTGCGAGCAAGAGCAAAGACAGAGAGGGAAAGAAAGCAAGAAAGAAAGAAATAAAGAAAGAGAGAAAGAAGGACATGCGTGGAGAGCGCGGCAGACCAAAGGTCCCCGATTGCTGGAAACCAAGTCTCCCAGACCCCTTCGAGGGAGGCCCGCGCCGGAGTGGATGGGCACAGAGCCTCCAGGTCCGAGGCAGCAGCCTCCACCTGAGAAGGGTGAGAAAAGTTTTCACCCGGTTTTTCTGGTTCTTTTCGAGACAAACATGAAACCAACAGGTGCTGTAATGCAACCACAAGTTCCTGTAAACAGTAGCACTGCACGACCAGCCTTGTCTTTCATGGCATCATTTGCATCGACGCCATTCTTCGGTGCCTTTGAACATCTTTGAACGACAACTTGATCGGAAACATCCCTTCTCAAGATGCAGCAAAGACATGCGACGTGCCTCTGCGCAAGCTGCCAGCAGAGCCTCGAGCACAAAAGGCAGCCCGAAGGCCACGCAGTTGAAACAGCGGAAAGCGCAAGCACATGCAAGCACATGGACAACTTATTGACAAGATGGCAGGCCTTCTTCCTTTTCAGCGTCTCTTGCCGATCTGGCTGTCCAATCGCTGCGAGCCACTCCAGTGGAGCAAAGCCGCCTCAGATTCTCAAAAGCATCTGTGGATTCGGTCTGTTCCATCGCATGCTAGAGCGTCTTGGACCTAAAGACACGTCGTGTCTGCGCGAAGGCACTCGTGGCGCTGCGCTCCGCCAACAAGTCTCCGAGCCGGTCTTGCTGGTCCAGAGTTGCAATTCCTCCTGCACAGTCTCATATGCACTCGTGACTCGTGCGGCACGGCATGTTTCACAAGTGAGGTGGCCATCGTCCGCAGTGATTCCCAGACATGTTCAGACCTGGCCTAGACCTCCATCATTGCAGCCACCCAAGTACACAGAGGGACCCAGGTAGACGGAGGGCATGGAGGTGCGGCCGGTGCGCCGCCCCAGCTCAGCTCGAACTGCATAACCGTCCTTGCTACGCGCTGATGCTGACGCTGTCATACAGGGCATGCGCTGGCAACAGTTGCAACTTTTGTTCACTTTGCGACACAGTGTAGAAAAAAGCATTGCTCAACCTTCCTGCCGAGTTGCAGCCTCCTGGTCGCACTCGTACACCTCAAACTCTTCTCCGTAGTCTTCTCGGAGGATCTGCTTCGCCCGCAGGCAGAAGGGACAGGTGGAAAAAGAGAACATCATGATCCTGTCAATGGCTGGAGCACAATGACATGCCTTGAACAGCCAGGCAATACAACGCACGGCGCGTCCCAATTGTGCCGAAAAGCTTGTTTGAAGCCACCTTCTCGTCGATAAGATTTCCAACCCTCTCGGCATCATACTCCCCGGCCAGTTTGTCAGCTATGAACTGCTTGGCCTGGGCTAAAGGTCCCATCTGCGACACCTTGGAGATCTGCTGGGTGATCGAATCGGAGTTTGCCCATTCCTCCACGAGACGAGACACTCTTTCAGGCTTGCATTCTGATGGAGTGATAACTCAATACATCTACATATGCAGAGTGCCACCAGTCATGTCAGAATCAGACTGCAGTCTAACTCCTGGACTCCTGGAAGGCCTAAGCCTGAGAGGGCCCTAAGCCTCAACCTTTCGGCTCGTTGGCTGAGGGTCCCGTGGCTCACCACCCCAGTTGCCGTTGGCAGCGCTCGGGGACTCGGAGGCTGAACTCACGCGGCTGAGCTCCGCAGCCTCCAGCGCCTCAGACAGCCGGGAGCCTCTAATGCTGGGGGAACGCGGGCACCCCCCGAGGGCCCGAAGAGAGAGGGAAGTGGGGGAAGCTGGTGCCTTCACTCCAGCAGTGATCACATTGTCCAGAAGCGGTCGCTCCATGGTCTGTACTTTAGCATCTTCCTTGACAGCCCTGCTTCGGACCAGAGAGCCTTGGCGACTCTCCCAATCTCCCAGAAAGCTTTCTCACAACTGCGACATATTGCGACTCACCTGATATCTCATTTACCATGACTTAATTCAAGCCTACAGAATGCCTATGACCTTTTTTGTTCGCCAGGCATCGCTTGATTCGCTTGTTCCGCGCCAGCACAAGGCCAGACGCAGCGGATGCGGCAGGCACCCACAGCGCTCGAGTGGCGTAGGAATTGGCATCCTCAGGAGGCGCACTGCCCGATAGATGCCCGCGAAGGCTGGGACTTCGAGTGTCGCCTGCACACAAGATTCGAAAGGGAAGCACAGATGGCTCGGCTTTGCATCCTGCAGCACTCTGCATGCGGTTGCATACCCTCGAGTATCTACAGCACAACTCTCACCGACAGTTTTTCCAAAGCCCGGCCTGACTGGACACGCGGAGCCAAAGCAAAGGCTTCAAGCGACATGGCTACAACAGAGTACGGTTTTCACTCCCACTCAAGCAGTCTGCCAAATTGAATCCCTGGTGTGGTCCATTGTCGGCTTGTCCCAACTATGAGAGGGCATGTCCTCGCTCTGAGCCACTCTCCCAGGCCGCATCATCACACAGCTCCACACTGGCCCATGTGATCAGAACTCCTGAGAAGCCGGACGCTGATTGGAGTTCATTCGTCTACGTCAGCATCCGCAAAGGCTGCTGCGAGCTGCTGCAGCAAAGCAAAGGGCCTGCTCAGGACAATGTGTGGGGACAGCATGGCAGCGGCCCGACCCTTCTGTCTCCACTCCCCTCAGTCCTCCGTAAAACTGTAAGACTAGAACAGAAGCTGAATTTGGCAGCGTCGCTAAGAACCAGGATGCACTTTTTCAAGTTCCCGAGGAGTTCGTAGGATCTGGTAAGAGCTCTGAAAACTTCGGAGGCTTTGCACAGAACTTCACAGGATTTCGTCAGTTTTGCATGTAAGGGCATTCGGACACTCCAGATGATGTGGTGTTGGGACACTCCGGGACATCACCATGGTCATAAGCAACAGTACAGTAACCAATTTGTATTCCATTAACCATAATCCTGATCATGATATGAATGGAAGCTATGGCCACTGCAGACCTGGGCACAACTTGACCTTTGCACACTTCCCTGCTGGTGGCATATGGCAGCATCATCGCGGTCACCAAAGATACGCAGTACAAGCAACAAGAACTTGATTTCTTGCGGCAAAAAACGCATAACACTGACACTTCACTGGAGAGCAGTGGTTGCTGTAGGAAGCTGTATTGGCTTCTACACTTCGAACCCCACTAGGCCCCCACAGTCAACACAGGGCATCCAAGGCCGCGCATGACCGTAAAGTGGCACAAGTTCGCTTCGTGACTGACGTAGTGATTTCACCCATCCCGAAGGTGGCACGCCTTCCGGGGCCCAGTCCGCAGAAGAGGGCCGCAGCGAACGAGAAGCCGGATGCCTTACTGCTCTCAAGTGCAAGCGGTTCGTAATTCCCTGTTCCCCTGCAGACTGACAGGCAATGACTCTAATGGTGAGATGCCCTGGAGCAAACGATTTTTCTCCGGCATCCTGGTTCAGGGTCTGCTCACAGCTCCTGGTCCCGAGCTCCCCCCGTCCGGAGTCCCCTTCTATCAGAGTCCCCATCCATCTTACGAGCTTACCGTATTCGCCTCGGCTTCCTGCCGAGAAGCGTCTGGAACAAGCAGACCCGGATCGGGCCTCCTTCCCCCTAACCCCCCCCCCTCCCTCAAACACCTAACCCCACAAACCTTGCTGCAACCCCGTTTTTTAGCAGAAACCCGCTTTCCTCCTTTCCTGTCCTGGGGCCGGCCCGGCTGTCGAGGCGGAGCGCGCAAGCGTTTACAATTGAGCAAACTTTGAAAGGCGTTCTGTCTCCCACTCCAGGCTGCCGGCAAGACCGAAGCTGATGGCATAGAGTGCAGGCGGCGCCTTCCCTGCCAGCAATGTAACGATCCCCGTTTATCCAGGGACCACATCACATGACAGACATAACACATACATAAAGTATTATGTAATATTGCACACACGCACATATCTACATGATACTCCGAAGTCCGCGACATGTGCCCTTCTGTGCCTGGTCCTCCAAACTGGACCGGGCGTTTGCGACCTCCCCAAGACCAGCCTTTCTGGAAAGGCTCCAGCATTGCACACGCTTGATTTCCGCTGAGCCGCTGCGCTCGAAGACTTGCTGAGGCGCACTCCCCATAGCTCCCACCTCGGACATGAACTTCAATTTCATCGGAGAAGTTTCTTTAAAGCCACTTGTGGGCATGGGTCATCTCGCCCAGCGCCCTCCGCTCTCAGTCTCCAAGGGCTCCGCCATTCCGGCCTCGGCTTCTGCACGGGGGCCGCCAACACCTGCGAAGAAGCGGCCCAAGTCTTCAGAAACAAGAGAGCACCCCAGCAGTGAAGTGCCTTTGAAAATGCTTCAGTCTTGCGGCAGGAAGACTTCTGGGTTCCGGGCACTTCCCTGACTTTGGGGCGGAGGTGGCGGCCGATCTTCCTGAGGCAGGGCCTCAGCATAGGAACTCTATGCGGCCTCAGATCGGCCTCAGATAGGCCTCAGAGGCGTAGGCCTCAGAGGCGAACGCTTCCACGATCAGACTCAGCCTTTGTGCAAAGCCTTTGAACTGAGCTTCATGCCAGCATGAAGGTGGAGTAGTCTGGCCATGTTCCGGGCAGCCTTGCGATGATCACTGGCAAACATCCCAGCGGCGCGTCGGGCCAAGAAGTACCAAACTGAGATCATCCAACACCCGATCAACTGTAAGACACCAGCCTCTCTTCAATGATGCCGACATACCGTGATAAGGATGGAAAGTCGCATAGCCTAAGCAATGTTGAGGTGGACAACCTGCGCAACATGTATCATGCTTCGTCCAAACGAACAGGGTCGGCCCTGAGGCCACGTCAACCGCTGAAGGCCTTTGCTCCACTATTGAGCTCTCGACACTCGACTCGACACTTCCCCAGCAGCTTGACGTCTGATGTGCTGCGCAGTGCTTTAGTAGGTGACAGGCAAGACCCCGGATCACAGGGAATGCTGAAAAGCACCACCAAGTGCCTGGGAGAGCTGAGAGAAATAGGCTGCACGCACATGATTTGAGGCTCCGCACTTGTGCTAGCCTGCTAGCCTGCCCGCCGCAGCAACGGTGGGTCACGGCAACCAAAGCTTGAATCGGGCTTGGGGACTTCTTTCGTGTGCAATTCATTGCAGCTATCCTGCACCGTTACTTTGGGTAACCTTATTCAGCACCCTCATTGAAGGACTCAAACCAGAACCTTCTTGGGCAACTGCGTCTACACAGGAAGGATATAGAAGGGAACCAGCGTCTGCTAGCCCTGCCGAGAGGTGGCCCGACGAGCGCCCCTTCACATGACAAACGTCGTTGCACTGAGTTCTACAATCCGAGAGGGTTTATGTTGATCTACGTTCGTCAGCAAAGGCCAATCTCCAATCTTGCCGCACTTTGGTGGAAGTGCCCGTCAGTCGCAACTCATGAACTTAAAGTGAAATGCTGACTTGCAGCTGGGGTTGGTACGCGTACGCACGCGCGTCCAGGCGGCTGAATCCATGCCTCACAGGGAACAAAAAGGCGAAGGCTTACCTTTCATGGCTATTGAAATTGCAGAAATTCCCTGTCCACTCTCAACGGAAGTGCCTGTCTTCAGCGTGAAGTTCAGCGCCAGCTTGCTTCGGGCGTCCTTTGACTAGACAAGCTGATGTCTTCCGTCGGCCCTCCAAGTAGCAAGCTGCAAGAGCTCCAAAGCGGAATGGAAGCGTAAGCTTGACTCCCTTTCTTGCATCTATGGCTACCGTGACATGCTGCCCGTGCTGCACACATTGCGCACGTCCTGCCCCGAAGCTTTGATCACCGAGGCGCTCTGAGAGGGCCTGGCTCGGGCATGGCAATCGAAAGTCTTCCCCAAGGCAACTACGAGTAGTTGCCACTGCCTCCAAAGCAGCGCGCAGCTCCGCCAGGATCAGCGAACTGCTGTAGACCTGGGATTCTGCAACCCAATTCTCGCAGAGGATCCTCCCCATTCTCCCCACACTGAGGGCCTCCTGTAGCCGCCGCTGCCGCCGCCGCTCCATGAACGCGGTAACCTCTGCAGAGGTGCACTGGGCCACTGGGCCCTCTGTGATCCTCTGTAGCTCCATCTCCCCCATCTCCCCCCCCACAATCACGTCTCTAGGTCGCGGCCGTTCCGAAGCCCGGCGGCGCAGAGCACACCAAAGTCGGCCGTGTGTAGGTTTCCCAGATCTGAAAAGCGGGGCTGCTTCACACCATCATGGCGAACATGGCACAGTAAGGCCAGCGCCCCGGTGTCTTGGTATAGCAGCGCTGCTATCAGGACACCGACTCGATCTGAAGGCAGGGAGAGAAATCCATGACTGGACAGGGTGAGCTGTCGGTGCAGCATGCCCACCACCTGCTCATGTACAGCTCGCTGCATCTACTCTACATCTACCCAAAAAGCAGCTGTCTAAGCGGGCGGCCTAAGAGGTGCAAGAAGGCTTCATCATCTGCTGGCAAAGATGCCCCATAGCCCCGCGTGTCCAAACTTGCCTCAGCGCTTGGGATCCGCGCCTTCCTGAAACCCTCCATGGCATTTGCACCTTCCCTTTCCTACCTTTCGGCCGCCAGGGCTAGGGCCAACAGCTGTCTCAGGTCCTCAATACTGACCAAAAGTTCAGGTCACGTGGACCCATCATGCTGTGATCTGGAGTCCTGTCGAGCAACCACGCCACGATCTGCTGACAAAGCAGCCGGCAACTGCCTGCATGGCGAGAAGGATCACATGAAGGGCTCACCCAGCAGCGCACGGCATGATGGAATGAATGGATCTAGAGTCGACAGGCGCACCCGAGCACGGAAATCGTCGGATAACTGGACCCTTCCTTGACTTCAGACAACTTAAGAAATTCTGCTTTGCAGAGGAACTGTGACTCTGAGATCTTCGCGAATCTGAGAGGAAGGTGCGGCCGCCACTTCGCCACAAAAAGCAACTCCGCATAAACCTGGACACTGAAGATAGGGCAAACAAGCTTGTCACTACAGTCACTACAATCACTATGTATCACCACCACATACAACCAACGTGCTGGGCAAACTGCTGGATCAAGCACTGTCTGCCTGTCGCCACGCTTGGCGCGTAGGTGGACCTGCAAACAAGCAGAAAAAAGATAGCTGAGACATTTTACGAAAACCAGCCACGACCATGTCGCTCTCAGACCGCTGCCACTCTGACAGCACCTGGGAAGGGAACCCTTCCTTGCCACTTCGCTGCTTACTGTTGCTTAGTGTACTTCATTGATCTTCGTTGGGCTCCCACTTGCCTGGTTGTGCCATTGCCATCACCAGACAGGCCGTGCCATGCGAGGATTCGAATGACACAGGTCAAGTAAAAACCCCATGTTAAGGATGTCTTAGCAGAAATGCTACGAGTACGATCTTGTACGATCTGCTGTAGCTCACAAAGGCCACATGGCCTGCGTAGCTGCTGGGACTGCTGGACTGCTTGTGCAATCAGAGACTGTGGTTGTGCTTTTGTTGATCCCGGCAGAAGTACCTCAAGAAGGCTACACCAGGCTGCACCATGCTGCACATGTTGCGCCTGCTGGGTTCACCGCGTTCTGAAAGCCCTTGCTCACAGCGTTCTGAGAGCCCTTGCTCTTACAAAAGTTGAAAGCCGACCCGGCAAATCACAGCTTGGCACGCTGGGGCTTGAAGCCCAAGCCCTTTGAAATGATTTCCAGCTGCACTTCATTGGCGCCGCCATAAACTCCTCAGCATTGATCAAAATCAAGACTGGCATGGCAGCATGAGATAAAACTACGCAAGTCTCATTCCAGACTTATAGGCGCCCGGCGCGTGACTCTTTGGTCCATCATGATCTTGCCAATGGGTGAGTTTTTCAAATATCCGTATCCTCGCACGGGGCCAGACGTCGCAACGATTCGCAACGGCAGCGTCGGAGCTGAACCCGGAGATGAACCCCACAGCAAGCCCCATCCCAACCTAAAAAGCTCCCACGATCGAGCGCGCGCTTAGGGTGTGCGTGCACTCACCTGTCCTCCGAAGAGCTGCTGGCAGCGGTCTGCCACCTGGAAGCTGAGGTCCGTGGCAAAGAACTTGGCCATGGAAGCTCCCTCCGCAGAGAGCTTCTTGTCGCAGGCGTCTGAGATGCATCGGTCCACAAAAGTGGTGCCAATCTGCACTTCCGTCCGAAGCTTGGCCAGCTCCTGCTGCACACCCTGCAGGGTGCCCAGGTTGGCACCGAAGGCCGCGCGGCCGTGTGCGTAGTTCACGGTTAGTGCCAGGGCCCGCCGAGCCGCGGCCATGCTGGCGACTGCAATTGACAGCCTCTCCCTTGGAAGATGATGCATCATGTACTGAAATCCCATTCCTTCCTCGCCCACCAGGTTTTCCCGAGGCACAAACACATTCTCCAGGGTGATGAGGCAAGTGTCGCTTGCATGCTTCCCCAACTTCCCGAAGCGCTTGGCACAACTCACGCCCGGCATCTCAGACTCAATGACGAGCATGGAGATGCCACGGGCACCCTTGCTTGGATCCGTGACACATGCGACCACGGTCAATTCCGCCACTGCGCCGCTGGAGATCCACATCTTCCGCCCATTCACCGTCCACCCGCCATTGGAAGGCACGGCGCGGCAGGAGAGCTTCCCGAGATCGCTACCAACCTCCGGCTCGGACATGGCCACGGCAATCACCTCACTGCAGGCAATCTACATCACAAGAAGAGCACGATACCGTTACGAACTGCTACATAACCATATGAGAGAGAGAGAGAGAGAGCTAATGGCGTCTGTCCACAGGCTACTTGGCGAACTGAGCACGGCATGTCATGGCAACCGCGAGCTTCAGAAAACCATGGATCTTCTGAGGCAAGCGCCGCACCTCGTTTCAGTTTCGGGAGCCAGCGAGCTCGCTGCTCTTCTGTGCAGCTCTCCGTGAAGTACGAGAGAACCATGTCGTTGCCAAGGTTTACAAACAGGCCTCCGCATCCAAGATCCTCCACCTCCTCAATAACGACACAGTTATGCCTCCAGTCCAGGCCAAGACCTCCACATAAGGGGGATGTGATCGCTTTTTTTCCTGTATGGTTCCCCTTCTTCTGCTCCTTTTTCTTCTATTGCGTATGTTCAGAGCATTTTGTTGTGTATTAGGGTTGAGGTTTACGTGATTAGTTGTTTAGGGTTTCGGCTTTTCGGGTAGAAGGATGATATATGAGGCTTCGGGAAAACAAGCAAACGTACACGGAGCAAAAAGAAGAGGCAACAAAATTGCCCCTCCTCCACAAGCCACAGGTATGCCGAGTGTGAGGTAGAAGCCTTCATCGGCCATCTTGGCATAAACTTCTCTGCCAACAATCCCTTTTGCTTCAAACTTCGCATACTCGGGCAACACGTGCCGCTTGAGAAACGCCCTGCAGGAAGCGCGGTAAGCCTCATGCGCGTCCCCGTACACATCGCGCTGCAGCGCCAGGACTTTATTGCTGTCGAATTGGACCTAGGACGCAAGACGCTCTGAAGTAACCCTGGCATGCGATTGATCGCATGATCGCTCCAGGAACTGACTTAGCCAGTGACAGGTGCGGCATGGGCTGGTCTTCGCGGGGGCGGCACTGAGGACCCTTCGAGGCACCCCACAAAGGAGTTGGGAGCAAATGCAAGGATGTAGTCCTCCGGGCAAGCGCCAGTAGATGCAACAAACATGCTCGCACTGAGCCTTGCACACAACATAGCAGCAGCTTCAGAAGTTCTGAAGGCCTCACTGTGGACCTCCAAAAACTCTTTGGTGCAGTCTTTGCCGCCATGCAGCAAAACGATGTTTCTCCCAGCAGGGTGTTCGTCAACGAATCTCGTCACATCCTGGGCTTGTCTCCGCTGTTTCTCAAGCTGAGGTGTTTACAGGTACTAGCAGCACTAGCTCATGTTACGCCGTGTTCCCCCATGTTCCCCCATGTTCCCCCAATGCTGGTAGGCTCATATACTCTGTCGTTCACAATCAACCAGCAATCGTCCGCTGTGCAGTGCTTGGCGACTTCGGCTCGAGTCAAGACGGGCCTTGGGGCTTCCTGACTCGCCATCTGCAACCTCGGCAGCTTGCCACCAGCGAGGGGACTGGACGCCATGCACGGCAAACCTTGTGGCACGAAACACGAGCGGTATTTCTCTCGGTTTGCTCGCTACTCGTGTCGTTGGTTTTTTGGAAATGCTTCGCGATTTTTTTTGGCTGATTGGAACAGAGAGTTGCAACCCTCGAGCCTCTCCGAGCAAAATCACACCAAAAGACTCCTTCATACTCCTGCACACGTCAAGCCAAGGGAAGCCGGTGCGGGCTTTGGGCTTTCGCTCATTTTTCACCACCGCGCGGGAGCTCCGTGCATCTCAGAGAGGTCAGGCCTGGCAAGTGACGACTTTCCAGGAGCGCTGGCAGCTGAGCATCTGAGTGCAACCAGCGCACTGTTTTGTTTCGCCGGGTCCTGAACTCCCCGCAGTCATCAGACATGCGAAGGCCTTTCTCGGCTGGCCCACGTGAGCATTGGCGAAAGTTGCTTTCCAAGGACTCATGGGAACGCCTATTTTACGCACTGTGCTCGTCCCATCTCTCGGGGGTTCGTTCCACCAATGCACAGTGGCGCAAGCTACGGATTCCTGGCTAAATTCTCATCGGTAGTATCTTCGACACGCTTGAGCTTTTGTACAAGTGATGTGACAGCTATTTGAGGCTAGAACCACATCAGGGCAAGGACTTGGACAGTCTGGACATGTTTGAATCGAGCAGGGCGGCCCGCTCTCTGATTCAAACCTGTAGTCTCGTCGTGCAAAGCCTGCAAAGCCTGTCGCTGCTCTTCACATTTCATGGTGGCTGCAATGCAGACACAGTATGGCCCAAAGTCCTGCGCAATGAAAGGGGCTCAGCACATGCTGGCCGATGAAAAAATTCCATGTGGCAGAAGTGGCATTCTGGCGTTCTCACCTGCACTAACCTCCAGCAAAGCCTACAGGAACACCTGCGCAGTTGTCACGACCGGGGAAGCACAACAGCGACGATAACTGAGATGATAGAGGCCAACTTCTGCGCGGGCACGGCCCTCATTGCAGGGATGCCGCAAGCTCCAAAGCTCACGAACTCTGCGTGAGAGGCAACCCTACATCCAGGCTCCTACTGCCCGCCTTCTCAGCACTATATTGAGCGAGCGAAGGTGCCCTGAAACCTTCAACTCTTTCTGGAACTGCCTCTCTGCCTTGGCATCCTACGCTCACGGTTCAGGGCACCTCCGCCAGGGTACAGGGCATGATCGCACAGGAGGCCCTCAAGTGTACCCCCCCGCGGTATGCAGTACTCAGCAGGAAACGGCACCGACCCGGGCATAGGGTCCAGGTCAGGCCACTTCCTTACCGCTGTCTCCAAAGGATTTTTTACAACTGGAACCGATCTCGCTGCCACACCAACTTCAGTCAATTTTTCCCAGGACAGAGGAATCTCTGAACATTCAAGGAAGTTGGTATTGGCAAGACTTCGCCCTGGAAGCGTCTTTGGAACTGTCACATGGGCCATATTGCACCTACTCCTATATCTTTTGACTCAGTTGTCAATGCTCTCAAGTATTCGGTTCAAAAAAGGCACAAGTATCGAAGACCCTCACAGGGATATCTCGGCCGGGCTCACTGAGGATCCCGTGCGAATTTCAGCTCTGGCTGCCGAGTTGACAGCCAGAACATTCTTTGCCCAGCGCCTTAGCGGCTTTTGACCAGAGGATGCATGGGCTACATTGGGCTACATGAAGCTCAATGGTGCTCTAAGCCTGCTGCACGACCCAGCCGAGATCTTGAGAACGCCGAAGCATCGGTTCAAGTCAGGAACGGCCTCCAGCACGAAGCAACGGCGCAGCAGGCAGCGATGAGTTCCGCGATGCTGCGCCAGGCTGTGCAAGAAGATCTCTTGCAGACGAGCAGCTGCGACAAGGCCGCCGGAACTCAGCACACAAAAAAAGGTAACTGGCAATCTTCTGCAGTGCTGGCCGGCACAAGCAATTTGACCTCAGAAGGGGACCTGCCAAGTTTTGGTAGTTCGGAAAAGGCGCCTGTGCCTTAGAAACAACCAGAGGCGAAGCTGCAGTACCGCAACCCACCCAGACAGCTTCCCAGAAAGGTCAGCACATGTCCGCACCAAGCAGCGATGCCGCTTCGGCCTTGAGCAGTTTGCGCAGAGACCAGCTCGCTTTGCTTTGCTTCTCAAAGCTCACGCACGCTCGGGGCCACGCTGCATCAAAGTGCTATATACATCGGAAAAATGGCGATCCCTGGGCCGCAAGCCGCAACACTCAGAAGTCGACATGGTACCAGCAAACGTCTTGGCGAGCTGCGTTCAGACCCAGATCAGGTCATCGAAGATTGTGCCACAGCCTTGCACAAGAAATCCTTGCTGGAGCCACTGGTTTGCATCTGAGCGCAACGTTTGGGAAGCGCGAAAGCTGAGGCCAAAGCATGCCACTCCACAGCAGCAGCTTTGGCTGTGGCCACCTCATCCTGCCGCAAAGAGGACTCAGTCTGGAAACACGCACGAGAAACCTACCCCACATCCCGCGAAACGAAAGAGATTCTGAAGGGAGAAGCTCTGTTGCTCAACCCAAATCTGATCTTTCTGCCAAGAGCAATGCGCACAGCTTCTCTCGGCGAGTCCTCGTCCTCGCCCGAAATGGATTCCTCGTAGGCAATTGCAGGATCCTGAGCAGGACTGAGCATGTCGCAGGGGAGCAGTCGCTTCTCCACCGAGCTTACATGTTCTATGTCAAAAGATCAGTACACCCACTCCTGTCATTCCTCTTCCAGTACTCTTCTTGCAAGGGTAAAGCGGTTTGTGGAACCGGGCCTCTCCACCAGAAGCGGTCTCGGACGAGCCCGTGATGGGCTCCTGCAGCTGACCCGACGAAGCTTTGGTTGAGGTTTCTAGTGAGGCGTGGCTCGACATACTCAAACTGCTGCAAGCATGTCCAGCGCACCTGCAACACCCCCTGCTGGTGCGTGACATGGGCCACATGAGCGTACATGCGTCCTCTGGAATCATATCGGGCACCCCAGTCTTTACACGGCGGGAGCGGATCACCTGGCCGAAGCTCGTCACAGAGTGGCGTGGCAAAAGGTGGGAAGAGGTGGCAAAGATGCCTTGTCGGAATCAGGCAGCGCCTTCGTAGGACGGAACTCCGCAGCCTCAAGAGGCACGTTTTTCCCGTTCTTTTTCCGTTCTTTTCCCGAGTCCTAGCAAGAAGCCCAGCCAAGCTGAAGACCTTCGGGTTGAGGCCTCCGGCCTTGACCACTTGCTCGGCCTGAACGAAAACATGCCACACTAAAGCCACACAAGTAGCCGCAAGAGTAGAGTTGTGCCAAAGAGTGCCAACCCGTGGAGGACGAACGAAGCGCCTCGTGCCCTGGGTCCACCTCCAAGGCACCACCAAATCAACCAAACCAACGGACCGTTTTGGAGGCTCCTGCGGGCTCCCGGCCTCAAGGGTTAGTCCAGGGGGCGGGCCGATGGTCTGCAGCTCGAGAACCTGTCCAATCGAATCTCCAAAGGTAGGGGCTCTGCTGCTGTTCCAGGTTTCCTGATGTTTTGTGATGCTTCCTGCCTCCGAGTTCAGCAGATCGTCCAGTGAGTCCAGTCCTGTACAGCGATTCTCAAGAAAGCAAGTGAGTCGCGCAGTTCAGTATGTGAGGCTGCCAGTATCGGATTCTGTGGCTCCAGGCCTGCCACGGGAAGCTTTGGCTAGCAAGCCATGTTTGTACAGATGTTCTTGTCAATCAAGGAAGCTTTGAGACAGAAGGTTACAGACACCAATGCACAAGCTCCTGCCACGCCCGACTCCGCGAAATCGTCGGGCAGCACATACTCCGTGCCACTTTGACCTTCCCAATCTGGACGTACAAAGGGGTACAATATCTCAGTACCAGTGAGGCGAGGCAGACATTAACCCCGCACCTTCTTCAAAGTACGACATGAAGGCTGCCAGGTCATTGCAAGCCTACGGATGCGAGATGAAGCCGCGACGTGACATAGAGGCTGCAAGAAGCCTCGTCGTAGGCCATGTACCTGAGTTCGATGGCGCTGAGCGGGGGGGATCTCTCACAACGGAATGCAAATTCAGGCCCAGCTGAGACGAAAACTCTGCCATCTCGCAGAGGTCAAGCCCATAGAGTGGGTTGAATTCTTCTGCCTGTCCGCAGGCTGTGCTCAGAATAGCTAGGGCAGCTAGGCTTGTGTCAGTGATGCCTGAGGGTCCAGAGCGGCTTCATGTTCTGCAGCCTGCTCCTTAGCAGACCTTGGCCGCGACACTACTTAGGAGCTGAGTCGCTTTTCGTCACAATGCTGATCTGAGTGCTCTTCCCAGCGAAAACCACGAACTCTTCCCCTGGAAGGCCGTTCACCTATCGGATCGACCATGAATCAGGTAAGAAGCCCTGCCAGAAACGACACAGATTCTAGAAGGCTTGTGGCGGCCTTCAGCAGGCCTGTGCGATGGCGCAACCACATGGCAAAGGTGGCGCCATCCTTTTGAACTTCTGAAACAGACTGTGCCCTGTCGCAAGCTTGGGAAGATGTGAGCGCCTGCCTTCGTGTATTGCTTGAGCTCTGCAGGGGCCTGCTGCTAGAGAATATCAGAACCAGAAGGGGGAAAGAAGAAGATCAAGATGGGAAGTGCCTCTTGGTGCAACACCGCCAAGGATACGTTCCGCCCAGGCCTCAGAATGATGCCAATGGTGAACTGATCAGCCACTGCACTGTTGAGTACTGTGAGCTGCTAGTTGCAGTTGACCGAGGGGGCTTCGCTCGCCTCACTCGCGTGAGCAAACTCGAGGGATCATTGTTCTTACCTCGGGTGAAGCACTCAGCCTCAGCCCACTTGTGTACCGTCAAAGGGAACAAGTTGAGCAGAGAACCCCAACCGCAAGCGGACTTGGCGGGCATGTCAGCAGCCAGCATGGCGGCCACTGCCTCCGTGGCATCTGCAATGTCCTGTTTTGAAAAGCAGGATGCTTATTCACATACGACTGCGTGTTGCAAGCAGAGCCTTCTGCAGATTGGCAACGATCATCTCTTCCATTGCAGCCTCCTCCAGCAAGACACTACCGAACAGCACACCTGTACTGAGCCTAATCGCTTTGAACGGCTGGAGCCAACAATGCCAGCGGCAGAAAGGACAGCATTCGACAAGCAAAAAACCAACTTGTTGGCCACAGGGACTCGGAGACTCGGAGGAACAGCATGCTCGGTGCTGGACTTGCTTTGCTGCATCAGTCCTCACATGAACTCGGAAGAATGACTCTGAAAAGAAAGGGCGCTTGGCGGAACAGCTTCGGAAAGGCGACGACGAAAGCTCTGCCTGGCCTGTATGGTGCTGCTAAAGCAGAGCCAGCAGCATGCATTCAACGTAGGAGTGAGGGCACAATGTCGGAGCAAAAAAACATCCCGCGATGGGATCCTTATGCGCCGTGCTTCGGAATAAATGCAATGAATTCCCGTGCCGATTCAGGATCGTCCTTGGCAACAGACTAGAACTGTGTAGCAGTATGTCACAGCCAGAGTCCGCGAAACCCGAGCGAGTGGCAGGAAATCCCTGACCCTGTAGAAACCGCAGGCGGAGCAGGTCAAAAATGCTAGTCGCAGTTTTTGGTGGCGACCTTTGAGGCGACCGGTCCGATCCAACGCCTACGAAGTAGGACCACATAGAGGAAATGCCCAGGAGAACCAAACCTGTCTGCGGCAAGCCAGATGTTAAAGCTCAAAGTTGCGGTTGAGTGATTTGCTCCAGAGGCATCACTTCCCCAATCAAATTTGGGTCTCATCTAACAATGAAGAGTCTGAAGAGTCTCAGAAAAAAGGGGGGGGGGGCATAATGACCAAGAGCATGTCTCCTCAACAGCCCAGGCATAGGAAGGCGCACCCATGATTCCTGCGACAAACAACGCAAACCAGGACACTGGGGTTGGGCAGCCAGAATCATGATCATAGTAGTAATCAAAATAACATTGAAAACCCTAAATAATGATCATAATGTTAATACTCATGTCTTCACTCCAGCACTTGCCTCAAACAAGGCTAAAAGCCAAGAAGAAGTGGCACACCGATGCCCCGGTGCACAATTTCGCTGCATCATCTGTTCTCCCAAGCCTAAAGGGGTTGTAGATGGGCAGCGGCCGGGGGAAAGTCTTCACCGCACCTCTGTTATGGAGGTCCCCTCATCACAGCAAAACGAAACACCAAGCTGAGTGCTTTTGTCTTCTCTCGGGGCAGGGAACGGGGAGGGAGGGGGGTCACCGCATGTAGCTTTTCTTTGGGCTGCCACGCGCCGTGGAAGGTTGGGACTTGGTAGCCCAACCATTTGTCGCTTTGACTGCCAGTAGGTTCGATCTGCACCCCACAACAGTCATAAACGGCAGACACGCATACTTGAGCCACAAGTGCTTCCTGAGAAACTCCATCCTCTGAGAAGTGGTGGGTGAGGCGTGTGAGTATGGCCACAAGACATCTCCAATCTTTCTGAAAACTTTGATACGGCGGTGCGCATTCACTGGCTGCGCGGGCTTTTGCGGGAATCCCGAAGCAAGCAGATGCTTGGCAACAAGCACATCAGCACAAGAAGCGCAGCACCAACAACAAGTTGGCCCCAAGGTTTTGCACCGCCTGACACTGCAAACCCTAAACCTCTAATGAAGGCAAACCGGCTCATGGGCCTTCCAGCGAGCCCTATACGTCCCACAAGTTCACCTGCGCTGCTTGGATGCCTTCCGTATCTGGCAGCCCAACTGTGCGGACCCCACTTGGACCGCCGAGGCGACGCACGCAAGCGCTTACAATGAACAAGCATGTTATACCATTGGGTACATTCGCGTTTTATGCTGGAGGTCGCTTACATAATCAAGTTTAGTATTCCAAAAGCCCAACCAAACACCATTAATCTTTACGTTCACTTCTGGTGAGGGGGGGGCCTTATGCGCGGGCGGGAGAGGAGAGGAACCGAACGCTTTTCATCAACCCGCATGCTTCTGTCCTTCAGACTTCTGTCCTTCAGATCATCTGGTCTTGGCAGTTCTCGCAGTGGTTGGTCCTTGCACAGTTCTTGACAGGTCTGGAACAGGCCTGGATGCTTTAAGTGGGTTATGCACGCACAGCCCTGAGGACGCTACCCAAGGCCGTTGTCTGAGCACACCTTCCTTGCGACATGTGGACTAACACAGGAGACACACCAGAGACGCCATACACGTCCTTGTACATTCACTCGTTTTATCGGCCGTTGCTAGTACTGGTGCCATGTCTCTCTAGGCATCAGGAAACATAACGGCCCAGCAACAATTTTTGGCCAGCCTTTCCCCAGAGGGCCTCTTCCACCACCGGGGCAAAAGAAGGCCACAAGGCTTTCAAAGCACAATCAAGGACGTGCTGAAACTGAGTCATTTGCCGATTTCTTGGAGAAGCAGCCCAAAGAAAACAACAGCAACCATCAGGACTGCTAGGCCATGCAACGAGTCTGCAGTTGTGAGCCCATGCGGCCAGGGCACCATCAATCGCAGGCCACCCTCTTGCACCGACTCCCTGCAAAGGAGCGCGGTCATGGTTGGGACTTTGCACAAGTAGCCACAAGTAGCCCCAAACATTCAAGCACCCTCACGCTTTGGGCAAGTGGCTTTCGCCCCTTCAGCACGACACGCTGCCATGTGCGGCCATGCGCTTCAGAGACCTTGGCTGGACGCACGAGTCGCGTCAGTCGCACAACCTTCAACTGCCAGGCCGGAGTATCATGTGCAAGTCTTCGAGAAACATGGCAATTGTACGTGATTCTGGTAAGGCCTCACCCACGATGTAGGCGCGATAATCCTGGCAACGCTCTAGACATCTCTAGATCTACTGGATCTACCATTTTCAGCGCTTTGTACGGGTAGGGGCTGTGTTAGTCTGCATTGCGGCTGCACAGTGGGCAGGCCTGGCCCTCGCCAGCTTGGAGCCAGCCACCTCCCTGCAAATAGTCAAGCCGATCTGCAGGAACCTGATGGTGCTGCGATGGACTGCGCTGTGCTTCCAATAATGATTTTTCGTTCAACGCGCCGAACGCAGCGTGGCCTCAAAGCACTGCTCGTCATATTCACCCTCTGGCAAGAGGCCGCCTTCTGCTGTGACGGGCATCCAGCTGAAGATGCCTTGCGGGCATCAGGGAAGGCTCGCAGTGACTGTGCTTTCCTCACTTAGTCTGCGGAGCTCCCTCGCTCTCTCTCGCTCGCTCTCTCTCTCTCTCTCTTGAATATTGTTTCGCCTCCGCCATGTTCGTCCTCGATGAACTCGGGCGCGTCGAAAGGGTCGTACCTCGGTCAGCTTTGCACTCTGGTAGAAGCTGTTTGCATGGAACAGCTGATTGAAACAGAAATGCTGGAAATGACTAGGCACGTCTGAACCACTTCGGCCCGTGCTCCAGTCCTGTGGTGCTGCCTTTGCTCACCAGTCTCCCGATGGGCCTGCAGCACCCCCACGTTGGGATTGCAAATCAACCCGCGTCGTGTCATCAGCTCCCTGCATGGGAGGTATCAGAGCATCACCAGATTCCTCTTGGGCAACTTCCCCACCAAAGGCAGGGACTTGAGGCAAGAACACAACGGCTAGCGGCTAGGGGAAGTTGTGGTCTGCAAAAAACTTGCAAAGTCAAACGAAAGCTTGGGGGCGACCAGCGAGTGTCCTCCAACTGGCTTCGCCGTGGGACGGAAGATCGAAGCCGAGAATGATGGCCTACTCGTGCTTGCCTGCAAGACCAGGCAGCCTCAATGCTTCACATGCCATCCACAAAAAGTGTGCAAAGACACAGGCCTGCGCGATCGGCACAAGCCCGCAAAAGCCTCAACAAGAAGTTAGGCAGTCTCTCTTGTGCTGAGCTTCCGCAGTATCGACAGTGAGAGCGGCCGAGCCAATTGCAGTGACACCCAGCGAGAGAGTAGCTACGCACGTACGATGATGGGCCAGGCTAGCCTCAGAACATGTTCCAGGCAGTGTACACAGCGTGGCGTGCAGAAGCTGTTGCAAATGCCCGGGCAGAGCTTGAGCTGCCAAACGAGCCATATGGCCCGCTGTGACAGCAGTAAGAAGCTGGCCTTGAGGCCCGGATTCGGAGCTTGCAGTGGAGGTCCCGAAGGCGTCGCGGACTTGGCAGATGCAACTTTAGCTCGTGTAGGCCGTATATGACAAAAGTAAAACGTGTGTGAGCACGTTGCGAAAACAACATGGCACTGTTTGAGATAAACGATCGTCTTCGCTCAGCCCCAGTATCCCCTGCTCCTTCACTTCTGGGGCCTCGGCTCTCGTGAGTTGCCAAGTGCATGGTAGGCACGGCAGCGCGACAGCCATGGCTCCACCCTGATCGCCAAGGCTTCTCCTGAGGCTTCTGCTGAGGCTTTTGCTGAGGCACTTGCTGGCTCGCCCCTGCTTTGACTGCAATTGCTCGCACATGCTCGTCTTTTACATGCTTAAGCTGCTCCCTTGTTGGTGCTCCACATGTTGAACCAACATCAAGCTAGAAAAGGATAATACCTTTGCGCTGGAGATGTTTCGCGGCAGTGTTGCTTGTCATGCCGCGATGGCGAATTTTCCTCCGAGCAGCGCAGCCATCCAATCCAGCTTGTTTACAGAGAACTTGGTCGAGGTGACCCTGCTCGAGAAACACTCGAGAATCATTGACTGCTCAGGTAGACGCAGAGTCGTCATCTGCCTGCAGAAACATCTCATGTTCGATCAAAAACCATGAACATGATTTTGGAAGATTTGCTTCTTTTCATCCCTGAAAAGGATCACCTTCAATGATGTTGCAAAGGATGCCTTCACTCAATCTAATGTTGCGAAAGATGCCTTCACTCAACAACTTGCATCGATTTGCCTTCCATCTGGCGCCACCCTTCAGATGAAGCAAATAAAGAGGAAGCATCAAGCACCTGCCGAACCTCAACACCTGTAAACCTTCAATCTTCTCAATGCTGAACTGTCGGATAAAAGCGCTTTTTTCTCACGGCTAACGCTACTACCTTACAGAGCATGCATTCACATCACCGCGAAACTTTGCCACAGCAAAAAGGGTTGCACAAACCCGGGCTCTGCCCTCAACAACGGAAGATGAAACACAGCGGTTGCAGCTGTCCAGTTCCAGAACCCAGGTGTGCTTGGCGGACGCCAAAGCTCAGACTGGCATGTTCCCCCCCCCCCCCCCCCCCACGTCCTCGATCCTTTGAAGGAGAGGGTCAAGGGTACCATGCAGCCTGAATCATTGAGTGAAGCCCAGGACAAGGTCAGCAAGGATCGGTCCAATCACAAGAAATTTCCAGAACTGTGAGATTGTCCTCCATTTCCTTCAGTCTCATCTTTACGTCTTCTTTATAATGGAACCCAGCGCAACAAGAGGGATTGGTCCTGAGGCAAGCAACGATTGCCTGCAATGTCTCACAATTCCTCGTGAACTTAGCCCAATCCCTGTGGTGCTCAATCTGGTAGAAGCAGTCCCAGCCTTCCATAGAGCATCGATCACAGCCTTGAAGGACCATAGCCACGCTCGCAAGCAAGCAAGCCAAGGTCGGTTGCATGACTGCCGAGGACGGATGCTGGTAAAAAAGAGCTTCGAGCCCAGTCTTATCTGATTGACACGTGTACACGGTCAGGTTTAAAGATGGTATCAGTGCAAGTGGCGATGAGCCATGCCGTGGTTCATAGTAATGTGAGCGTATGTATGAGCTCAACGAAATGCCAAATGAAGCCAGGTCTTTCGACGTGAATGTTGCTGGCTCTGAATCGAATGTGCACCCATGTCAGTCGCATTTGCTTTTTACATTTTTGCCAGACAAATCCAAGGAAGAACTTCATACCATCCTGTTTAAATCTGCTTGCTCCATATCAATTTTGGGGGCACAGAAGCTGTAGTGAGTGTTGGTGATGCATGCATGGCGTGTTTAGGTTGACCCTGTCAAGACCCCCCTGACACCCTAAAACCCCGCAAAACCTGCTCCGAAGTGGGCCTCAACCAGCTTCCGCGTGGCCACGTCCAGGCCAGAGATGGCCTCGTCAAGGAGCAGCACCTGGGAGCTCTCTGCATCCCACATATACCCTAAACCCTGAACCCGAACACCGCCAACATCCCCAAGCACCCTAAACACCAAACGCCGCCAACCCCCGCTGCCCCCCACCCCCCCAACAAAAAAATGAAAAAACTAATATAATAATAATACTCAAAATAACAATAATAATATATATATATATATATATATAACGGTTGTTCGAAATTGCTTCATGGCAAAACGACCATTCTTCGCTAAAAGCTCTTTGTGTTTCGCGGGCCCATCGCGGACTTTCGCGGAGCCTATTTCACACCCGATTAGGTACCTATTTTGCACCCGTATTAGCTGCTGTGCAAGCAGTACTAGCACAAAACTTCGCGAAAACGTGATTTGTCTTTCGCGGCCCATCGCGGACTTTCGCGGACCCTCATTTCCATCATCTGATGGTCGCCCCAGTATAACTCGAAGACAAGGAGGGTTTTGAACAACCCTCATATATATATATATATGTATCAAATTAAGCCTCCCCAAACCCCGAACCGACCTCTCCTTCCTGCCTGCTAGTGCACGGGCAGCCACAGCAAGGAGCTCAGAGGATCCCCCTGCAAGGCGCCCATCTTTGTCGCCTGCACTGCGATGACTTGCCAACGAGCTTGCTACAGTTTACGAAAGTCCGTGCGAAGGCGTGCGAATGTGACGCTACGGCTTGGCACACGCAACACAGATGCTCTTGGACATGTGACGCTGGGGATTTGCAAGCACAACAAAAACATCAATGCACGTTAATAGAGTAGGAAATTTCAGCCAAATTAAGTTGAAGAGCCGAAGGCAAGAGAGGGGGGGGCTCAAGGGCCCCCCCCCCAAATCGAGAAAACACCCCGCGCCCTTTCCGTAAGGCCGCAAGCAAGGCATTTCCTTGTGACTGCTCTCAAGGTGGGGGGCCCTCCCCGCGACACCTTCAATCCCTGATATATCAGGGACTGAGGCCCGGAAGTCCTATTTGTCCCAAAACAAGAAGGTTGCAAACAAAAACTCCCACAACCTCCAAACGAGCTCGCTTTCGTGACTTTCACTTATGGAACGCAGGGGACCTGGGCCTCGGCCTCTTTCTTCAAGTGCAAACGGTGAAGCCACATTCTCCGCCACCTGCATCGGACGAAGATGGTCCAAGAATCAAAGAATCGCATCCTGCAAATGGCATCCTGCTGTGCACCCTACTGGTGCCCAAGCGTCCTTCCCGCCTTCCACAGCCTATACCGCCTATCCCTGAGAAAGCCGCAGTTTGCTTATTGGTCGCCTTCACGCCAGAGCTCCGCGCATCTCAGAGAGGCCAGGCCTGGAAAGTGCCGATTTTCCAGGAGCGCTGGCAGCTGAGCATCTGAGCGCAACCAGCGCACTGTTTTGTTTCGCCGGGTCCTGAACTCCGCGCGCAATCTCAGAAGAACATGCGAAGGCCTTTCCCCTTCGGCACCAATTCAACACTCAGCTTGCCCACGTGAGCATCGGCGAAAGTTGCTTCCCAAGGACTTGCAGGAATGCCTATTTACGTTCTGTGCTCGTCCCATCACTTTGCAGAATCTGGAAATCTCTGAGGTTCGTTCCACCACCGCACAGTGGCACAAGCTACGGATTCCTGGTTAAATTCTCAGTCGGTAGTATCTTCGACACGATTGAGCTTTTGTACAACTGATGTGACAGCAATTTGAGGCTGGAACCACATCAGGGCAAAGACTTGGACATGTTTGAATCGAGCAGGGCGGCCCGCTTTCTAATTCAAACCTGCATGCAGTCTCGTCGTGCAAAGCCTGTCGCTGCTCTTTATTTCATGGTGGCTGTAACGCAAACACGGTATGATCCATAGTCCTGCCTAATGAAAGAGACTCAGCACAGGCTGGCCGATGAAAAAACTTATGTGGCAGAAGTGGCATTCTGGATCATTCTGGGGTTCTCACCTGCACTACTCTTCCTGTAACATCTAGCTGAATCTAGCCTCCGGCAAAGCCCACAGGCACGCTAAAGCAGGTTTCACAACCGGTGAAGTACAAAAAACGATGATACATGATATGATAGAAGCCAAACTTCTGGGTGGGCATGGCCCTCATTGCAGGGATGCCCCGAGCTCGAAAGCTCACGAACTCCGCGTGAGAGGCACCCTACATCCAGGCTCCTACTGCCCATCTTCTCAGCACAGCTTGAGTGAGCGAAAGTGCCCTGAAACCTTCAACTCTTTCTGGAACTGTCTCTGCCTTGGCAACCTAAGCTCATGGGGTGGGTCGGTCAGGGCACCTGCGCCAGGGTACAGGGCATGATCGCACAGGAGGCCCTCAAGTGTACCCCCCACAGAATGCAGCAGTACTCAGCAGGAAGCGGCGCCGACACGGGTTTAGGGTCCAGGTCAGGCCACTTCCTTACCGCTTTCTCCAAAGGTTTTTACAACTAGAACCGATCTCGCTGCCACACCAACTTCATTCAATGTCTTCCCAGGACAGAGGAATCTCTGAACAGTCAAGGAAGTCGGTACTGGCAAGACTTCGCCCTGGAAGCGTCTTTGGAACTGCCATATTGCACATACTCCTATTTATATTATATTCGGACTGAGTTCTCAAAGCATCGAAGACCTTCACAGGGATATCTCGGCCGGGGCTCACTGAGGAATTTCAAATTCTGACCGCCTGCTTCGCAGCCAGAGCATTCTTTGCCCAGTGCCTTGGCACAGCTTTTGAGTGAAGGATACGTGGGCTCTATCTCTATGATGCTCTAAGCCCTCTGCACAACCCAGCCGAGATCTCCAGAGCGTCAAAGCATCGGTTCAAGTCAGGAACGGCCTCCACACAAAGCAACTGCGCAGCAGCTCGCGATGAATTTCCACGATGCTGCGCCAGGCTGTGCAAGAAGATCTCTTGCAGACGAGCAGCTGCGACAAGGCTGCCGGAACTTAGCAAACAAAAACTGGTAACGTGATTCACAGGCATCTTGACCTCAGAAGGGGACCTGCCAAGTTTTGGCAGTTCGGAAAAGGCACCTGTGCCTTAGAAACAACCAGAGGCCAAACTGCAGTACCGCAACCCACCCAGACGGCTTCCCAGAAAGGTCAGCACATGTCCGCACCAAGCAGCGATGCCGCTTCGGCCTTGAGCAGTTTGCGCAGACACCTATTTTGCTTTGCTTTGCTTCTCAAAGCTCATGCACGCTCGGGGCCCCGCTGCATCGAAGTGCTATATACAAGGGAAAAATGGCGATCCCTGGGCTGCAAGCCGCAACACTCAGAAGTCGACATGCTCCCAGGAAACGTCTTGGCGAGCTGCGTTCAGACCCAGATCAGGTCATCGAAGATTGTGCCACAGCCTTGCACAATAATCCTTGCTGGAGCCACTGGTTTGCATCTGAGCGCAACGTTTGGGAAGCGCGAAAGCTGAGGCCAAAGCATGCCGCTCCACAGCAGCAGCTTTGGCTGTGGCCACCTCATCCTGCCGCAAAGAGGACAGTCTGGAAACATGCACGAGAAGCCTGCTCCAGATCCAGCGAAACGAAAGAGATTCTGAAGGTAGAATCTCTGTTGCTCAACCCAAGGCTGATCTTTCTGCCAAGAGAAATGCACACAGCTTCTCTCGGGCGAGTCCTCATCCTCGCCCGAAATGGATTCCTCATAGGCAATTGCAGGATCCTGAGCAGCACTGTGCATGTCGCAAAGGAGCAGTCGCTTTTCCACCGAGCTTACATTTTCGATGCCACAAGGTACGAAAGATCAGCACACCCACTTCCGTCATCCCTCTTCCAGTACTCTTCTTGCAAGGGTAAAGCGGGCCTCTCCACCAGAAGCGGTCTCGGACGAGCCCGTGATGGGCTCCTGCAGCTGACCCGACGAAGCTTTGGTTGAGGTTTCTAGTGAGGCGTGGCTCGACATACTCAAACTGCTGCAAGCATGTCCAGCGCACCTGCAACACCCCCTGCTGGTGCGTGACATGGGCCACATGAGCGTACATGCGTCCTCTGGAATCATATCGGGCACCCCAGTCTTTACACGGCGGGAGCGGATCACCTGGCCGAAGCTCGTCACAGAGTGGCGTGGCCAAAGGTGGAAAGAGGTGGCAAGATGCCTTGTCGGAATGAGCCAGTGCCTTCGTAGGACGGAACTCTGCAGCCTCAAGGGGCATCTTTTTCCCATTCTTTTCCCGTCCTTTTCCCGAGTCATAGCAAGAAGCCCAGCTAAGCTGAAGACCTTCGGGTTGAGGCCTCCAGCCTTGACCACTTGCTCGGCCTGAACGAAAACATCCCACACTAAAGTCACACAAGTAGTCGCAAGAGTAGTCTCAAGAGCCCATCTCAGCGTCACAATTCGTCGAAGAGTTGTCCGAAGAGTTGTGCCGAAGAGTGCCAACCCGTGGAGGACGTGCGAAGCGCCTCGTGCCCTGGGTCCACCTCCAAGGCACCACCAAATCAACCAAACCAACGGACCGTTTTGGAGGCTCCCGCGGGCTCCCGGCCTCAAGGGTTAGTCCAGGGGGCGGGCCGATGGCCTGCAGCTCGAGAACCTGTCCAATCGAGTCTCCAAAATTAGGGGCTCTGCTGCTGTTCGTGATGCTTCCTGCCTCCGAGTTCAGCAGATCGTCCAGCGAGTCCAGTCCTGTGCAGCGATTGCCCAGAAAAGCAAATTGAGTCGCACAGGTATGTCAGGGTGCCAGCAGATTCTGTGGCTCCAGGCCATAGCAAGTCTTGGCAATATCGCTATTTTAGTGCAGATGTTCTTATCAGTCGGTTCAGGTTTGGGTGCCGCGGAAGAAGGTGCCGTGCCGCTCCTACTTTGCGTCGCAGAAGGTTACAGACACCAATGCACAAGCTCCTGCCACGCCCGATTCCGCGAAATCGTCGGGCAGTACATACTCCGTGCCACTTTGACCTTCCCAATCTGGACGTACAAAGGGGTACAATATCTCAGTACCAGTGAGGCGAGGCAGACATTAACCCCGCACCTTCTTCAAAGTACGACATGAAGGCTGCCAGGTCATTGCAAGCCTACGGATGCGAGATGAAGCAGCGATGTGACATACAGGCTGCAAGAAGCCTCGTCGTAGGCCATGTACCTGAGTTCGATAGCGCTGAGCGTTTTGGATCTCTCACAACGGAATGCAGATTCAGGCCCAGCTGAGACCAAAACTCTGCCATCTCGCAGAGGTCGAGCCCGTAGAGTGGGTTGAATTCTTCTGCCTGTCCGCAGGCTGTGCTCAGAACAGCTAGGCCAGCTAGGGTTGTGTCAGTGGTGCCTGAGGGTCCAGAGCGGCTTCATGTTCTGCAGCCTGCTCCTTAGCAGACCTTGGCCGTGACACTTCCTAGGAGCTGAGTCGCTTTTCGTCACAATGCTGATCTGAGTGCTCTTCCCAGCGAAAACAACGAACTCTTCCCCTGGAAGGCCGTTCACCTTTCGGATAATCAGGTAAGACGCCCTGCCAGAAACGACGCAAATTCTAGAAGGCTTGTGGCGGCCTTCAACAGGCCTGTGCGATGGCGCAACCACATGGCAAAGGTGGCGCCATCCTGTTGAGCTTCTGAAACAGACCCAAGCTTGGGAAGATGTGAGCGCCTGCCTTCGTGTATTGCTTGAGCTCTGCAGGGGCCTGCTGCTAGAGAACATCAAAACCAAACGGGGGAAAGAAGGAGATGAAGATGGGAAGTGCCTCGTGGTGCAACACCGCCAAGGATACATTCCGCCCAGGCCTCAGACTGATGCGAATGGTCCCGAATGGTGAAGTGATCAACCATTGAGCCGTTGAGTGCTATGAGCTGCTAGTCCCATCAAAGAACTCATTGCAGTTGACCGAGGGGGCTTCGCTCGCCTCACTCGCGTGAGCAAACTCGAGGGATCATTGTTCTTACCTCAGGTGAAGCACTCAGCCTCAGCCCACTTGTGTACCATCAATGGGAACAAGTTGAGCAGAGAACCCCATCCGCAAGCGGACTTGACGGGCATGTCAGCGGCCAGCATGGCGGCCATTGCCTCCGTGGCATCTGCAATGTCCTGAAAAGCAGGATACTTATTCACATACGACTGCGTGCTGCAAGCGGAGCCTTCTGCAGATTGGCAACGATCATCTCTTCCATTGCAGCTCCTCCAGCAAGACACTACCGAACAGCACACCTGTACTGAGCCCGATCGCTTTGAACGGCTGGAGCCAACAATGCCAGCGGCAGAAAGGACAGCATGCGACCAGCAAAAGACCAATGTATTGGCCACAGGGACGGAGAGGAACAGCAGGCTCGGTGCTGGACTTGTTTTGCCGCATCAGTCCTCACATGAACAAGACCCTGAAGCGAGAAGATACTTCGAGGAATAGCTCGGGACGGATAAGAGTGCGAACACCCTGGGCGCCACAAAAAACCCATAGCAACTGGCACTACCCAAAGTTGCTGCAGCCCACCCCATGACAAAAAAAAATCACTGTCGGGACTACACAAAGTCTTGCCCCAAACCTCGAAGCATAGCCTGTATATGACACATGTGAAACATGTGTGAACACGTTGCGAGAAAAAAACATGGAACAACTGTTCGATATAAATCACACTATCCCTCGCTCCTTCGCTTCTGGGGCCTCAGCTCTAATGAGTTGCATGGTAGGCAAGGCAGCGCCACAGCCATGGCTTCACTCTGATCGCCTCTCTACTTATTGCCGAGGCTTCTGCTGATTTTTTCGCCGACGCTTGAGGCTTCAGCTGAGCACTTGCTGGCTCGCCCCTGCTCTGCCCCCACACTCTCGCGCCTTTTGCATGCTTGCGCTGCTCCCTCGTTGGTGCGCCGCGTGTTGAACCAACATCAAGCCAGAAAAGGAAAACACCTTTTCGCTGAAGATATCTGAAGATGTTTCGCAGTAAAGTTGCTTGTCATGCCGCGGTGGCGAACTTTTCCTCCGAGCAGCGCAGCCGTGCGATCTAGCTTGTTTACGGAGAACCTGGTCGAGGTGACCCTGCTCGAGAAACACTCGAGAATCATTAACAGCTCAGGTAGACGCAGAGTCGTCATCTGCCTGCAGAAACATCTCATGTTCGATCAGATCCTCATGAGTATGACCTCTCCTTCCCGCCTGCTAGTGCACGGGCAGCCACAGCAAGGAGCTCAGAGGATCCCCCTGCAAGGCGCCCATCTTTGTCGCCTGCACTGCGACGACTTGCCAACGAGCTTACTAGAGTTTACTAAAGCCCGTTCAACCTCTCCTGCGCATGCCATGCCTCGATCACCTGCTTTTGGATGGCTGCTAGTGCTCCAGTAGCCACCTGGGACACTTGTCAAGCCAAACTGCGTACCTGCGGCTGCGATTCACCGGCAAGGCCACCAGCTCGCTCTGCGTGGAAAACATGCCATCCTCCGTTTGGCGAAACGGCTCCAGTGGATTCCAGAAGCCAGCAGTTCCCAACAAAAATATGAGCACAGATGAGCACAGGCTTGGCCGTCCTGGGGCCCAAGAGAAGTGCAGGCCAGCAAAGGCTGCCCAACCTGAAACAGATTTCACAGAACGTTCTCAAATTCTCAAAACCTTCACTCCAGCGTGGAATCGCGTAGAACTGTGCCAAGCCCTGGGCCTCGGCCTCCTTCTTGGTAACACCAAGGGCAAAGGGCGAAGCAACATTTTCCGCCACCTGCATCGACCCAAGAATCGCGCATCCTGCAAATATCTGCAAATGGCATCTTTGGCATCCTACCTGTACCCTGATGGCATCCCCTTTGCCAGCTGTGCGCCCCCCAGCGCCTCAATATTTGCCACAGCTACAGATGCCATCTCCTTGCACAAGAAGTCATTCTTCCACTTTCCATTCACGGATCAACCCCACTCACTGCTCTAGTTGTCCTCCCCGTGAAAGATCATCTGGGCAAGAGGGACACCCTGCCACTGAAGCCGGAGCTGTCATGAAAAGCTACAGCCGTGTTCGTCCTATTTCGTCCTCAAGCTCCCAAGAGCCTCCACAGATGCTGCGTCACCGACCGCAAAGATCTGTCCTTGGCCCAGCGGTTCCAGCACCGCACCTGCCATCGCGACTGCAAAAGCAAAAAACGTGTGAGATCACGAATGAGCACTCGCACTCACGCGAGAACTGGGCGGACCCTGAGTCACTTCTTCAACGCTGGTCAGGCCCATGTGGCTGCTGCAGAGAACCTGCAAAGCGCTCTGAGTTTTACTAGGATGAATATACCAGTTTTTTGCTTCGTTGCGTGTCTTTGTCTGCTTGTGTTTTTGGGTATCAAGGCTCCACCTCCCGATCTCCCCTTCGGCTACTGGGAGGCCGAACCCAAAAAGAGGTGTTGGGTGGCGGACCCTAAACCCGAAGAGTTCACCCCAAAATGGGGATGTTCACATAGCGGGAGATGTTGGGCGCGCAAACCCTAAACCCTGTTAATGCTGGCTGGGAAACCCTGAAACCAAAAACGGGGGGCATGGCGACCAAAAACGGTTGGGTGGTTAGCCCTAAAGATGCTCAAGAAATGCTACAAAGATGCTGTGTCACCCATCTGGGTGGCAAGTCTGACAACCCAACGTCTTGGACGTGGCAAACCCAAAACCCTAAAGGACTTGTTGGGTGGCGAGCCCTAAACCCTAAACAAGATGTTGGGCGGCAAGCCCTAAACCCTGTTGTTGCTGGGTGGCAAACCCAAAACCCGAAGACGGTCTGGCCAACCCCAAACCCTAAAAATGTCGGGTGGCAAACCCGACACCCAGAAGAGATGCTGGCTGGCACAGATAGGTGGAAAGCCCCGGCAACCGAATGCTCTGAGCATGGCAGGAGCGCCAAACCTAAACCTTCAAAGGAATGCGCCGATTTTTGCCATGGGCTCGCGGAAAACGGTTTTTGGTCTCTGAAGCGGGCCTTTGCACAAGCCACAACGGCTTGATTGCAGCACTTTGCGGCCAAACACACATAGGTGTGTGTGTGGACGACTCGCATCTTCTGTCGTCCAGCCAATCAGCCTGCTAAAAGAAGGCCGCGAACGCGAGCAAACAACCATGTCTGCAACTGCAGACTACGGGGCGCAAGCCCAACTCAGTTGCAGCCATGTCAATGTATTTCCCAAAAGGAAAGAGCTGCGCTGAGGGCGACACAGCTGGAGACGCCAGCATGATAAACTGATCTGTTGGAAGACGTTGCGATTTTGTTCAGAAGCCTGAATGAATATTGAATGCCCTGCAACATGGACCTGCCAGCTCCAGACATGCCTCACCGCAACCACAACGAGTTTTTCCAGCCTGAGTCACAAGTCAAACGCTCGAAGCCAGACAAAAAGGCTCTCTGGACCCTTGCTGACGGCTGACCGCCGTTCTTGAAACACACAATATGAATTGGCATCGGAGTGACCTGGCTGAGCCAATCGAAAAGACCCTCTTGCATGAGACTGCGAAAGTTGCCGCAATGGTTAAGGCGCCGTAAGTCCTGTACCCTAAACTCCTAAACCCACATCCTGGGCCAAGGCTGGCTTTGGCTTTGGGCTGCTTTCAACGCTGGCACTGCCTGGGCCGCCCCGACTGTCCGCCATGCGGAACGCAGAGTTTCGCTAATTCACAATGTCGTGGAGCATTCGCTCCGACGCTTGCGAGCGCAGGACTGCCATTGCTTCGCGCACGTTGAGCAGGGCCATCTCTGAGCACTTCCGTGCCGCCAAGTTTGCCAAGGCGGCAAAATTTGCCTTGCGCAGGCAGCGCAGCAAGCGCGCTGGAACGGGCCGCGATGGAGCTGCGGGTGCTGGGGTGGTTTTGTCCTGCCTTTCAGCCTCCATCTCCTGCTCCAAGATTTCCTTAGAAGGACGGCAGACTTTCAACTACTGCAGCGCATTGCTTGCAAAGGCCCCAATACACACAACCCGAAAATGGCTCTTCTCCGACAGGTCCATGTACCTGCATGTTAAGTACCTGGATCCGAAACGACTTGCCACGTTGTTCCCATGAAAGACATTTGGGCTCAAGGTATAGACTACACACGAGCCGAAATCCTTTCTGCTCTCAGTCTCCAAGAGATCTTCCGTGCCCCGCAGGCCTGCCTCACGGGCGGTGTCCTGGATACATTAGGCCACTACCCTGCTACTTCTTTGTCCATGACTATCTACGCAACAGCCTGCTGCGTGGTATTATGTCGCAACTCCCCAGTGTGACGCTGGATTGATGTAGCTTGTGGCTGTGCGATGCGACGTAGGGCAGGCACCCCTCAATCATCTCTTTCCTGAAAGCCAAAGCACTTCTTTTACACTCAAGGCCTACCGCTCGAGTATGGCTCCTTGAGTACTTGCAGGGCCAAGCAGAGGAAGTTGGTCTTGGACATCTCCTCGATCATGCGGCGCTGCTGCTTGTCGAGGTCCAGCTTTGTGGTCTGGTCATGGTGCAAGTGGCAGAAGTTACAGCCGGCCCCGGCTCTGCACAACCTCCGAGGATGAAGGGTTAGGGTTTAGGGCTTAGGGTTTAGGATTTTGGGCTTCGGGCATCCCAGCCGCCAGGACTTCTATCGCACACAGGTGAAAGTGAGAGCGTGATGTAGCACACCAGGCATGTCCCTCCATCATTATGAGCTCAGCGTACCCCTCAACCGGAAACCCTGAACCCTATACCCTCAGAGCCTTCCTGCAGCCACGTGCACGCACGGCCGCTGGCAAAGGGCCGGGTGACCCCTGCTGCCAGAGCTGAACACCGTGTCTTCATCTCCATGCTCCTCGTCCTAGGGTTTAGGGTTTAGCGTTTAGGGTTTAGGGTTTGGGGTTTGGGGCTTAGGGTTTACAAGGGTTCTTGTCTATGGGTGCAATGCTTGGGCGGGGAGAACGTTTGAGGTATCTGCGCAGAAAAAAGGAAGCGGCTAAGGTTTCTGGAAGTGTAGGGTAGCCTTCAGGGACTCGAGCACTACAGTAAAACGAAAGAGGCGAACCTATGTTACACAGTGTACGGTATATAGTGCACTCTGCTGTAGAAACATATTATGAGGTATTTAGTACAAGGACTAGACAAGAAATACAGCCTAGCTACCATGTAGCATAATGATGGGACCCCTAAACCCCATAAAATGGGACTCTCAAACCCCATAAAATGGGACTCTTAAACTCTGAAAAATGGGACTCGTAAACCCGGGACTCTTGAACCCTAAAAAGGGGGACTCTGAAACCCTAGGAAATAGGACTCTTCAGCCCTATAAACCCTATAAACCCTATAAACCCTATAAACCCTATAAACCCTATGAACCCTATAAACCCTATAAACCCTGAAACCCTCTAAACCCTCTAAACCCTCTAAACCCAATAAACCCAATAAACCCTATAAACCCTATAAACCCTATAAACCCTATAAACAACCCTATTAACCTAAACCCCCTATAAACCCTAAGCGGCTTGCGCGTCCTGCACCGGTGCTTGCGCGGCTGGTGCGCGCCGGGGTCCCGGCAAAGACTCCACGTAGCGCTCCAGCTCCGCCTCCAACAGCAGACCCGAAGGATTCGAGGGGTAGAAGTTGTAGTGTTTAGGTTTCGGGGTTTAGTTTAGGGTTTAGGGTTTAGGGTTTAGGGTTTAAGGTTTAGGGTTTAGGGTTTAGGGTTTAGGGTTTAGGGTTTCGGGTTTCGGGTTTAGGGTTTAGGGTTCAGGGTTCAGGGCTCAGGGTTGAGGGTTTAGGGTTCAGGGTTCAGGGTTCAGGGTTAGTTAATTTAGGGTTTAGGGTTTAGGGTTTAGGGTTTAGGGTTTAGGGTTTAGGGTTTAGGGTTTAGGGTTTAGGGTTTAGGGTTTAGGGTTTAGGGTGTAGGGTGTAGGGTTTAGGGTTTGGGATTTAGAGTTTAGGGTTTGGGGTTTAAGATATGCCTGGACCCTTTGTTTGAACATGTTTCAGAATGCACGGAGGATCCCAACATACTGACCTCCTTGCCATACCAACTTTCTCATAACTGAAATTCCTTTGAGATTACCCCATAAACCCTATAAAGCCCCTAAAGACCCTAAACCCAAACAAAAACCCCAAAGCCCCCAAACCCTCAACCCTAAACCCTAAAACCCTAAACCCAAAAGACCCTATACACCCTAAAGGCCCCTAAACACCCTAAAAGAAACCTAAAAACCCAAAAGAAAGACCCACAACGGGCCGCCTCCGTGCTCTTGGCCCAATCCCGGCCCATGCTCAGCGGGGGAGCACTGTGGGCACGGCCTGTGCGGAGCTCACGGGCCCGGTCCTCGTCCTGAAAAAAAAAAAAAGGACCGAAGCTGGCTGTAGGCTCATTAGGGCCTTAGGGTTGTGTGGTTTAGGGTTTAGGGTTTGGGCCTGGGTTGAGGCCTTCTAGGGCTGAGCCGGTTGAATTTGTGTGGGCTTTTGGGGGGCGGTTTGCAAACACATGAAAGCAGGAAGCAACCAACGGCACCAAAGTTTCGTGTTGCCCCTCAATGCACTGCAATCTTGTACAGCAATCTCTGCTCATCATTGCATGTCGCCTGAGCCCTAAACCATCCTAAACCCCTAGCCCTGAGGGTCAAATTCATGCTTCCTCCAGGAGCACGTCCAGGAAGGTGAATCGGTAAGCTACCCGCGCCATGGTCCAAATACGTGGGCAACTTGAGCCTTTATGGCTTCCAAAAAACCACAAAACCCTTCGGATACTGAAAACACAATCCCCCTGTACTTTGCAAGCAGAAGCCGGCGAGTCTAAAGCAACCAGCCCAGGAGGCGGTGTTGGCAGCAGCACCGCAATCAAAAGGTAGCAGGGATTGCAAATGACAATAAGGAAGACATAATTTAGGGGTAAAAAGCTATTGGTACTTATGTTGAGTAGAGTAACAGTATAACAGAAACATGAAGTAGCTAAACCCTAAACCCTAAACCCTAAACCTTCAACTTCAGCATCCCAAGGTCCCAGGTTCCATCGAGGATTCGTTTCTCGCAACGATTGGCCCGTTGTCCGCGTTGCAGCCCGAGGGTGTTAGCGTTTAGGGGTTAGGGCTTAAGGGTTCTCATAGAGTAGAATGCAAGAGTAGAATCGAGGAGAAGAAAGAGTAGAGAGTAGAGTGTATAGAGTATAGAAAAGAGAGTGGACCTTGCTCAGGATCTGCTTCTCGTCAGCAGCGGAGTCGCACACTGGAAACTGATGAGGGAAACTGGAAAACGCAGATTCGGGAAAGCAAAAGCGCGGATTCGAACTAAAAACGGGGATTCGGAAACTGGAGACGTGATTTGAAAAACTGGAAAACGCTGGATTCGGAAGCCGCAGAGTCGGGAAGCTGGAAAGCACGGATTCGGGAATCGCAAAGCTGTCTGAACGCATCCTTGACATGAATGTTATCATCCCCCCTTTCCCGCCGCCCCCCCCCTCCCCCCACTCCTACCCCCTCGAAGTTTTCTTCATTGGGCAATTTCCTGAATGTCACGGTTCCTGGATTGCCAGTTTCCTGAATCGCTTGGTTACCCAAACCACGATTTCCTGAATCGCGCGGTTCCTGAATCGCGGTTACCGCAATCGCTCGAAGCCAGCTTCCTGAATCGCTTAACCGCAGTTTCCTGAGTCCTGGTTTCCTGAACCCTGGTTTCCTGAATCCAATTTCTGAATCGCACGAGCCCAGTTTCTGAGTCGCACATATGTTCGTCGCGGCGTTGCCTGAAGATGTTGGCTGGAAAAGACGCGGCGTTTTTGTTGCAAAAAGTAAGAGTATGTGTCTTGATTGTACTTCCATTTCCTGTGTGCACATACATATTATACACACAAGTGCGGAGCACATCTTACTCAGATCCCATTGTGCGCACGGAAAACGTCGACCTGCATCCGTTTGTTGACGCGGATCTGGCCGTTGCTGCGCAGCACCTCGAACTCTCAGGTGGCAGAGGTAGCAAGACAACATCCTAAGCAGGGTCTTCACGAGCAACAACCCTAAACCCTAAACCCTAAACCCTAAACCGTAAACCCTAAACCCTAAACCCTAAACCGTATTGCCCTTCAGAGACTCCAGAGACTCTGGAGGCTGTAAGGACAGGGCCGATCGGTCCACGAAGAGCTCTGAAGCGCGAGGTTTTGTACCAACGCACCAAAGGACCACCTCGCCTGGGCACCCACTGCACACTCTACGTCTCTTTACGGTATGATGACGAACACATGCAGCCGCACCTTCTGAAACCAGTTCGGGCACGAACGGCTGGCCAAGGCGAAGCTTGACTCCCTGGCCATGCTTGGAAGCCATGGAACTGCGCACAACTGCGCACAACTGCGCACAACTGAGCACAACTGAGCACAACTGAGCACAACTGAGCACAACAGTGCACTCTCCCACAGTCCCAGAGTCCAATGCGAATGCCCTCTCTGAAGCCTGCTTTGCAAAGAACTCCATGGTGTAGTCGCGCGCCGGATCCGCAAGCTGCGGTAGAACGTGCGCAGCACCTCGCTCAGCCCCCGCTCCATCCGGGCATCACACCAGGCCCACTAGAAGTTGCTACAGGAACATGCAGCAACGTGTGTGGATGTGTGTAGGCATCCCGGCCATCCACCAGTGTCACCTCGGCTAGGCCGTCATGTCCAAGACGTCCAAAGACAAGCGAGGGCTTCATGGGGCGTTTCTAGCCGTTTCTGACATCCGCGCCTTCAGCCGCGGGAAGAAGTGGACCAGCTCCGCAGCCAGCTCGACACCTTCAGAATCGGGAGGAGACACGCATTTTTAGGCACCGTGCGTTTGCACACGTCACACGTCGCACCTACTAAGCCAGCTCCCACGACCACGGCTCCAGGAGCACTTGCCAGCTGCTCGTACAAGAGTTGCAGGCTTCGCCGGCGACCCTGGCAGCACAGTCAGCCATTTTTCCCGGTTTCCCGCTCCGCTTGCCAACGTACATGAACAACGATGGCCTTCTCTCGCTAAACATACGTCACGTTTCTACAACATGTCCAAAGAAAAGAAGTGTCAGGAGTGAAACGCACACACACACACACACAGACAGAACGAGACGCAGGGTACTGCATCAAAAAAGCGAAGCTCTGCCTGCCTCCAGGCGCCGCTCGTCCAAAGCGGGCCCACAAACTCCGGCCCCAACCGCGGCTGTGGCTCCGCCTGCGGCCCCGCCGGGCCCTGAAGCCGTCAGCGGCGCGTCCTTTGGCCTTCCCATCAGTTCTTTGGCACATGTAATGGGATTTTTTCGAACAAGAACACGCAACAGCGCACGGCTGCAACGCACAGCTGCAACGCGGAGCTGTGGCATCACTTGGCCTGGCCCCGGATGATGAGGAGGCTGTGGGCTGCGGCATGAGTGAGCTTTTGGCAAGGCTAGAACCGACCGTGGTCATGAAGTCTCAACTCATGCTTGCCCGCTGGAACAACAAGCTCCTCCAACGCACGAGGCTTCCACAAGCCGTTGGCCACACCGACAGCCACCACGCAGTAATCGAAGCTCATCCTGTCCAGTAACAACTGCGCGGCAGGGGCAACATGACACCATCTTAGAATTTTATGCGCCCTTGGAATCCGGAAAGTCAGGAGGCGGAAGCTGCGGTGCTAACTTCACATCTCGGAGCCTGGTCTCCTCTCGGATGCTGCCAACAGTTGGCTCCTTGAGAACGCTGTGGGACTTTGGGCCCATGTACCCCATGAAAACCACGCCCTAGCAACAGTCGTGACATGATGCTCAGGTTGCTGCCACGGTCAGGGTGCCGCGACCTTTGAGAAAGGAGCAGCACACACACACAGAAGTATGCACGTCACGTGACAAAAGCCTGACAGCTCACCAAGCCGAAGATGGCCCAGATGGACTGAGGCTGTGGCCATTGGCAGCGATGGTGCCACCGCCTGGACTGCCTGAAGGCACGTCAGATGCACACGCACCAGATTTCCAAACATCGAAGATGCTCAACGATGTTGAAAATAAAGATCGCTCTTCTTTTCGAAGATCTGCTTCGCCTGAGCCGGCAAACCTCGAGGGAGCGTCAATCTTGGTGGCCTTCCATGTGAGATGTGAGTACTATGTGAGTACTATGTGAGTGCTTTCTCTCATGCTTTGAGAGATCCTTTTTTCTCCCAGTTTCAGCCCAAGGAGGGGAGCGGCCTGGCCAAGCACGAACTCGACCCCGAGCTGCCCCTCGAGGACCTTTTTAGGAGGAGCCCAGCATCTTTAAAGGGCTCACTGAATGGGCAGAGCAAGCGAAGCCAAGCGAAGCCCAACCGAAGCCCCCAAGAGCACGGTTTTTGATTTTCGTGCGCCTCCCGATAATCGAAGGTGATCCTTGCATCTCACTCGCCCCGGACAAGAGGGTGAAGCGAAAGGGGTGACAGATGAATCTGGCAGCTCTCCTGGACAAGTGTTGAGGGTCCGCAAGGGCACGCAAGATGCTGGGCGTGAACTCGAAGAACTCTTTGGAGTCCACAACCGTCACCTTTTTGAGAAGTGAGACAAACAATCCATGTGGGGGGGGGGCTACCTGTGGTGCTCCCTTGCCTGGAAGTGATGCCTCAAGCGGTCAGCGCAGAAGAGGCCCGTCGGGCCACCCCCAACGACTACAACACGCTTCGGAGCTCGCGGAAGCAAATGCCTCAGAAGTGTTGGACGGTGTTGAGAGAAGCGAGTTTTTAAAGAGAACACACATGAAATACGGTCGCACACTCTTCTGCGTCTGGAGGCCTCGCCCCCGCTGGTACCAGCGACCGCGCGAAGTGGTGCATGCTTTCATTGCACACTCGCCATACTCATACACAAGTGTATCACTGTTGTATCACACGCTTGTACTACTCATGCTTCATGCCGCTTCATGCTGCATGTTCAAGCTGGATTTCTTATTGGGACTTGTTCAGACATTGTCGCACAAAGCATTGCATGCCCATGCTGACCGAAGCAGACAGGCTACTCTTGACCTCTCATTCATGGCTGCACGTCAAGTCTACGCTTCCTAGGAGGATGTCCACACAGTGCTCACCCACATCAGGCGCCTGCCATGACCCACGGGGCTCTAGATGTTTCTTCTCGCAGCTGCCACTGATCTGAGGGATGCTGTACACAAGATGTATCATCTGTCGGGCCTTGGGGAGCAAGTGGCTATGGCCCATCCGCCGCGTGTTGCGGCAGCTCGGCCAAAGTTGCCACGAAGCCTGCACAAATGCCGTTTCTAACGGTATCTGTCGACCTTCCAAACCAAGGCCGAGACAGTGCCTAACCTGATTTGCAAAGTCTAGGTGCAAACTATTCAGTCCATCCAGGCAGAAACCTTCAAGGGACTTGTCGCACCTGCAAACTAGTGACTATAGTCTTGATCGGGGCTCGGAGGCTGCGAACGCTCCTTTGGCGCTGGCGGTGTTAATGCTCGCCCCGGCATCGGCAACGATTCCCGGAGTTTCGGCAGGCAAGTGCCCAAACTCCGAGACACAGCCATCAGTAGTAGATCCGCAGGGCTTCATAGAGCCGGTTGTCGAAGACAGAGAGGGCAATCGAGAAGGCCTCTTCGGAGGCAGATTCGGATTCCCTCAAGTTGCTTCAAAACCCCCGCCCCAACCCCCCCGGGTACCTGCAAAGGGCTCAACGGAAAGGCTGCGTCCAGTGCAAAGCTGGCTCCGTCGATGCGGCCGAACTGCATGGCCAGAGCATCCTGATTGGGGTGACGCCGGCGCCTCTATGATTCTGAACACGGACCCTGAACGTTGGCTACAACTCGACATCTGGTTTTCCTAGATACAGCCCCCTTTGAGATTGAATCTTCAACCAGCCCGTCCGGCTGCTCCGGTTTGAAGCTGCTGTCCGCCTCGTGAACGCAAGAGATATCTAGGCCCAAACAGACAAGGCAATGTATTAGTATTATTTACATAATTCATGCTATTGATGATATTCATATTGTTATTATTCTAAATATCGTGAATAGTATTAATATTCACAATATATTTAATACTATATACATATATATATGAATTATATCTGCATTCTAATTCGCCTGCACCAGCTGGAAGTTCTTGGAAGACGAACAGTGGACACGCCCATGGAAGTTCATGCGATAAACCTTTCCTCAGAATGCACTTTCGTAAGTGCATGCGCACCAAACGGCGACTGAACATGAAACTCAGTTTTGCAGAGTTGCGCGTTGCGTCCCAAGTGGACGATGGACTCACCAGATAGTTGAGCCTGAGAGAAGCTTGAGGGTAATTTGATGGAGGCTCCCGCGAACACTGGGAACGACAACACAAAGGGTACCAAACACCTGGGTTCTTACATGTAGCGGCAGGCGGCCCGTTTTCGCGACTGGCACTGCCCGCAGCAGCATTGAGCAACATGCCCTCCTGGCATGCAGCAACAAGGCGTAACATTCGAGTGCTAGCTGAAGGCACGTTGACATACATTGACAGTCCCAGTGGTACTGCCATGTACTGCATACATTTCGCAGCAGTGGACTTCCCCAATCACCAAATACTGCCACTGCGTTATATGTCATAGTCTACAAAGACCAAACGTAGGGTTCATGAACTATACGATCCATAATATTCTGATTCGTCTTATATGGGGCTGAATATGGTTCATACGATATGATATTCATATTTTATGGTTCATAGTCGTGCTTGTTCAATCTCCGAGAGAGAGAGAGAGAGCAACAGAGAGGGAGAGAGAAAGAGACAAAGAAAGAAAGAAAAAAAGAACGAAAGAGAGAGAGAGAGAGACGAGGCCTGGCCGTTGCGCGCGGAAAACGAGGCGGCGGAAGAGCTGCTCGGCAGCACCACGTGCCTTTGCTGCTCTGCTGTCTTTGGGGACATGAGAGAAAAGTGGGGAAACAAAAAACTCTCTCTGTTTTTTGTTTGGGAGGGGGGATGCCCTGGGCCGTAAACCCTAAACCCGAAACCCTAGTGGGAAATTATCTTGTTTGGGGGGTTTTGGCTCTCTTCAACAGAGAAAAGGTTGCCAAAGAGCGGCTTTTCCGACTTTTTTAGCCACAGGCACATGCTGCGTGGCGCATCGCTGGGCTTCCGAAACCGCACGGCGCAGAGCTCCTGCATCACATCTTGATGATCCACACTTCTAGACTTCTGTGGCCTCATTGAAGGCAATGTGACACATCATGTCCTCTCGCAACGCGCCGGATGCTCGCCTGCGTTCTGTAGGTGCAGAATCTTCCATATCTGTTGCTGCCCCCGCCGCCCAGCTTTGGTCCCAGAAATTCAGATCCGATCTATCAACGTTCTTGGGTGAGCTATCTGGGCAGGCCAAGCAAACGTGCAATCTGATTTCGAACTGATAACTTCATCGCACCTGCTAGTTTTGAACGCCACGCGAAATGGGAGAGTAGGATGATGCGTTGGCTCCCTTCTCTTTGAATGCGAATGGGAATGTGCACCTTGACATGTCGAGCATGTTCGAAGCACAACAGGGCCCCTTCTAGGACCCCTCCGGGACCTTTCCCCAACCTCTCGAGGGCCTCTCGAGGCTAAAAACGCCCCAGCCACGTCCACGCTTTCGTGTCGGGAACCGGCTTTTGCCAGATTGCGAACCTGCCTCGTCACCTACTCCACGACGCGTGTCGACAAGCAGAATTCACACGGACTTGACGGTATGTTGGTTGAGAACTTCCCCCTGGACTTCACGTGGCCTTGTCAGGCTTCCCCGTCTGTCTTTGCGCGTGTTGTGCAATGGTGGCTTCTTACGCTGTGGAAGCTGTCAACATTGCTCAGCACTGGTCTGCACCTCAAAGTAAAGCAGGTCTTCAGGCAACTGCATGCGCTTTGCTAACGTATCGCTAGCATATCGACAAACCAATGATCGCAACCATTGATCGCACCAAGTTGCTGCCCATGAAGCAGGTACTGGGTGCACATAGCATTTCCTGATGACCAGCCACAGGGTCAAAAAGCCGGCAGGCCAGTCACTTGCAACGAGGGGTACTCACTGCCGCATGCCTTGCAAGAGCGACGCGCACAACACACCAAGGCATTGCAGCAGCCTGAAAGCTTCAAGCCCTAAGACTCTCAAACCAGTAGGACCTTCGGGCAACCCTCAGAACACTGTAAACGGTAAAGCAATCACCCTGTAAATCCGAAAGAATCTGTCAACCGAAGATCTCGTGACTCCCGCCAAGATGAAAGCCTTAAGAGAAGCAAAACCTGACCTGTGATGCCCGGTGTCCTGTGAGCCGACCCAGGAAGCAAGGGGACTCGCGATCGAAGTCCAAAGCCTTGAGCCAGGGAGAGCCAAGAAGTGAAACCAGGCACCTAAAGCCACGGGAGAAAACCGCATAAACACATACCGCTCCAGTGAACCGAGGTTCATTTGCAGAGATGACATAGTAGGGCCCGAAGGTCCGCTGCTGCTGTCGTTCAGCTGCCATCAACATCACCTTTGCCCCGAAGAAATCTGGCCATTTTAAAAGGCTTTAACATGGCTTTCACTGTGTATATTGGTCCAAAACACCTCGTCTGAAACCCCTCCTTCCTGAGCTAGGCGAACATAGAGACCATAGCGTGGCCTGCAAGCAAAGGCTCCGCGAGCAAACAAAGGGTTCATGTGGGCTGGGCCAATGCCCAATGCCTCTTCAGCACTCCAGCACGGAGCACCTGGCAGAATCATGCAGAAAAACAGTTGTCAAGTTGTCAAGGAAAGACAACGGAAACTGACAACTCAGAAGACTCACCACGCATCCCCGCCTCGACGCGACCCCGCAACGTTCCTGCGTTCAAAACAAATCGAAATGGGAGGATCTCAGCACACTGTGGCACACTGCCTATGCAGAAACACTCTCTGCTTGGCAGGCCTGCCCCTGGGCCGAGCACGGCCGCGGCAAAATCATGGCGAAATGTTAGGTGATTCAGAGCTGCTGGAAAAGACCTGACGTCAGCACAGCATGCTATGCTAACGTTGCTATAATGCCGTTTTGGAATGGGTCTCACAACTTTCACACACTTGCAAATCAAAGGGGTCCGAGGAGCAGAAGATGTTCAAAGAATTCCCTCTTCCGGCGTGACCTGGCCTGAAGGCAACTTCTGCTAAAACGCACGTATTGGAGGCTGCTATTCCGGCTGGGCACTTTCCAAGCAAGATTGTGCATGAAGCAGATGGTAGAAGACCCGCAAATCCTGGCCTTGTCATGCACATTCGTTGCAACCTCAGCCGATCCATGGTCAACCTTGGCATGAGCGCAGACGCGATGTGATCTTGGTGGTAACGGTCTTTCTGACCACCGGGGAGCCACACCTGGGCTGCGAAAGACGAGTCAAGGCCAAGCTCACTCGTGGGATTCACCGTCTGTGAATCCACTCCATCCGACTCGGAGTCCACATCCTTGGCACTTCACCGAGATGCAACCGGCAAGCCCGAGACGAAGCAACCGGTTTAAACCTCAAAACCGGCCAAAGAATGACATGCTGCTGCGCGGCCAAGACCTGCCAGCTTGCTGCCTCGCCAGAATCGACCCTGCAGGGAACAAAGTCTTCGCGCAGCCTCTTAGAACACCTTGAACACTGGGATACACTATTCCTCCCTCCAAAAATGGTGGACACACGTGAGGACGCCTGGCGAACGAAAACTCGTCAGCGAAGCCTGGGATCGGTTCATCTTCACGTGGCCTGGAATCAACACTGACGTAGTGAACAAGCGTTCACACTGCTGTGGCCCTCTAGAGGGAGATGCTGAAATAAAATTGCCATTTCCGGCCCAGCAGCTGACTGACAGGGTAACCACCTCGTGAAGGGAATGAAGCGAACGCCTGGTAACAGGGCCCTTAAGTGAATGTCAAACCAAAACTAACAGATTGAGACATGTTGCCAGGAAGCACCTCTTCCCTCACAAAACCGGCATCTGCAGCAATACGAAGCCCAGCCGATGCCTTACCAACGTGATGCTACCAGCATTTGAGCCGGGTAATGACGATTGGGCCACGACAAGGAACACAACAGCGGCATCAGAAAGCACCACCATGCAATGGGACGGGGATGCGAGAACCTTCACGCATCCCTTTTCTACCCTGTGTCACAAATTCAAGATGTGTCTGGCTTTGGGAATATGTAATTAGAGTAGCTGCCTGCATGAAACACCGCCAACTGTTGACATAAGCGTGGGAAACAAGGATAGCAACAAAGATGTCCTAAAGCCACCAATTGGGCGCCAAAGGACACCTCCGATTGCCATCGTTCAGCAAGCGAAGCGCACATGACACACAGCTACATGTCACTTAGACCGCACATGAATGTCATTGGCCTACATGAACTTCATTACCTCAACGAAATCGCACCACGTTGTTCTACATGACAACTTTGCTGTGTACTACATCGATCTACAATATGTAGCGTTACAAGGAAATATGTTGAACAAAGACTAGCATGCCCGAATTCTGCTTTGTTCAAGACACGATGCAGCTTTGTTTGATTAGAAGAAAGCTGCGGGCATTGCAGCTGTGTTCATGAACTTGTCATACTGTTTCGCCTGGCCTAGACTGGCGCACGTGACACACACAATAGCTACATGTTGAACGTTTTCTCGTCAATGGCTTCTCGCTCTAAAAAAAAGCTGTACTTGTGATGTTGATGCAAACAAGCAAACTAAGATGCGACAGCACAAGGGCGGGTTGGTGAAGGCATCTTCATCGGCCGGCCGGCGACCCTCGCCACCCCGCGACCACTCCCCTTGACTTGATCCGCTGTAGAGTGGGTTACACACACATGGATGAATGGGTGCCATCGGTCTGGCACTTGCTCGCATTCCGCATGTAGTTTAGATGTTATCGGAAAAAGGAGTGCAACGACACGTGTTGCCCATGCAAATTGCATCACACCTTGCTGCACATGCTCAATCGACTGCTGCGGCATGGTCATCCGACCGTTGGAACACCACGTGCTGCCCATGGAGCCGGTATGTCTAGGTTATTATCCTATAGTTTGAGCCGCGTTGCGGGATTGAGGAAGTATGTTTGTTCCAATTCCTGTGCAACCGACGCTGCCTGAAGGCCCATGTTGCTGGAGTCGTGCTCCGCTTGCCCACTTCTGCACGCCGCCCTGTGCTTGTACATCTAAGGCATCTGTAGATTAGTGCAAGCTGTGTAGTCCTGACCAGGTGAGATGGGTTTTTGGAAAACACCTGGTTCTTTTATCTTTTCAACGCGACCGTCTCTAACTAGCGACCGCCAAACCCGACCGACCATCAGTTTTCTGCGCTGTTACAAAAGAAACACAGCACGCCAAACATGTCACCTTGGAGGTTTACGGGGTTCATGAATTACTTGTTTCCATTGGCAAATCTGACACGTGGGAAAACCATGTAGCGAGTCTTCGCTTCCTTGAAGAGCAGACGCGTCTCTGTGAAGATCCTTCGAAGCTTCACACTGCAGGTCGAGGCAAAGGAAAAATGGCAACAAAAAGAAACCGAAGGTCTTTGCTGGAACTGCGACAGTCACTCCAAACATTTCACAAACTACAAAAATTGGTGTTCAATGCTTCTGTCGCTTTACAGTTTCCCTGTACATTTGGCACATGCCTTCTAAACGAAATATGCAGAAAAACACTAGTTAGAGTTTCTGAACAGGTCTAATCTACTCATGGACCTTAACTTATTTGACAGTTGTTAATCTTAGCATTGTTCTTAAGCAACTGCTTCCTGAAAAAGCTCCACAACAAAAGCGGGGAGCCAGGTTAGGCGTCCCAACCCCATAAAATTGAAAGTGAACTCACAGCAGCTTGCCTGATACGAAATGCGCGCTCACAAAGGCAAAGGCAGAAACTACTGGCACTAACAATGAACCATTCTCACCGAAAGCACCCTCTACACTTCGGGACGCAAGCAAACTCAATTCCGAAATTTCGACCTTCAAACAAAGGGTGACCTGATGATATAGAGGGCGATTGTTGCAGCACCTGCCGTGAAGGTCATGCAAGCGGTTTAGAAATGGTGGGGTGCTTCGTCAGTGATGCTATGAGCTCCAGGCTGGAAGATCAAGAATTTTGCTTGCCTCAATATGATCAATGGCAGAGGCAGCACAAGCAATCTCTCGTGGCTACGAATTGCACTAATCGGTATGATAACAACAATGATAGCCATGATACAAGGCTGAAAGTACTAACATAAACCTATATGGCCACAATCATGTAACAGAAATAATAATGACAGAGTTGCACAGCACAAGAACATAGAGCAAAAATGTCGAAACTTTGTTGCCGCAAGCGCTCCATCGCTGGGCAACTCTGGTTTCAATTTATAGAAACTGTTTGACCTTGGTCTGGGCGGCTAATCGCCACCTAACCCCTTGGCTAGCTCCTCGCTAACTTCCTGGCTGCCAACTCAGACCTCAACTTCGTGTGCAGTTTCATGAGCGCATCACACTTGTCATTTGCTGAACGGTTCGCCGCTTTAGCAAGGTCAATGAAGCTCTCCACTTCCTCCAGGCAACGCTGACTGTGGTATAGCCCAGCGACAGCTAGGCCTCCTGCCAAAAGACCAAGCCCGAACCCGAGTACTCCCAATGCTACGCCAAGTCCGCAGCCTTCTTTCACGGAGCAACCAGCAACTCCAGCACCCACAATACCTGCCCCAAACCTCATTACGGCAGCACCTGCGCACCAAGGCTGTACATCTAGCAGGTCTTGATTCAATTTCAACGCTTTTTTAATGTAGCGCTCGTAGCGCTCATTCAAGTTCGACATATCCTTTTGCAGCGCGATGTCTTTCTGCAGCTCGATTTCGATATTCTGCTCGATCTCGATATTCTGCTTCGGCAGCACGTGCTCGGTTTGCCGTGCGGGGCTAGGAGCCCCACCGCAAAGTAAAGCTGCTTTGCAAATCGGGCGCATCCCGACCAGCACGTAGCATCAAAGGGCCATCTGGGAGCACGAACAGGCCGTGTGGGTTCGAAGCCGTCATGGTGATGAGAGGCTCTCATGCGCTGGAAATGAAACTCGATCCTTGCTGCAAGCTTCGAGGATACACGGCTGAGAGCATCTACTAAATCATCTGTTTCTTGCTTCAACTCTGGCAGCCGTTTTGTCTTCATTTCCCAGACTTCAGAAAAGGACCACCAGGCGGCTGCCAACGCAGCTACGGCAAGTGCTAAGAAGTCCCACATGACACAGCAATTCAGACATGTTGATCGTGGCCTGAATAGGCTGCAGACCTTCCTGTTCCATGAGTTCAATTTCGTGCAAGTCAGCCGTGTTGATCGTGTCCTCAATAGACTGCAGGCCCTCCTGTTCAATGAGTTCAAGTTTGTGCACGGCTGTAGACTGGATCTTCTTGCACGGCATCTTGATCGCGGCTTTAATCGACTGCAGATCTTTCTGTTCAATGCCGTGCGCGGATGCAGACTGGATCTTCTTGCAAGACATCTTGATCGCGGCCTTAATCGACTGCAGATCTTTCTGTTCAATGCCGTGCGCGGATTCAGACTGGATCTTCTTGCAAGACATCTTGATCGCGGCATCAAGAGACTGCAGACCTGTCGCGCAAATGCCGTGTGCGGCTGGAGACTGGATCATCTTGCAAGATTCGCAAGTTTCAAGCGCAGATTTGTCCGAAGCAACATGATCGTGCACATACACCGTGAAGTTGTTCTCAGACAGCCAATCCGCAAGAGAGGTTTGGTTGGTCCACATTTGCCGGTGATCTGCGACTTGAGAAAGTTCATTTGTGGCTTGAACCCCTTCTTTTTCCCCAGGGCAAGGTCCTTTGACACTTGTGCGGCTGTTCTGTTATTCAATGACACCCTGCCAGTCTTGACTTCATGCATCGCATGGCAGGGCTCGTCTACGACGTCAGTGATACGGATCTGTCCAGCATCTGTCTTCATCAAGACCTGCGTTTTGATGCCTTGCTCATGCTGGCTGGATAGCTGCTCAGCCAAAAACCGTTCGGCCTCCTGGACCATCCTCTTGTTTGTGCTCACATCCGTGCTCCGCGGAGGGGGGCCCATCTTCACTGACCCCACACATGCACACTTGAGATAACCACTCCAGCAAACAATGTTTCGCGTCTCAAATACAGCAAATTAGCAAATCAGAGAACTAGTAGCTAACAGCAGCGATATGCCATAGGAACGCCAAATCTCGGATTGCTGAAACATAAAACATGCCAGATGCACCAACTGGTTGTCGTCGTAGGTGACCGTTGGTGTAGAAGGCTTCCCAGCTGACTATTGAAATCAATGCCACATGCCACCCGAAACGAATACAGACTTAGAGTTGCAAAACATGTCGAGAAAAGAGCTTCTACTTCCAGATACAGAAGTGCATACATTCCTCAACCTATACTCACAACCTTACCAAGTCCCCTGGCGATTATGACTTGTTACCATCAACATGATGACTGCTGTTATCGTTGTCACTGTTCTTGTCTGAAGTACTGATATTCCTTATGGTGATGGCTATTACTACTGATACACTTGCTGTTGTCCTCATTGTTTTATTCTTTGTTATTCTTGTTGTTCCTGTTAAGCATGTTGGCATCACTAAGGAAGACGCTCAATGCACTCGCCAAGGCTGCAAGTCGACTCATCCACCTGCTATCCGCCGACCCCAGCAACAGCGGGGCGGCGTCAGTGAACACCCTCCCTGCCCTCACCGCAACCTCTTCCCTCTTCCCCTCCCTACCCCTTCCCCATCCCTGCACCCCCTCTCACCGTACCCCCAATCCACCCTCCCACTACCCTTCCCCTTCCCACCCTTCCCCCCACTCCCACCACCAACCCCTTTCCCCGCTCCCCGCCACCCTTCCCCTTCCCAACTATTCCACTCCATCCTCCTCCCCTACCCCTTCCCAACCATTCCACTCCATCCTCCTCCCCTACCCCCTGCCCTCACCGCAACCTCTTCCCCCTTCCCCTTCTCCACCTTTTTTGACTTGGCCTTGCCTTCTGCCCTAACCTCCCACCACCAACCCCTTCCCCTGCGACTCGATCAGATGACTGACTTTAAAGGGCTCCAGTTCCGCTTGCTTCGCCCCACTGCTCCGCTCTTCCCCCCCCCCCCCCCCCCCCCCCCCCCCCCCCCCCCCCCCCCCCCCC